AAGATTTGGCATGATTGACTGCAAAAGCGTTCCATCTCCTGCTGTAAAAACCTTGAAGGAGGATGATGACAAAGGAACCAACATAAACTTTCCTTATCGCCAAGCGGTAGGTGCGCTGGCATATCTAATGGTCGCCACAAGACCTGACATCAACTATGCAGTGAGTATGGCTTCAAGACATCTTGAAAATCCAACGCAGATGGATATTTTAAAAGTAAAAAGAATTCTAAGATATTTGAAGGGAACTATGGACACCGGACTAATCTTTAGAAATGAAAAAGTCAGAAAGCTAATCTGCTACAGCGATGCAGATCACGGTGGAGACTCTGTTACTGGACACTCTACTACAGGCATGGTGTTCTTGTTTTTCTGGACCAATTTTCTGGAAGAGTCAGAAACAATCTTCTGTAGCCATATCTTCTACAGAAGCTGAGCTTATAGCGCTCTCCGAAACTGCCCGGGAAACTATATGGCTACAAGGACTCTTAGAAGAACTGACAGAAGTCGAAAAGCCTATCATATATGTAGATAATGAATCTGCGATAAAATTATCAGAAAATCCTCCCTGCGAATATCATAAAAGAACAAAACATATAAAGCTTAAGCATTTTTTCATAAGAGAATGTGTCACCAAGGGTGAACTATCTGTGAAACAAGTTTCCTCGGAAAAGCAACTCGCCGATATGTTCACAAAACCTCTCTTTGGACCAAGACTGCGAGATCTAAGTAAAAGAATTATACTCCAAGGTTTGAACTGTATCAGTCCCTAAAAGTCCTGGGGATGTTAAGAGGACAGCCTTTATTATACCACGAGTAATAAAGAGTCTTTACACTCTTCATAGATCTCTATGTCTATAAAAGAGAGTAGTTGACATTGTCAGCTGTCTTGTAAAAATATATTTAGGTCTTGTGTGTCTTTTATGTAAATACCAAATAAAACTATTATATTTAATTATATTTCCAACTTTGTTTATGTTAATTGCCCATCAAATATAAAACTTAATACTATTCATAATTTTTTTAAACTTACAAGCTATGGAAATCTTGCAGATTGCCACCTCCTGCCGCTAAAGAGGTTGTCAAGAACTTAGATGAAACAATGATTCAAAATGAAGACAAAAATTGCCCTATATGTTTAAAGACTTTCAAAAGTGGTGAAAAAGCTATAAGGATGCCCTGTAATCATATCTTTCATTCTACATGCATTCTAACATGGTTGAACAAGGTAAATTCGTCATTCACATTTTATGCATGATGACCTCCATGGCTAAGTGGTTTTTACACTGGGTTTCAAGGTGTCGCCAACTTGAGAGGTCCCAGGTTCAAATGCCGAGAGAGGCTGGTGTTTGTGTGCTGAATACAAGCATTTGTACTCTAGTCATGGATATTTAATACATACTTTTATATTAATATACTTATATATGTATCAGTTTGTATTCTATCCGTTACCCTAGTATCCCATAACAGAAGCTTACAGTGCTTACTTTGGGGCTTGGCTAATTGGTGTGAGTGTTGGAAATATTTATTTATAATAATGAATTAATGCACTATGATCATTGTAATGGTTTTATTACTCATATTTTAAACAACACCTTTCTGACTCATTTAATCAAATCAGAAAATTGTTGTGTAAACTTCAGATCATCCTTCTTCTGAAACATGATTCACCTTAAATTCTTAGGATGTATGTAGCAGTGCTTATCTGAAATGAAAGATGTTTTGCATTTTAATAATGCATACTGGAAATCCCAGAATGATTTTATTCTATTAATTTTATCTCAGATATCTTCATTAAATATACAGGGTGTAATTTTAACAATTTAGGATTTTTCCTTTAACAAATTCAAAGGCCACATATTTTCTAGATCATGACAACATTTTTTTTCTTGTGGACCATACCTGGGAAATTTATGGATATGGATTTGACCTTTTATATTTTAGAAGGTCAAAGTCACAATATTTTTTCAAGATTTTTACAATAATATTTTTAAAATGTTATTTAGAAACTTTTTTTATCAAAACACACACAGACACATTCTTTGCCACAGTAGCGCGCCGCGCATTACGTACTGGATTTTTTTGTATTTTTAACTTAAAAATACAAATGTATCCCACAAATAACATTTTGTAATATTGCTTGTTTGGGTGTACAGAGTGCGTAGTTTTAGTCTTTGTCATAGGAATTTTTACACCCTGTATATTGTATGTCCATGGAAAAAGCAATGATAATTAAGAAACAAAAATCTACATTTAATGAAATATTTCACTGATTGTCCCACCTGACCAAATTAGTTCTGCTTTTTAGAACAAAATAATTAGCTGCATGAGTTATCCAACATTATTTTGTTTTTCAGACCAACTCCTGTCCCTTCTGTAGATATGAATTGCCTACTGATGATGAAGGTTATGAAGCATTTAAGAAAGAGAAAAAACGTGCTGTCCAGAGGAAAGAAGACATAGATGTACTTCATAATTCTATGTTCAGTTGATTTATTTGTGGGGGATTTCTATTGTTAAATATCTTTTTCACGGTTAACGGTGGTGTATTTTAAAATTTAAGAGGCCTTCTTAAGATTAGTTGTCTGTTTATTTCTTACTCCACTCCTTTTGGCCCTAAAGTAAATATGTCCCTGACGGTAAAACTGTTATTCAGCCAACAAGGGGCTGTCCATTAATCACGTGAGGCTCGAAAGGGGGGGGGGGGGGGCGGGTTAATAAAAAATCATGAAATATCATAAGGGGAGCGGGGGGTGTTACTACACCTTACATTGTAATATATCACGTGTATTTTCATTTTTCGAGGTTACTGTACATTTTCATGGTTCGAGGTTACTGTACATTAAATATTGTTCATGTGCAAAAAAGTTGTTTGCATTTCTTTCACTATTTTTATGTCAGTCAAAAACAACCTGCAACCTTTCTGTCTATCTCTAAGTGTTATTATTGTAGTCTTTAATTTACTATAATAAAATTAGATGATACTTATACCTGTATTTATAAATATTAAAAAAAAAATATATAAAATTCTTTGTAGGTATTAAAAAATACATATTATATAGGGGCTGGGGGGGAGGGTTTAGACTTAAACCTCACCATGTATCAGTAAGTAGGGGGAGGAGGGGGTTAAAAAATGCAAAAAATAACATCACGTGATTAATGGACTGCCCCCAAGTAGTACATACATACTATTACTGACCTTATGAAATTTTTAAGCGATGTGCAGACCTAATGTCTTTGTTAGTTGGACAATGTTAACTGCTGTTAATTTTGATTTTGATAGTTATAATGTTGCACACACATGCAGGTATGCACACTGTATAATATTTGAAGTTGTCTATTTATTTCCAGGTCACATGCAATGAATTAGAAATTTCTAATTCATTGGTCAGATGCAATACATACAAAGTAATTAGACTTCTAAAGTTAAATATATTTTTCATAAAAATTAATAATAAATTAAATATATATATACTGTAAACTAGGAGCTCGATGGCGCAACTGGTTAGCGCGTTCGGCTGCGATCGTTGAAGTTAAGCAACTTTCACAGTGGTCGGTCATTGGATGGGTGACCAAAAATTTACTATCTCGAGCTCCTCCGTGCTTCGGAAGGCACGTTAAGATGTTGGTCCCGGTTGCATCTGCAGTCGTTAGCACCAATCCGCACTGGGCCCGCGTGGTGGGTCATGGCCCAATCTCGCTATTCCATCCATAGGGAAGGCCTGTGCCCCAGCAGTAAACATATATATAAACACAATATACAGTATTATTATGGACATATATAATGTTTATATATAAATTTATTGTGTTTGTATATATTTATTAATATTTATGGAAAATATAATGTTGGGAGAAACCCACAGTGCTTTAACATTGACTATTCAAAGTATATTTTGTACAAATTGCATCTGTGCAACCGAGACTAGGGTAACCTTATCTTTTGTAAAAGACCTAAACTTTGTAATAGATGGTTTAGTATGATTTTTTTATTGATATATTTCTACATTCCCTTTTACTATTAAATCTATTCTAACGGGTAATATCTAGATTATGACTTGATCCTAAAATATATTCTTCTTTACAGAACATTTTCTTTAAATTTTTTTAGTGATTGGTGTGATAAATTAGTTAATTATAATGTGTGAATGTTATTATATCTACTGTAAATAAATATTAATATTTGGAATAAGTTCTATTATTAAAATCATAATTTTCTATGCAGGACTTTAAACATAAGAAAAATCCGAAAAAATATAGATTCTTTTCTTCATTTGCGTTATTTACCAGTCCCTGTAGTATGAAGTCAATTTATATTTTATCACGTTTGTTTTTGCACCTAACTGTTAAACTCGATAATAATCGTAATTAAAAACGAAATAATTCATATCCCCGCGCCTCGTACTCATGCTAGGAGGGCTGGTCATATGATTCGCGTCACATCAGTGGTAAATTTTTAACTTGCAGCGGGGGCATTCCACGCGAAGCGGACAGGTAAAAAAACTCGATGTTTCCGATTTTAGTAATATTTGAGTATGTTCTATTTATACTTACTATTGATACGTGTACCAAATATTTTTGTGATATAATGACTAGTTAAAGAGTAATGGGACTTTGAAGTTTTCGACAACCGGTTGGCATGCAGTACTTCAAAGCCGATTATGGAGTCATAAAATTATATATTAAAATAACTAAACCACTGGATTTCTTACTTTATTTACTGGGCTTTTTAACTGTGTTTTTGGAAAAGCAAAAAAAAAATTTTTTTCGTAAAAAAAAAACAATTAAAGTTTTTTTCCTTGATTTTCACTAAGTTAGACCATTTAGTTTTTTTTTATTTTTTTTTATATAAATTGCTAATATTGTATAGAACATTAGTGCCATTTTTTATAATGGGCGTGGAAGTGGATTAGGAGCTAGACTGAAAATACTGCCGTAGGGTGGCGTCCAGCGCCGCGACGCGGCGACGTCGCACTGGCGCGCCTGACGCCGCCACTTGTGAGTAAGCAGATTAATGCATCTAACCCGTAAAATTTGTTTTATTCAGATTACTTTTTTTCTTCAGTAGTTTGATATTTTAAATAAAACAAATTATCTTCTATGATTAATTACTTTATTTACAAATTTTTGCAATTTTAAATGCTTCACTGTTACTCGTGCGTTTAATCATAATACCTTCAGTAGTGGGAATAAAGGCATGATATTTTTTTGTGCCTGGTATTGTCGCTGCCGATTCAAATCTGCTCTTTAAAAACAATCGGTTTTGTTGAATGTCCTCTTTTGGAGCATATAAAACGTGCGTTTGGGGCATTGATGTTTTCGCCCATTGGTACAAACGCTCGGGTGTAGTGATCGCTTTGTCTGACGCCGACTGTAGACTAGCTCGAGTTGCCAAACGTTTCAAGTTGCCCCCAAGTCCATCACATGGCCCTTTGCCATGAGAAGTAGCATGAAAATGAAACTCTGCCTCTGTACCGAAATCCTGTTTAAAATAAAACAGGTTGATAAAATTAAACCTGTTTTTGAAGTGCTGGGGTGCACCATCAGTTACGTAAATATATTTATTGGTTGATATATCCTTTTCTTGTAAATGTTGATGTAAAATTTTTTGGAAGGTATAAAACGTTGCAGTGTCATGTTTTAGGTCATCCGATATCATTACAATACTTCCGTGTTTTAACTCTTGCTCCTTTTTGTAATAATACACAGATGTGAGGAGAGTAGCCTGGTCGTTACTCCAGTGAAATGCCTGGACAGCGTCTTGAACTACGAAGCGGTAGTTTTCAGCAAAATCGCACTGAATGATTATGTCACCCTCCAAAATCGACTCTTTTAATAATTTAAAATACCGAGTTTGCTGATCTGATATGTAGGCGTGAGGTTTTAAAGCGTCTAATCCTGAGCAAAGACTGTCGACAAATTCATCAGAAGGAAGAACTTGAGTGGCGATTGTGAATCGGTCTGTACCAACCCATGTATTAAACTGCACACTAGTCACTTGATTTGCGTCAAATATATTTCGTAAGTGTTCCCGAATTCCGACAAGGCCAGGGCAACTTTGGCATTGTTCGTCCAGTGACGATTTTCTTGTCATTAAATTGCAAGTTGGTGTCGGATCTGGACACATCATCTTTTGCAAGCAATCCTTGTACGATACTAGGGGGATAGCAGACTCAGAAGTAAGTGATGCAATATCCCCCCCGATTAGCATCAATTTAACATTTTGATGGTAAATACACACGCAGACTATATGAGTACCCGAATCACCAGCAAGAATGCACTGCTTAGGACGTAATGAAAAAAATTTTGAAAGACCTACTTTTGTGTCAGGGTATTCCAATTTGAACTGTTGATATAATTCATTGATGTTACACAATAATAGCTGTTTTTGTAATTGGACTCTTTGGCCATCATGTAGCTTAACAGACACAAAGTCTTTTTTCCCAGGCATTATTCTAGTGTTATCTTCTCTAAGATAAAATTCAGAAACTAAATCTACAACTTCTGATGTTAACTTGCGGCCCTCTCGTGGATTAGGCGATGATAAAATACCGTTCTGCTCAACCAGTTCCTTGGCTTTTTTTGCTTGCCGTCTAGAGGTATTGAATTCATCAGCAAGTTTATTTTCGCTCCATGATTTAGGTGCTAAGGTAAGAATCATCGTTTTCTCAGAAACAGATGTAGACGGATCATTAAATTTCTCTTTCAATTGTAAAAGTATTTCGTTGTCAATGGATTTTATGTCGTTTGTCTGTGTTGACTTCGTAAGCGTATTTCCTTCCGGAACATAACACGAGACTTGTGAATTTTGGAGTGATGATTGGCTTGCTTGACTATTTAGGATCACATCATCAATAATTAAGGGTTCTTCACTAGCAAGACGGTTTCTACACTGCTTACACACATAATAATTAACGTTTTTATTTGTAATTGACCACTTTTCTACTAGCACTTGTGATAACTTCCTCAATCCTTTAGTTTTTCTATGTACAGGTAAATTAAACGGATTATAACATCGATCCCCGTAAGGAGTCATGATATTCAAATATTTTTAATAGCGATATAATCTCACAGAACTAACAAAGTCACTCTCACGCGTCACAAAATTACGCGGTAAAATTGTCAAACATGGCGCCATAATTAACTTTTTTTTAATATTATGGCCTGGATACAAGCCCTTTAGGCCTTATTTCATACACATATTATGGAGAATAAAAAAATGTATATTTATAATTAAAAGTGTAGTTGTAACGTATTTTAGTACTTAATAGGCATTAAAAATTGGTTTTCTTAAAAATCTACAAAACATTCCGTCAAAAGTGATTTTATTTGATTGACGGTTTGATGACTAATCGCGCACAAGCGGCGGTCAACAGGCGCGGCGCTGGACGCCACCCTTCGGCAGTATTTTCAGTCTAGCTCTTAATCCACTTCCACGCCCATTATAAAAGTTGGCACTAATGTTCTATACAATATTAGCAATTTATATAAAAAAAATAAAAAAAAACTAAATGGTCTAACTTTGTGAAAATCAAGAAAAAAAACTTAAATTGGTTTTTTTTTACGAAAAAAAAAATTTTTTCTCTATTCCAAAAACACAGTTAAAAAGCCCAGTAAATAAAGTAAGAAATCCAGTGGTTAAGTTATTTTAATATATAATTTTATGACTCCATAATCGGCTTTGAAGTACTGCATGCCAACCGGTTGTCGAAAACTTCAAAGTCCCATTACTCTTTAACTAGTCATTATATCACAAAAATATTTGGTACACGTATCAATAATAAGTATAAGTAGAACATACTCAAATATTACTGAAATCGGAAACATCGAGTTTTTTTACCTGTCCGCTTCACGTGGAATGCCCCAGCGGTAAAATACGTTCATATAGCTTCTGCCATAACAATTTTAATAGATGTTTGTCTGCTGTTCTCAGGGCAGTTAAATTTGTGGCCGTATCCCCATACGGCCACCAAAACAAACATGAGATTTTATCATCTGCAACTATGCAAGTATCGCCAGGGTGATTTTGGGCACATTTGAAGCAACGGGACTTTAACCAGCTTTGGGCTTTACTATGACCGAAGAGTCAGCAGGGAGGCGTCAACAATCAATCAACCTTCTCAGGTGGCCTCTGTTCCATAAATGAAGCGAGTACTGCTTGTGTAGGAATTCATAGGGTTTCACCATTTTGCACATTTCGGTTCAGTCCCCTTGCTTTAGAAAGATGATTTATTCATCCATGACATTCAACCTAGTCAAGCAAGGGGAAATAACTAACGAGTCACGTGGAAAGAGGGAATTAGTGCAGACATGAATGTATGATAATTCAGTATGGGGAATGTTTGTGATTCCGAACTTTATGTGCGTGTTCGGAAATGAAATAGACTAGTTACTGGCGAAATTACGTTTAAAATTCGTTCGCATCTAAAATTTATTTTCGGAGAAAGAAAGTAAAGCTCCTGTATCTAGATAGATACGTGGACAATGAAGGGGAGCATCATCCGTTTGAGAGTGGGTAGGTATGTGAGTTTCAAATCGTAAGTAGTCTGGCCAAGATTAAGGGGCCTCCACTCCTTCCTTGCCCAGGGGGCCCACACCTTTAAATCCTGCCCTGTTCAAATCGACATAAAAATCAAAATACAAAAATTGTAGTAAAGTAAGTAAGCAACTAATTATTTACCAAACTAGCCGAATTACTAATAGGTAATGAGCATGTAACGTAGTTTGAACGTGGTAAAGAAAGTAATCACTCTGTCTGAGTAAATTGAAAAAGGTAGATGTCTTAATAGTCATTGTTCTTGACCCTCTAGAATTAATTTTTAAATAATGTACTCTTTTCGAGTTTCCTTTTGTCAATAAATCTGTCTCGCTGAATAAATAAACAAATTTTTTGTAAAATGCTAAATAAAAAAAATCATTAAAATACAATTTAACTAAAGATGGATAAAGGAAAAACGTAAGTACCTACCGGAAGGTTGTTTGTTAATTACTAGTACTACCAATATAAATTTATACTTTTAATGAGATAAAGTTGCTAGGATGTTACGTACCTAGTTAAGTTTTTTCCAGTCCATGTAAATGTCCTCCCAGGCTTCGAAAAATGTGCAAACATGTTAAGGCAACGGATTGCAGAGACGTTTCGGATATTATTGAAGCTCTCACTTATGAGGCACAAAGTACGTAAAAAAATCAGTAAGCTATTCGTAAATTAGACTGAATAAATTAAGCCATACCTGTTTTATTATAAAAAAATGAAATATAGTTACCTATTTATTCATTTTCTTATCAGAATTTAATATGAAGATTGTCTAAAATTGTCTGTTTCAGTGAGTAAAGAAACTAAAAAGTCGAAGCCTCCTAAGTTCAAAACTAAACCTTTCCAGCCACGTCATTATAAAGACACATGTGTTCCTATGGTACCTTCAATGCATACAAGGTAAGATTAATATTATTTGATGAAAGCTCTGAAACTATTGTAGACAAAAAGCTCTTATCCTGCCTAGTACTACTAATAGGATGCCTAGAATAAATAAAACGAAAGAAATCTTAACACGATGAGCTTGATAGAACCTATTTAGTATATGTTGACACAAAAATCAATCAGTTGGTATAAAATTTCGACTATGTCAATACCAGCACAAGGAACTCTTTATTCGTTCCTTAATCAAATCTCGCAACCAGCGTAGGGACATCATGCCGCTTTAATCGGTTGTGTGACAAACTTCCTGCACCCTGTAGTTTAGAGGCCAGTTCATTGACGTGAGTTGATATTATATTACTATGTTTAGCAATCTCCTGTTTGACAGTATTGATGTTTAGGTCCTCATGAATATATTTGTTGCTCACGTAGTATGGTATGTTTAACATGGCTCTCAAGGTTTTGCTCTGGAATCTTTCTAGAATCTCGATATTGCTATTACTAGCGGTCCCCCACAGTTGAATACCTTATGTCCATATTGGTTTCAGGATGGTCTTATAATATATTGCAATCTTGCTTTCATGTGACAGATGAGATTTCCGACCTATAAGCCAGTACATCGATCTTACTTTTGTGTCCAGTTGCTCACGCTTAGTCCAGATATGCTTTCTCCAATTCAATCTTCGATCAAGATGCATACCGAGATATTTGGCATCCTCAGCTTGGGGAATATTCTCATTGTAGAGTTTTATAGGAGGGCAAGTTGGTTTTCTGAGAGTGAAGGTAACATGCGCAGATTTGCTTTGGTTTGCTTTAATGCGCCATTTGTGTAGCCATTCTTCAATCTTGCAGACGTGAGCTTGTAGTTTAGCTGATGCTATTTCTGGATTATCATGAACAGAGAGCACGGCTGTGTCATCGGCGTATGTAGCTGTTATGGTATCGTCTTGCGTCGGCAAGTATACAGAAGGTACAGTATGGGACCCAAAATACTTCCCTGTGGCACTCCTGAAAGAATCTCTTTTAATTGAGAAGTCTCATTTTTGAATTTTACCTCAAAACACCTTTTGTCGGGATACGATTTCAATATTGGGAAAAGTGAATGAGGAAGCAGTTGTTTGATTTTGAACAGAAGTCCATCATGCCACACTCTGTCAAAGGCCTGACTGATGTCCAGGAACACAGCAGAACAGAACTGTTTATATTCCAGGGTGCGACTTATGGTATCCGTTATGCGGTGGATTTGTTCAATGGTTCCATGCCCTCCTCGGAATCCAAATTGGTGAAGTGGCACCACTGCCGGTAAATAGAAGCGCATCCTGTTCAGGATTATTTTTTCTAGAAGTTTCCCCATTACAGGGAGAAGGCTTATAGGTCTGTAAGAACTAGCTTCATGAAGTAATTTGCCTGGTTTGGGTATCATTCTGATCTGCGCTATTTTCCACTGAGCGGGAAAGATGTTAAGCCTTAGGCAGGCGTTAAAAATTGCTGTTAAGTACATCAAGCCCTTTTTAGGAAGTTGCTTTAGCAGTTGCGCGTCAATTAAATCGTATCCAGGTGCTTTACCATCCTGCAAATTTAATATTTCTTTACGTACTTCACTGGGGCTAGCACTTTCCATTGGTATGCACATTTGCGATGGTGAGAGTAGGTATTCGCTAACTTCTCTGTCATGCTCGGAGTCGTTACTAGGAAGTGGTTGAAATACAGATTTAAGATGTTCAGCGAACACTTGGGCCTTTTCGAGATCTGTTCTAGCCCACTTACCCTCCGTGGTTTTTATTGGGGGTATATGCACTACAGGCCTTTTGAGCTTTTTTGTTACCTTCCACAGAGAGTAGTTAGTATCTACGTATGGAGTAAGATTTACCAGTTCCTCTTGCAGGCGATCATTGTTTGTTTGGAAGATCATGTTTTTGAGTTCTTCTGAACTGGCTTTTTTGTCCTGTGGATATTTAGTGGAATGCCAAATTTTCCGCAGATGCCTTCTTTCTTGTACTTTAAGTTTTATCATTTTAGAATAGGAAAAATCGCTAACTACTTTCGGTCTCACTGGGGGTGTTGAGTCTTTGACGGCTTGGTGGATTAACTTGACAAATGACTCAATAGTAGATTCGATGATGTCCGCATTATTTAGTGGCGAGATTAGATTAATGTTTTCTGCTATTGTGGCCCTGTAAATGTCCCAGTTATTTTTATTATTATAAAGTCTTTGAGGACCCTCAACCTGAATAGGTGTACACTGGACGTTGATTATAACAGGTGTATGATCCGATGAAAGGTCGACACATTCCTCGATCCTTATTTGTCTTAGCGAGATATTTTTGATCATAAAGAAATCCAGCAAGTCTGGCACCTTGTTTATGTCTGCAGGCCAGTATGTAGGTTTTCCATGTGAAGCGCAGTGAAGGCTAAGGTCATTCATAGCTCTATATAGTTGGCGACCACGTGGTGTAGTTAGCCTAGAGCCCCAAAAATGTGTTTTGCATTCCAAATGTATCTGTTACCTAGAGCTTTGAAATAAGTTACAAAATCATTTGAAGTAATAATGTGCTTGGGTGGGCAATATATTGCAGATAATGTGGTTTCTGTTTTATTATCTTGGATTCTGATTGAGGTAGCCTGTATCTTTTCAGTTTGGTATTCTTCAAGAGGATAGTGTTTGATGTTATCCTTTATAATAATTGCAGTTCCACCATGAGAGTTACCAGAGGGGTGGTTTATTGTGTATACTTTGTAGTTCTGCAAGCTAAATTCAGTTTTTAGCGTAAAACGCGTTTCTGTGATTAAGGCGACATCTACTTTTTCAGTTTTTAGAAAAAGTTCAAGTTCCAGTCTGCGTTCATTCAGTCCATTGGCATTCCAGGTCATTACCCGTAAGTTTAGGGATGTTTTATAAGACTTGTGATTAATTGGATCATTCGATCCATCATGTTGTCTAACATAATATTCATCATGTTTTGTAATTTTTCAAACATCACATCTAGTACCTCGACCAAATTGTTTGGCTCCTTGATGTCGGTCTTTGCTCCTGCTGAGTTGTTGGCCCTTGTTGCTTGTGCATATGTGTTGTATTTTGTTTGCAAGTTTTCTTTGTTTTGGTTGCTTTCTTGTTCAGTGGTGTTAAGTTTAATGGTTGATTGTTGTTTAGTTTTTTGTTCAGGGTTTCTGTTTCGATTAGTGGTGTTTTTCATAATTAAGTCTCGATATTGTTTATATTTTGTGCAGCCTTTGTAGCTCGCCGGGTGCTTTTCTTGACAATTTGCGCAGGTCGCCTCAGTATCAGGCCTCTTTAAACAACTTGATGTGGGGTGATCTTTACCACATTTGACGCATCTGAATGGTCTATTGCATTGGTTCTTGGCATGTCCAAACCTCTGGCATCTCTTGCACTGCAGAACGTCTAATTTTTTATATGGCGCTTCAAATGTGATTTTAACGTGGCTTAATTTATTAATTTTGAAAATGTCTTTATTGTTGTATTTTGGTTCTAGGTCTAGGTAAAATATGGGCATTGGTTGTTTTGAGTTTCTGTGTCTTATATTTGTTATGTGTCTGACGTCATGTCCAAGTTCATGAAGCTCCTTTTTTATTACTTCGGTGTCTTCAGATGAGTGTAGGCCTCGAAGGACTACTCGATAGGCTCTTTCACTTTTGAGTCTGTAGATATAGTGGCTTACATCTTTCTCTAAAAAACTATCTCTTATTCTTTTGTATGTGTCTATATCTGCTGGTATCACTTTTACTATGTGACCAGATCTCAGGGTTGTCATAGTATATTTATCAGTCTCTTCAATAGTTGCGAGAAGGTCTTTTAATTTCCTTATGTCTATGACTCCAGTAACGAATATAGGTTCTGGTTTCGGTGGTTTAGACTCTTTATATTCTTTAGAAGGTTCATCCCCATCTGCACTATCAAAGGCTTGGAATCTATTTTGAGTTGGGATTGCGTATGTTGTTTTCAGTATTTTCTTGTTTTTGTTCGTGATTTCAGGACTTCCTTCAGCTTTACTTTTCATAGGTACCTGATCATTTTGCCATGATGTGTTGTCTTGTTCATTGTTTGGGTTGCTGCTAGTTGCTATTATATCTGTATTCGACTTTCCATTGGTGATGTTTTGTATCGATATTTCATCTGGTAGCGTGCTAAGGGAATAACTCCTAGTATGTTTATATGAAGTGTTTGTTGTATCATTTTTTGATTTTTGTTTTCTTTTTCTCTGTTAATATTCATTTTTGTTCCCACGAGTCGGGTCGATATAAAAGGTCACTTGAGGGGTGACGCCCATTCCCCCAAGAAGGCTCACTACAGCGACGTTTGCCGGGTCCGTCGAGGTCGGCGCTAGTGACTGATCACCCATCAGCCATGCATTCCATTGGCGCGTATCCCACCGTGGAGTTGGGGTAATTATTTTATAGAGGATTTCTTCCTCACCATCCAGGCGATTAAGCCAAGACTCCCGATTGCTAAATAGCGGTTGCGGGCGTGGGTATTCATTTCCTAATATCCACAGAAGACTGGCTTGTTAGGCCAGTAGTGTCGGGTTAATTGACCGCCGCCCGAGGCTCGGCGTTGAGGTTCGTTTTGCAACACCCGGAGGACACGTGTAGGGCATTGGTTAGGTAATCTTCCTACGGACGCGAACCACTCCATCCCCCTATATGGTATTATTTCGTTTCTTTCTTTATTTTTAGATTCTATCAGTAAAACGCAATAGGAATCTAAGGAATCTGTGACTGTGTATAAAATGTCGTATTCTATGAATTATCTAAGGCATTTGCTTGTGTCATCATAGTCAGCAACACAATATTGAAAAAAACAATAAAGATAAATGGTGTCTGTATTAAATCAGACGGCCATATAAGAGTATTCTAACTTGTCTAACAGAAAACAAATATGTTATTAACAAACCTGATTTAACTAGACCGCCTTTGGTTATGGCCGTGCCTCAGGGACCAATATTAGGTCCTTTACTATTGTCACAAACGCTCTCGAAATAAAACTGCGAAAATACTGCAGACAGATTTTACCAGAACACCACGGGTCGCTCATTTTAATACGAGCCTTATACAGTGCGGCATAAGAGAGAAAGTGCAAGGACATCTGCACTTATTTACAACTTATGCGCGTTACCTACTTAAAAGTAGGTACTACGCTTTCGCGGGTGCTAGTTAACTTTCAATTTAACCGGACTTTCCTGGAATGCGTTGATTGGCGTATATAAGCGCGATTCACGCCGCGCAGCACCCTGCGTTGCTCCCCCCCTGGGGGACGATCGCTTCCGATGGAGCCTCAGAGGCCTTCCCGGCCAAAAGGCAGAACCTACGGGTGTTTTTAGTCAGTACGAGTCTGACATAACCTTGCAGCCGGCCGTAGGGTATCCATGAGGATTTCTCACCCGCTACCCTGCCTGGGAGGAAACAAAGAAAAAACCGCGCAGCAGGCAGTTTAGTTTCCAAGCGATAACAGTTGAGTTTCAACTGCGATTTCGAAATGGATACAAAGGTGATGAAAGTGCAAGTAAAGTGTTCAAGTGCGATTGTTTAAAGACTGGCATAGTGAAGTACAGTGTTTAGTGAGTGTATTGTGATTAACATTGTGAGTTTACTGTGTGGTGAATAAAGTACTATCAACAGGGCCTTCTTTAACCTATTAGAGGCCCTGGGCATATTAGGATAATGGGGCCCCTATGACTTTGATGTGATTATGACTTGAAATGGAGCGAGTCACACTGATGAGTGTACTACTGATGATTTTTCTTTAAAATGTGTATGTGCTTAGTATATTATTATTATTTAATTAAATTTATCTAAGCATGCTGAAGTCGGAAAGCCTAATTTTTGGGCGAGAGTAGAATAACTTCGCGCATGTAAAAGCTAGTAAGTTGGTATTGTAGTCAGTAATTTAGCATCGATTTCTTCGAATTATACAAGTTTTTAGGTAATAAATATTGGTTATCGTTTGGTGATCTGACAGGAATTAGGGACTTTCTATTTGATCTGAGGGCCCTTATCGATCGCAGGGCCCTGGGCACTTGTCCAAAGCGCCCACTGGGAAAGAAGGGTCTGACTGTCAAGCTTGAACTGGCATATATAACTTCGAACCCCATTCCGACACGTAACACTATTAATATACGTTTGGCATGTTAAATGCGCACTGACCTAGCCTAGTAGTACTTTATTTTATTATAGTGACCTGCAAATATCGCCTGTGATCTAATTATACCAGCACCGTAAGTGTATCAGTATTATTTGCTAATTCAGATTTTAAGGTTGACAAAGGCATCAATCTCGGACAGCCTAAATGTACTATAAAAATTAGGTTTATAGAAATCAACAACAACATTTTAACATTGGAAGGACAGTACTTGCAATATATTACAAAAAACCAATGACTCTCTATGTCATTGCAAAAAAACAGTTTAATTTCTATCCTGAAAAACAAAACCTTGAATAAAACATGAATAAAAAAGAAACCTGTTCAAGAAAAAAAAACTGTTTTTTTCACGAGTACTGAATTCAAAATTGTTAAAAAGTTTCCGTTATAGATAAATGCTTCTAAGTTTATATTCAAGATTTCTGTTTATTTTTGACCGCATCACATTTTTTTGATTGAAAACAACCAACCAAGCTTTCAACAATACACAATATCCATATTTTTTCTAAATATTTTATTTCATAATTTACATTCCCTTATAGTATAAAATTTTCTACGTCGTTAAAATAGTCTAAAAATTCAAAAATAGTCATTTAAAACAGGTATTTTTAACGTTCGCTATTTTGGAACTCTTGGTGTAACAAAACCACGGAACAAAACAAATAAGTCAACAATTGGATTAGGAGGTCAGGTGCGCGCGTACAAGCTAGAAACATTAACGTGTCGTGGCGTGTCGCGTATAGATGTAAAAAAAACCATTCCCGTCTGCTGCCTGGTCTGCGTGGAATTTTTTCTATTAAACTTTTCTTTAGAATCAAGATTGTTTTTAAAAATGGAAAAAAAACATTTTGTTTTTCATTTTTTTAGTGATGTAAAAAACGTGAACTCTCCAGTAGCTTCTATTCAAAAGACAGACGATTGAATGTTGGTTGATTTTTGATAGAGGGCTTATGGTGGGAATACTTCACAAGGTGCAAGGGTAACCTTATGTTATTCTACCGCGCTCAAGTAAATCCAAAAATCCCGCTTGGGCTCCCCTACTATAATAAGAAATATGTATAATACTGAATTACTGATTGAGCATACTTTTTTAGGTTACGGTATATCGGGCATTGTGCTGTAGAACCACCTATTTCATCCGACGAAAGATCAAGGTTAGTTAAAATTAATTAGTTATTTCGTTTTAATGTAGTGCCCAGGAACCTCTTTGGAGATGTTAATACCTATTGCAGAAGATGGATAGAAAGAGATAAAGTTAGACAATGAGAAGCAAGAATAGCTTCTTGTGTCTTTTCCTAAGGCCTAGAGTCAGTCTAATATAGACAGTCACAACACAACACCATTGTTCACTGTGGTCTTAAAATGACGTTGCCATGGCGATTTGCTTAGATGCGTGTTTTTGTGATAAATTGTGATAGCTGTATTGTAAATAATAGAACGCCACGCTACCCTTCGTATGCGAATCCGACTTTCTCTTAGTCGGTTTTTTCTTTTGTTGCTGTAGTTATTTTTGCACTTACTTTTTTTTGACGTAAAATCGGCGAGTTTTATGTAAGTACCTACTTACCTTTCTTTGTTTTGATTTTTAAAGAAAAGTTTACAACGAGTACGACTTTGATTCTACGTCAGACGAATCTACAAGTGGTATCTTGAGAAGAAAGAAAAAGAAGAGGGAAAAATTTAAAAAGAAAGTAACTTATTTCGACATGCTACCTGGTGATATTATGTTACCATCACCGGCTCCAGTTATCAAACATACACCGTCTGATAAATCAATATTAAACGTTAGTACTACGTAAACCTTAGGTATTGTAATAATGGTCAATGCTTCTACATATTTTTATGTAATTACCATCAAAGTCTCACGTGCTCTTATCAACGTGGCGGTTACTTAAGTAGCTATAACGTTAAGCGTTCAGCGTAGAGGCATTTAGTTTTTTGTAGCGTAGCCTTTTGTAGATGCCTTTATCTCCCAAAAGTGTGCAAATACACACGCATTGCCGTGCCTCAATTAGGAACGCGTTTGTTAACTATTAGTTTTGCCAGTTATATTTGTGAATACCATTATCGGAAATCTGCATAACCACAGATAAATGACTGGTGTCGCTACACTCCACTAGATACCGGATACCGCGCTATCAAAAAACAACAGCACCAGTTATGCGGCAACTCATAATTGTAGTGTGTGTGTATCACTTTGCAAGGAGAGTGTCGTATGTCAAAAAAAGTGTAGCCAACTGCTCAACTAGTACCCCAGTAATAGGGAAAATATTTTATGCTGTTGTCGATCCACACTAACAATACCAATTACAAAATCCGTACATAATATATGAATATATATACAGGTCGTCCCACGGCTACCTCACACGGAGGGAAAGTATATTAAATATTGAAGATAGGACATTTTACTGAAAGAAGACATCATTTTATTTTTACTGATAACTAGAACTGCATTCACAGATTTTTTTTAAAATCCCCTGTTACAACTGGGAATCAAACTCGTGAAATTTCGAAAAAAATAACTCGGCATATTTTATTATAACCATCGAAAGGGTTAATCAAAAGGATTATTTTTTGCTAAATAACATAGCATTTTAAATGAAAGGAATGTGAATTACGTGATAAAATAATAAAGTGTTATACTTTAACTATAACTGTAGTACGTATGCATTTCTTTTTGAACTCACAGTTACAATGCGACTGGCAGAAATTTGTAATAATAATAATTCGAAAATGGAACACACATAAATTTTCAAGTTCATTTGTTTTTTGTGAGTTGATTTTCATTTATTTGCAATTTTTTGTTAATTTACTTACCATGGCTTATCAAAAATCTTTCTCTATCTCTATCTTTATTCCATTATTTAAACACATATCGAGAAGATTTGTCTCTATCAGGATATCTTTTGCGGTACCACCGCTAAGCTAATGATATGTCTTTGTGGTTCATAAGGTAAGCTTACATTAAATCTATTTTATTTTGATGCGTCATGGTAAGTACATTAACAAAAAATTGCAAATAAACGAAAATGAAACTCACGAAAAAGAAAAGAACACAGGCTTGAAAGTTTATGTGTTCCATTTTCGAATTATTATTACAAATTTCAGCTAAGGGGGCGTCCATAAATTACGTGAGACGTTTAAGGGGGGGAGGGAGTCGAGTCAAATCTCATCTAATCTTACGTTGGAGAGATGGGTGGTCTCGGCAAATATCACGCATTTTTTTCTGATTGAAACACAAAAAAATATACTATTTTGGTCCATTTATTCCAGATTGTACATGCTTAAGATTTAATCTTAAGCGTAATCGTAATACGATTAAAGATCATTCACTAATTCGTTCAAAAGAAAATAATTTCATTCATACTTCGACGTTATACATGACTGTCAAACTACCATATTTGTAACAATCCAACGCGTTTTAGATTAGATTAGATTTATTTATTGCAAAAAATATTGTACAATAAGATGACATGTATACAAATAGATTCTACATATTTTACCATAAATGGCATGCAATTTATACAAAAGACTAAATTAAAGTTAAATTGAATTAAAATAAGGGTCTTTACTATACAATTATAAATACCATGATATATATTACAAATAATTCCATTAAGTATTTTTTTGATTAAAATTATATCTATACAGAATCTTCAATCATATTCATTCATTTCAAAATAAACCATGTAATATTAAATAAATAACTAATTTACATTAATCGATTGTCAAAGGACAATGTTAAAATTGGCCTAAGAACCAACACCAATTTGGCATTTATGATAATTCTTAGTATATTTTTTGCTATAATTATCAGTATTTAGATTGTGACGGACACTTCCAGTTAAGTAAGCTAAATTAAAAAGTTAAAAAATAATCTGAGACAATAAATACCATTTTATGTGTATAATCTTTGGCAGCGCTGCAAACAACACTTCGGTTCACTTGGCTATTCGTATTTGCTATTTTAAAACATGACATCAGTCTGTCCTTTTCATTCCTTACTAAGCATGACATGGATTAACTGTTGTCAAGTGAAGGGCCGGCATAAAACACGTTACTCTGTGGTTGTGGTGCATGCAGTTTGCATTCGTAGTAATCTGTGGCATTCCAAAGAGTAGTATTAAATACCGGAAAGTGCGCTTCGTTTCTTATTACCTGTTGTGTGTGTTTATTTGCGATTGTTTTTCCTTTAATTTAACTATTTCGGCTATCTAATATGCCATCGATGTTACCAAAGAGCAGAGCCCTTATTACCAAGTGCTAGTGAACCTGTGCCACAACATCCTGAGAGGATCATACTGCCAAATTATTCAAGAACACCTGATACACATTCACGCTGCATATTTACACAATATACCTACATGTGATATACAAATAAATACAATAAACAATATGATACAATTATGTGAAAAATAGTCAATAAATAAGAAGCAAAACTACAGTTTTTATTTTATTCATGATTCCTACCTAACCAACCAAGTTTAAAACCTAATAGTTATTCTTTAAAATCACACCGAATAAAATGAATTAGTTGTAATATTAATTCACTTCATACTCAGCTTATACTAAATTCAGAGGTGGACCTATGTTTCATTGATATTAAACATAACCTCAAAAAAAAATTAATTTTCCTAATAATTTAAGTTCTCAGAAGTGTCCGTCAATAATCTTTGTTTTTACAGTCATTTACTTATGATTTTGAACCTAGAAAATAATATTTCATGATTGTTAGTTCTTAGGCTAACTATGTATTGACGCTATACAATGTCCTTTGTCATTAAAAAAATCTTCTACAGTATAAAAATTTTTTTCCTTGAGCCAAGTCATTAGTTTTGATTTAAATAATTTACTGGGTAGACATTTTATTTCATTAGGTATTGCATTATATACTTTTACACACATACAATTACATTGTTTTAAGTACCAAGTTAATTTCGGTAGATTATAAAATATTAATCTATTTGGGTCTCTTACACTTTTGTTTTGATTTATCATTTTAAAAAGATTAAAATTGCGTTTACGTAAGAAACCCACATTTTGAAAAATCTCACGTGAGATCGGGGGATGGGGGAGGGGGTTGAATAAAATCTCACGACATCTCACCAGGGGAGGAGGGAGGGACAGAAAATTCAGAAATACACCTCACGTAATTTATGGACGCCCCCTAATCGCATTGTAACTGAATTCAAAAAGAAATGCATACGTACTACTATTTGTATATCACTTTATTATTTTTATCACGTAATAAGTCATTCCTTTCATTTAAATGCTATGTTATTTAGCAAAAAAATATCCTTATGATTAACCCTTTCGATGGCTACTATAAAATATGTCGTGTTTTTTTTTCGAAATTTCATGAGTTCGATTCCCAGTTGCAACAGGCGGTTTTTAAAAATTCTGTGAATGCAGTTCTAGTTATTATTAAAAATAAAATGATGTCTTCTTTCAGTAAAATATCCTATCTTGAATATTTAATATACTTTCCCTCCATGTGAGGTAGCCGTGGGACGCCCTGTATATATGAGTATATAATTTTTAGTATTTTTACTTATTCTATGTCCCTCAATTATATTAAATATACGCGATGCACGGAGACGCGAATCCTATAATTTTATCGCGCTTGCTTGTTTAGTTAGTTTCTTTATTTTATCCCACCTGTCAATAGTTTGGTTACAAATTCTTATAAGTACCTCTATGGCATGGTCTGAGTGGTACGTATGCCAGTTTTGATGGTGTCGGCCTATAGGTCCCGGTGTGAATCTTTGTGGGGTACAACGAAAACGAGCATTTGTGCCTATGTCATGGATTTATATGTATTTCTAGATAAATTTCCATACTAACATTATAAGTGTGAAGGTGTGTCCGTCTTTCTGTTACCTGTTCACGCTTAAACAATGCATCGTCAAAGTTTCTATGAAAACTAAGCAGCGCCACTGACACCAAGTATAAACTAGCTTTTCCCATACAAAATTTGACCATTACGATACTTTACGAAGCTGTCAAAAACTCGTAATTGGGCCTCTGATCGCAATTTTATTCAATTAATTTCAACAATTTTTCCAAAAATTCTTGTTTTCATTGTCATTTACATAACAATTGTTTATACTGATATTATTTTTATTTGTGAATTAATGCTGTTGTTTCTCTAAATCCTAATAAAAGGTTCCAAGCCCGAAGATAAGCGGTGAAATCATTCAAGCACAAAGAGCAAGCGTGAAGCCAGCGGAGTTGGTGCCACCGTTGCCACCCAAAGCAGCTGATCAGTAAGATAACTCAATTAATTTAAAAATATTTATATGAGTGCGAATCAAACTGAACGGCAGCTATGAAGTTAGCGGAAGTCGCGGCGAAGTAAACGATATGTAAGTACAATGATGGGCGGAAATCAGTGCTGCCAATTTAGCATATTTATGGCTAAATTTAGCATATTTTTAAGTGATTTAGCTTTAAAAAAATCATTTTAGCATGAAGCATATTTTTTAGCATATTGTCTTGTTAACTTAATACAAATGAAATGCTACGTTATTAAATTACGTTTAAATTTTTGCCGTGACCGCTCTCCAATCGGCGCACTGTTTTATCAATTTTTTGTTGTTCAGCCATTAACGATAAAAAAAATATCACACTAGTTGCTACTTCACTGTCGTTCAAAAACTATTTTAATTAGTCTATGCGTCGCTCGTTTCGTTGTGTTTTCTATGCGAGAATCCCCGAATTGAAAAACAGATGAATGAATTAATGAATTGTTATTTTATGATTAAGCCAACTAACTAACAAGATAATCATTAATTATCATATTAGTTTGTTGGCTGGCTAGCAAACAAACAATACATTTACACGTGTAGTAGTGGTAATTTTGTGTTGTTCTGTTTCTAATATTATTTTAACCATGATAAATATACTCAGCATAAACGTTCGGAGTGGGAATTAATGATAGAATTTAAAGAATGGCTGTATAACTAATCAACATTAAACTTAATATATCTTTTATAATTGTATTGTTACTAATTGACACTAATATTTTATCACATACATTACATAGTACAATACATAGTTACAATCTTATATAACAAATATCGGTAATGGACATTAGTGGTTAGCATTATATTTTGGCATCTTTTTTAAAATTTAGCATATTTTTGGCATTTTTTTAATGTCGATTTAGCATGAAATATTTTTTGGAGTTGGCAGCACTGGCGGGAATGATGTAGGCGCGCAGTTGTCACTGAAACCATAGTTGCACTTGCTGCTAACTTCGTAAACCCCATCAAGTTTGGATCGCACTATATGTATACAGTTCAATAGGTGTAGAGTCTGGCAAAGCTAACTTTGCAAAGGAATGAAGTGGCAACCCCACAGAAACACTACTGTAGCGGACTTTTTGACGGGAAGTCAAACTAGGCGCGCGCTTTTTTTATTTCCTCAAATATTAATTAATTTTATTGACTTTCTAATTCAACTTTTCTTCGAAAAAACCTTTCAACAACAAGATGGGTCCCCCCAGCGATGGGGAGGACCAAGCAGAGGGTACCAAAAAGCGAAAGTTATCCAGTAATGCGGCGGCAAGCACCACTGTATCTACTGATAAGTATAAAGTTTATACCAAACACAATTATAAACGACGATTTATAGAGAATCACTCAGGAGAATGCACAGTATTTGTAGAATCGACTCAACAGGAAAAACTAGGAAACAAAAACCCTATTACTATTACCAAATTATTCACTGAAAATATTAAAGGAATAGCTGGCGTTCATAGAGTCAACGCCCACAAAATAGGTGTAACTTTTAAAAAACCGTCCATGGCAAATTCTTTCATCAAAATGGATGATTTTCTGGCCAAGCATAAAATGCGCGCTTTCGTCCCAGCCTATTTAACAGAGACTATTGGTATTTTAAAATACGTGCCTAAAGAGCTCTCCAATGAGGAAATTTATAAAAACATCACTTGTGACGCTGAAGTAATATCAGTAAAGCGTGTAATGAAGAAAACTGATGACGGCCTTATCCCATTGACCACTGTAGCAGTCACCTTTGCAACAACATCACTGCCTGAATATGCATATATTCAATTATATAGATACCGTGTTCACCAATACATACCACCTGCACTTCAATGTTTTAAATGTTTGAGATACAACCACTCAGCCAAGGTTTGCAAAGGCAACCAGACTTGTTCGTCCTGTGCTGGACAACATTCATACAAAGAATGTGACGTTGAGGAAATTGTTTGTATAAATTGTAATGGTAACCACTTAGCTATTTCCAGAGACTGTCCTATCAGAATGAAGAAAATGGAGGAAAATAAGAAAAAATACTCGCAGCAATCTTATGCCACTGTGGTGAGTGTGACACCCCCACCAGTCAATGAAAATACATTCCCCCAACTTGTGTACCAAAATAAGAAATCTAGTGAATTTGACATTAATCAGATAGCAAGTAATGAAATCATACTTAATGCGATAGTTAAATGTTTAGTATCTTTAGGTAATAGAAAAGAACAAACCCCCTTAAATTCTAAGAAAATTAAAGAAATATTTATATCACATTTAGTTTAATGGATACTTATTTACAAATAGTTCAATTTAATATACAAAGTTTACAGAGTAAAAAACCTTTTCTGCAAATGCTCTTCAAAACAAAAAAAAATATTGATATTTGTTTATTAAATGAAACCTGGCTCAGCAACAACTCCAATATTCCTAATTTTCCTAATTACAACTTTATTTACAAAAAATCTCAAAACAGACATAATGGTGTGGGCATTTTAGTCAAACATGGTTTGAAATACACAATACTAGATACTCATTTCTATGAGTCTATACAAAATGTTGGGATATCTATTAAAACTCAGTCAGGTGACATATCCATCTTAGGTGTATACTGTCCACCCAACAGTACTCGATTTGATAATAAATTAAATAATATAATAAACAGTATTCCTAAACCATGCATTATCATGGGTGACTTTAATGCCCATCACATAGCTTTTGGGTGTCAGAGTAGTAACAATAGGGGCAATAGTTTTTATAGTATTATAGATGACTTTGATCTATGCATCTTAAATGATGGCTCTCCAACCACTTGTCCATATCCCAATAGACAAGTCTCAGCAATAGCACTTGCTACTTCTTCAATAGCCCACTTATGCGATTGGCATGTCCATTCTGACACCATGGGTAGGTACCACTATCCAACTTTCCTTCAGCTTAACATTCAACCATCTCTGTATGAAGTTTCACCTGAAGAAGAAAAATATATTTATAGTAAAGCTGATTGGTTTAAATTCTACACAATGTCTGAAACCTGTTTCTCTGAATTGGATACTAAAAATGGTTTTGCATTAGAATTGTATAATAATTTTGTAAATATTTTAAATAACTTAAGAGATATCACTATCCCTAAATGTAAACAGAAGACCACCCCTAACATCCACAGAAAGCCAGCTCCATGGTGAAACCCAAAATGTGCGGCTGCTGTTAAAAAATCCAGAGGCATTAAAGTTTTACAAATCAAACCCAACTATAGACAATTTTATTAAATATAAAAAACTTGATGCTCTAAAGAAAAAAACTATAAAAGAGGAAAGTAGGGAATCCTGTAAAAATCTATGCAGTAGCTTTGCCAGATTAACACCTATCTCTAGAATATGGAAATACATTAAAAAGTTTAAAAGGATAGGTAACAGTCTTAACAAACATTTTGAAGATGAATGGGTTCCAAGTTTCTTAGACCGCTTATCAGACTATTCTGACAATGATGAGGAAAGACTTATAAGTTTATTTAATAATTCGAAAGAAAATCAAATAAATTCCTTTTTGAATCAGCCATTTACGAAAAATGAACTGAACATATCATTACAAAGTAGAAAAGACACTACACCAGGTCTTGATAATTTACCCTATATTTTGATTAAGAAAATTCATAGTTTATGTCAAATTCAATAATAGGCTGCATGGACCAAGAAATGCTAACAAAGGTACCATGCAAGGTGCAACTCTCTCTCCATTACTGTACAACTTGTACACTTCTGAAATATTAAAATATGTAAATACTGACCATGTAAATATTTTACAATTTGCCGATGACTTGCTTTTGTACAGCATTAATCAAAACATAAGTATAGCTCAAAATAATATCAATACTGCTTTAGAACAATTACATGCCTATTATTGTAATAAGCTGAAACTACAAATTAGTCCAGAAAAAAGTTCAGCCTTAGTTTTTAGTAAAAATAGTAATAACCTTGACATTTCATTTGACAATAATAAAATCCATATAGTAAATGAGCATAAATTTTTAGGTGTAATTATTGACAACCAATTAAAATTTGACAAACACATAAGACACATTAGTGCCAAGGCATTGAAAGGTATCAACATTTTGAGGTATTTGGCTGGAACATTCTGGGGTTCGGATCCCAGAATAATGAGCATGTTGTACAAAAGCATAGTCAGAAGCCATTTCGATTATAGTAGCTTTAGCTTATAACAATGCTAGCAGCTCTCTGCTAAAAAGGCTTGATGTAAAACAAAACATTGGCTTAAGGTTAATATGTGGTGCAATGAGGTCTACACCTATTAACTCTTTGGAAATAGACACATGTATACCTCCTTTGTTCCTTAGGCGTTTACAGTTGGCAGAAAGATTTTGCTTAAAAACTTTGTCATCATTTAATATCCTTTCCAAAAAGTTTGAAAGCATTTGAAATATTCTTCAGTCAGCATCAGCTGTAAATATAACAGCTAAATCACTTGCCACTGCTCCTGAAATTATAAAAATATACACTCATGTTAAAAATCAGTCTCAAAACATACATAAAAGTGATATTTGCACTCCCTTACTTCCGTTCTTTCTACCTCTTATCATCTTTATGCAGACGACCTTCAGCTGTATACGCAAGACACCCTACCAAACCTGGAGAGGGCAGTCTGTTTACTCAACCAAAACCTCTCTCGTATACGTGAGTGGTCTCATAACTTTGGGATTACCATCAACCCCGTCATATGTCAGGCGATCATTATTGGCAGTTCTCGACAGATTTCACGGCTTCATTTGAACACAGTTCCAGCCATTAAGTTCAACGATGTAGTGATCCCCTATTCTACGAAAGTAAAAAATCTTGGCCTCGTAATTGATAACACACTTAGTTGGGATGGCCAAATAGAGAACATATGTCGGTAAGGTAAATGGAACACTTGGTTCGCTTTATCGCCTCAAGAATTTTCTCCCTCCGCGTACTAAAATCTCTCTTGTACAATCCCTTGTTCATCCTCTCTTTGATTATGCTGATGTTTGTTTTACTGATATAAATCAACTATTTCTTACTAAATTGGATCGTCTTCTCAATAACACTATTCGTTTCGTCTTTGGTTTACGTAAATACGACCACATTTCAGAGTTCCGCAATAGACTTAAGTGGCTACCTATTCGGGAGCATAGGTGCTTAAGGACAGTTCTTACCCTTTTCAATTTACTATACGATCCACGCACCCCTGGATATCTGAAATCTCGGTTTCAGTTCCTGGGGTCTTCCCATGAATTAAATCTCCGTTCCAATGATAATTTAATACTCGAAGTACCCATTCACCATACTGGGTTTGTCTCCAGCTCGTACACCCTTTCTGCCATCCGGCTCTGGAATGCACTTCCTTTACACGTGCGTAATGCCCCAAACAGGAATGCGTTTAGGGCTTTGGCGCGGAAACATTATTTAAATTTATCGCAAAATGCTTGAATTTGAATTAGGATACTATAATCAGACACTGTATATTATTATTAGATATGTATTTATGTATGTATATATTTGTGTGTACCTATTATATATGTTGCTAGAATGTATATTTATATATGTATGTATAAGTGATTAATGCTTTTTAATGTTTTCTCTGTTCGTTGTCTGCCGTTTTATTTTCTCTGCACCTTCTTTCCGGTTGACTGGTAGAGAATGCCATACTGGCATTAAGTCCGCCATTTGCATTGTAAAGGCAATAAAGATTAAATAAAATAATATAAATATTTGGCCAGTTTATATATGCCCTTTCAAAGGGCTCATTAATATTAACACTGATACAGTTTACTTAGGTAATATATTAAATAAAAATGACTTTATGCAATTTAAAGCTATAAAATCTGATAGCTATTTTATTTATACAGATGGCTCAAAAAATGAATATAATGTTAAGGCTGCTTTATATGATCCACAAGACAGTTATACTTTGACCATTCAATTAGATTCTCAGTGCAGTATCTTTACAGCCGAATGTTATGCAGTATATCAAGCATTAGTTTTTGTAAATAACAGAAGTTTTGTAAATAGTGTAAATATAATAATAGTTACTGATTCTAAAAGTGTATTAGTAGCACTTCTAAATGGGCTCCTGTGTTTTAAAAGTAATTACATTTTGTATAATATTGTACATTTAATAGAAGAACTTAGAAATAAGTACATTAATGTGGAATTTTGTTGGGTTCCTTCACACAGTGGCATAGAAGGCAACGAAATAGTAGACAGTCTCGCACACATAGATCCTGATGAAAACCATAGCGACATTTTGAAAGTTCCTTTTACAGATTTTAAACCGATCTTCAGGAATAATTTGTACAAGTTATGGAAGGATTACTGGAATATCACATTACAGTCTAAAGGAAAATGGTTAGCAGACATTCAGAAGGATATCCAAAACAAACCCTGGCTTGAGAGGTTCAAATACAGAAGCAGAAAATTTATAACGGTTATTTCCCGTATGCGTCTCGGACACTGCCTGACTCCAACACACATGCACAGGATCAAGATTTTTAGCAGTGCTCAATGTCTCCATTGTAGAGAAGAAAATGCAGACCTGGATCACTTAATAATGACCTGCCCAAAGTTCAATTTACAACGGTTATTATTGGTTAGCGAAGTGAGTGACATTTGTGAACGGAACAAAATATGCATTCACCGCCGCGTTCAGGAATTGCTTAGCAACTCAGATTTTTATTTACCATTATTTAATTTTATAGAAAATAAAAAGTAAAGATAAAATTTTGTTTACAATAGATTATTTTTGATATTGTAAATAATTAAATAGAAATAAGTCCAAACTTCCTTTTTTAAATTTGTCATACTTTTGTTTATCAATGATTCTTAATTTTGTTCAATTTGTTTTTTTTTTTATAATTGTTATTTTTAAATTCTATCTTTATAATCTTCATTGTTTTGTATTACCTATGTGTACGACTGAAGGACTTGTATCCATGGTCATGAAAAAATTAAAAAAAAAACTACTGTAGCAACACTCGTTTCTGTCACTTTCATTGTTAAGCTTGCATAAACAGTTTTGATACTTTGAATGTTGAATATAAAAATTAAGGTATGTATATATCTCTGGTTCTTTCTACAGTATTCCATTAATTCATTACTTATAAAGTATATATTAGTGGAGATTCTAGCATGATGCTCTAAACCTAAACTTGACAACAGTGTATCCTTGTCATTCTCTATACAGCATGAACTTCGCACTCCCTCGCACTCCCCCTTACCTTAAGGAACGTTTCAAATTTCTAGGTACGGACCACAACCGCATGTTGCGCTCCAAAAATGATAATTTGTTGGAGATCCTTTTAACTCGCTCAGAATACTATAGGGATTCCTTTACAGTTAAAGTGGCTCAACTTTGGAACAATCTGCCGTCTGAAATCCGGAGTTCAAAGTCACTTCCCATATTTAAAAGTAGATTACATACTCTCCTTCTGCTGCGAACTTAGTCTACTTTAACATTACATATGTTGTTAGTATGTAGGTATATATTTATGTTCAATTATATATATTTATATGTGGTATGTATGTGTGTGTATATATATATAATATGTATGTATATGTAAGTGTATGATAGACAATTACTTATATGTACGTATATTATATTAATTACATTTCTCATCGACTCTGCTGGCTTACTACATCTTCTTTTCCGTTTAGCTTACCTATACTGCGAAGGTTGTCTGGAAGAGATCGCTTGTAGCGATAAGACCGCCTTTGCCCATATTATTGTTATTAATGTATTGTTTGTACCTATGTCCATTTGTATGTGAGCAATAAAGTGTGTATTATTATTATTAGTTTTAAGTTTAGAGAAACATGTTAGAATCGTCACCATTCATTACTTATATTAATTTTAACAATCAGAATTCATATAATTATGGAACTTAAATAATGCCACTTAATTCCTTTGCAAATTTAGCTTTATAACACAGTACCAACATTAAGAAAGCTACTCCTATCTAGACTTGAGAGAACCTGGAATATCCGGTTTAATGGTAGCAGAAATACATGTTTTAATAACGTTTCCTTTAAAGTTCTGTATTGTTATATAAATATATACTTATGTTTGTATTTATTTTTAAGCATTTAACTGCTAGATGTTTAAATCTAAAGAAAAGTTTACTAGAAAAAATATATACTTTATAAGTAATGAATGTATACCGTAGAAGGAACCCGAGATATAACAAAAAACATGTTTGAATTTTATGATACACAAAAAAATCAAAGTATCAAGAATATTAATTGGGGTTAAACATAGGGATACATTGCCCTTTTTTTATTCTATCATATTAAGGACATTGCAAAGTTAGCTTTGCTACATATACCTACATACTTAAATTTTCCCTTTGCACCTTGTGTACTTTCTTGGATTTTAGTGCTGTTAGATTTGAATTTCTTACGCAATTATATAATAAAATATATCGTAGCGAAGAAGTATTGTGTATTATGAAACCTACTTATAAAAAAACATTATAACACTGAAACGTGTGTTATAATGGTTTTTATGGTTGTTTTTATGTTGGAAATAAGCTTACATTATTCAGAATCTCTAATAGCGGTTTTATAGCATGATTGTAGTGTTTTTTTACAACAGTTGCATCAATAACTATTACTATACAGCTATCAGTACTGTAATGAGTTTTATGCATGTGCGTTTATAAAGTACATCTTTAAATTCGTAATTCGAATATTTCGACACGAGATATAACTACCTAATATATCTACATCACCAAATTCAAAGAAATCAGCGCTTCCGTTTAGATATTTTATTATTGCGACCTGTCCCCGTAGCATAAGCAACCCGATACAAATTATATGATGTTTTTTATCGCCGCTGTAACTGTCAAACTCCATAGTAATTTGACAATTCAGCGTCATGAAAACGAGCAATAGGCTATAACAGTGCTCATGCTAGGGGGGCAGGGGTGTGTAAGCAAGGTTCTTTCTACTTAGTAAGATATTATTGTAATTTTAATATAGTACACATAGGCAAAGATGATAATTAATTAAACAATTATAAATTTTGTTTCTAGGCTTTACAAACCACATAGTGGTATAATCATCAACAGAGATAAGGACTTTGTTCCTGATGCCGTCCATATTACCGGACCAAAGATACTGGGGTACGAGTTTTTTTCCTTTCTTTCTGCTTTATGGATTTTTTTTATTACCAATAAGCCATTTCTTTCGACAGAAAGAAGTCAAGTCTAGTTTTGTAATCTTTACAATTAACTCTCGTTTTGCCTGTTAAAATATTTTAATTTAAAGTCGGGACGTCTCATATCGTTTCGAACGGGCATGTTGTACCTACACCAGCCAGCCTTTTCACTTAACTTCTTAGCCACTTCGTTTGCATGGGAAGCAAGCTTTTCTTGGTAGTTCTTAATGTACTGGGCTATTACTTGCAGAACTGTAATGATTTTAAAGTCTAAGTAAATATAGGTAGTTGTTGGCAACAAGTACCTATATTTACTCGGACTTCATTTACTTAGTTGCTAATGCACCGAGTCTAAGGAATACGATTTTTTCTTTCTTTATGCCAGCTGCAGAATAATTTTCTTCTTTCTAAATAATATTCAAAATAACTATCTCTAAATCATTTCTAATAACTACTAAGTAAATTTTCTGGTTTCAGGAGAAAAGAAAAGAGGCGACGACCGTGCCACAAACGAGGGTATTTTTTTCTTTCAATGTTTATAATTATAGTAGTTACTTACCTTCATCGTTTGTATTTCTTTGTGTTGTGTTATATATTCAATTAAAATTTAGATCTTCAATGTGTATCAAGCTACTTATGATAGCAAGTCGATGCAAGTGCAGTGTAGAAAATAGAGTAAAGAACGATGAAATAATGTTTGCAACGCGTGGAGATTATTCAAGAACATGAAATATTTTTTAATGTTTTCAGTGTCTGCTGCAAAAAAACATGTAAAAGGAAAAAATGTAGGTAAGTATATCCTTATTGCTTTTTCGCCATTTGTACCTATACCGACGCATTCGTATGCAAAGACGAAACAACGAAAAAATGAGAGAAGATCCTTTTCTTTGAGTAGGTGCATTCCCACGTTATTACAAATCTGTTTAGCTATTGAAGATGACCCCTGCTATTTTCTCAAGTAGTCACCTCGACAATAGGCTATATGCCGTGTAGCCGACACCACCACCCACATTTTCACAGGGTGGTAACTCGGTAATCGCACATAGTCAAGACATTTTGCGGCCACATTAAGCCATTAAGCCACCACGCTTAGGCGGCAAGTCACCCACAAAAGAATTAACGTCAAGTGCTGTAACGATTTGCACTCATTACTTATTTATCATATCAAACAAACAAGGGCCTAGATAATATAAATCCTAACTGTTCTTATCAAGTCATCACAGTCCCGCCGGCATACAAAACGCTAATCGCCGCCATTCAACCCTTGACTAGCCTTTAGAATTTCACATAGAATGAACTTTGTGAGTAGGTGTGGTCTGTTTTAATTAAATTAGATATTTTTTACAGACGTTACGCGGCTATGACAAAACGTAAGATGCAGCATCGGAACATAAGGTGGAATTTGTTATTATTGTGGCAGCCTTATTAATATATTAGGAACGTTCACCGAAATGTTTTATTTAAAATTTGATTGTATATATTTTAGGTCTGCATCAGAAGTTTCATACACCACATTGGGTGTTACTGACGGAAAACCAAGAGCTAAGAGCAGCCGTAAACATGTGAAGGACGATGATTCTGTTTGTGGACTTGACGAAATACCGAGACCAGAACATGTAAGTTACATTTCTTCAAAAAAAGATTATCTATTAACGAGGTACCTAGTTACTCTACATTATTGTTTCCAACGAAACCTTCTGTTTCACTAGTTTTAGGCTTATATACTACGATGCATGTAGGATAAAAGGACAGCTACGTTTTGGTTTCAAATATGCTGATCGTTTACCGACTTTCCCTTCATTAGGTTCAAATACCAGCAAACCTAAAACGTGGGACACTTCAAACGCATTCTCTTACTGTGTTACCTTGTACGAAAGAAAGAAAACCCGACGTTCACTATGGCATCCTCACCGGATCATTTAACATGTATGATGCAAAATTTGGTAAGTCTTTCTGGCGAATATTTTGGACATTGGTTCAATTAATACATCGAAGACCTTGTTGGGTTAACTTTAAGTCACTCCTCCAGCACATATTACTTACTTGATTGATCGATCTGTCCAAGTCAATCTCTTCAGTTTTGTAAAGTTTATTGAATTGAAAACTTCTTTAGTATTATTTTGATTTGAGATTCTATGAAACGGAAGTAGAGTATTTGACACAAGATATGTATCCGTAATTTTGAGACCAAATGATCGGTGGTTTGTTCCTGAGCTCGGTTATTATTATTATTTTCTTTTACTAAGCTATTGGTGTCGATTCTGCCACGATTCTCTAAACTTAAAACTATATTTAACAACAGTCTCTCCTTTTCATTCTGTATACAGCATGAAAAGGATACACTGATGTCAAATTTAAGTTTAGATTAAGAGAACCACGCCAGAATCGACACCATTATTTATTTTTCGAAACAATTTAGTTTAATTGAATAGTTAAGTATTAAACGTTTGGTAAGTGCCTAAGTTGATTATTAACACAGGCTTGGTTTTTATCAACAATCCAAACATTTGCAATGTTTGCAATTTTTTACAGTATTTTTATATAGGGTGAAATTGAATGTTTTAATGAAACTTCGTGAGATTGTTGGGTTACGAGTATAGAGTATGCCTGATTTTTTTCGGATTTTTTTGAAGTATTTTTTTTCATGTATTTATTTATAATTTGTGTATTTTTTTGTCCTTTCCTCCTTTTGAGTAGTTATTCATATTAAACAAACATGCTTACATATCCAGTGAAAAACAACTAATAAATAAGCACTTCTAAAAAACGGAAAAACAGTAAAATTCCACCGCGGGTCAACGACCGACCGCGCCCGCTAGCCGTTGAGTGAGTAGGTACGTACACAGAGCTCAGCTGACTCGTTTGATTCCACACAATACAATAAAATCGTCTTAGATGCCTTTATTGAAATTGAAATAATAAGCACAAATGTCATCTTCTCTTAAGCAGAGAAAAACTTAAAAAGTTAATAATAATTTTGTCACGATTGGAAATAGGCAAAAGTTAAACAAAAGGAAATACTTATTGCAGTTCAATACTTGGCTCAGAATGAAATTTATTACCAGGTATTCAAAAGTACTTACGAGACCGATGTACCTATTAATTTTTTTCTCTATAACTTCCCAATAAATCACCAAACCTACTTTCGTAAAGCCTTGTGGCTCTGCTGAGTATTCCGTGACACTCGCAATAACAACACACCATATCCAAATTCTTATATTGAGGGCACAGAACAAGAACTAATCAAGGCATTATTTGCAAATCTTGTCTTGTCACAAATTTAAAAGATACGCACGCGCGCTTGAGACTCCGCTCGCTCACTGCGCTGTGCACCGCGCATACCTAGATAGGTAGGCAGGAAGGTATTCAACGACGGGAGCGGTCATTGCTCCCGGCCGCCCGTCTCCTGTTTTTACGTCTTTTTTAGTAGTGCTTATTACTTGTTTTTTACTTACTCTGTATGCATGTTTTAAAAGAATAATTATTTAGTACCCAAAAGGAGGAAAGGACTTAAAATATAACAAAAAAAAAAAAAAAAATTTTAAATCATTTTTTAAAAAATCCGAAAAAATTCAGAGATACTCTATATACGTAACCCAACATTCCCACGAAGTTTCATCAAAACATTCAATTTCACCCTGTATAAATAAGTATTAAAAAAAAACCTAAGATAAGAAAAACATAACAAAAGAAATAAATTAAAAATAGCTATTAACAAATAAAGCAGCGGTCGGCTGAAGGACTTTCTAAAGTTCAGAGAGTACTGCATATTTATTCACAACGATCAACACTAGCAACATACGTTGCGTTGTTCCAAAACTATCTTTCTTGTCTTGGGAGTGGGAGGGACATAATGTTGAAATATTATGATTCCGAATCCCATGGGAGTCAAATTATGAGAGATTAGTGGACGGGTTAGTTATCTCAATAAGTTGTGCTCTTAAATAATAACCCTAACACATTACCATCATCTTTGTTGTTAACAAAACTATACAAATGTCTTCTCTTTTTCGATGTTTATATGAATGAATTATGATGATCTTAGTAGTTTGAGTTTAAGTTTGGTTACAGGCGGTAGATCTAGAGGTAGGCAAGCGCTTACCATGAGTGTAATGGCTTACTGTTTGGCATTTCATTACCATCCTAAACAGTGGACGATGAAACTCGTTGACAATTTGGTAGACGCTGGAGATCAGTGGTGATTATACATATTATAAATAATTCTTATAATATGAGACGAGAGGAGATGTTTAAGTATATTATTTAATTTAAATTCACTAGGTACGTGCAATGCTTAGAAAAAGTTCACGACCATTCTGCCGTTCAAGGAATTTGTGAAGTATTGCCATTTGGAAAAAAACAAACGCTGGTCTTAAATGGAAAACGTATGCAAGTTTTGCTTGGCGAGCCTGATATAGTCGGATATACTATGTCTCTGGATCCAACTGTGTACAACCTTTGTAGGGGACTAAAAGCTTTCTTCCGTGATAACCGAGCTGGAGTTTTGATGACAAGGTATGAATTTAGCATTTTCCTCTCTCTTGTTCTTTTTTAATTTGTTTAAACGAAATTATTTTCTATTACAGGGTGTTAAAGGTAGTAATTTGGAAGGATCGCATTTGTTATTATATATTTGACCCAGCTGGAAGAGACTCTAAAGCCTATTCAAATTTTGCTAACGGTTGTGCTGCTCTTATGAACGTTAGAGACGTGAATTCCGTTTCTGACATATTATTGGCACGCAGTGTTGTGGAGGATCAAAAATTTGTTCTGGCCCCTGTGAAAGTATTGAAAATGATTGACGAGAAATGTGACGAAGATTTAGAATCAGACAAAGAGTTAACTCAAGCTGAAAAGGCTATGATGGGTTACAGAATTTTAAATGAGAACTGTGCCATAGTAAACGCAAACATGCATTTAGGTGACCGATGCTTTGAAGATACCAAATATCGTCAAGCCTTAACTATTGCAGTAGCGGCTATGACCTATGCTAAAATATCACCTCCCAACACTTGGTTTACGAAAACCTTGGACAAAATCTTGCGTTTGGGTAACATACTCTATGTTGACTGTATCCATCCAAAAGTTATGGTAGACTTGACTATTGACAATATACCTAATGAAATCATTATCGGGCCGTATGCTTGCGAAATTATCATATATAGAGAAAGGGTCAAAGGACAGCTCTTTACAACAAAAGAATGTTTATTCAATATAAGAACTGGCTTAGAAGAGTTTTTCAGTCATGAGTATAATAGTGGTATATTAGAATTCAATAATTATGCACTGGCAATGTGGAGGCAAAAGGATATGTTCTATATGTTTGATCCTTATCCACGCACGAATGACGGTCGACGGTCTGTTAAAGTAGGAAGAGCTTGTTGTTTGATGCTACTTAATTCAGACGCCATTGTTGAAGTTTTCACTAAGAATTGGGATTATTTGCCAGCCACAACTCAATTTTACATACATGCATTCAAAGTACTAAAATTAAAAAAAAGAGAACCAAAGGTAAAATTTATCATTATCCTCAAAACATTTTTGCATGTGTAATGGAAAAAAAATCATGCAACGGAATTCTTTAATAAACTTTTACATCTTTTACAGACACAAATAGTGTGCACTCTGAGTGATGAACAACTTTTCGGATCTAAAAAGGTGAAAAAGAAAGTCCTTCCGGCAAGCCAAGCACATGGGGACGGCAAAGAAATATTTCACGATGTTTTACCGATGGATAACCTGAAAGAAAAAACTGTTGGAGTAAATATACTTTACAAACTTTACTTCTATTATACAGGACTAAGAGAGAAACTAAACTAAAGAATTTACCACCTAAAAACTCTATTATTATCGGATAGTAAAAGTCTATTAACGGATAGGGAAGTAACAATAATGTAGTTGGCGGCATATTCGATTAAATAACGTGGCAAAGCGGCAAAGTTTTGAAGCAAGACAATAATTTATATTTCGTAATGGTAGTTTATTCGCGTTTAGTGTTCGGAGTACGAACGGGGATATAGATTTAAAGTCAAAGAAAATAACGCATAAAATTATTTTTATAGCCACAAGTAGACGAAGAGCGAATGGGGGACATTATATCGTTGGTGGATAGTATACAAGAGGATTACTTTCCACCGATTCCTCTGAGATACAAAAATATGGCACCGGAACCGCTGGAACCAAAAATTGGTAAAAATAGTGTTTTGTTTTTGTACAGCCCTGTGTTAGACTATACCCTTTCATATTCATTTATTGCATCTTGTTGTACACATAGGTGTTACAAGTATGGTTAGGTTGCAAACAAGAGCCCTGTAAGGACACGGCAAATTTATAGATGTAGACATTATTATTACAATTAAACATACTTTTATTATTTGACACAAAATTCGTGGACGTTTTTATGCTACCTATTTTATATTAAAGTCCCGATGGACTGGACTCCACCTCAACACGGAGTAAAATATTAGATCGACAAAATATTTCTTTACAATTGTTTCTAGATGCGGTTCAAAGTTGATCTAATTATCTTTTACTTGGTTTAGTAAACTTGGATTCACCGACGGTGTCAGTAACACAAGTTGTGCCGCCATGGCCAAAGCCGCGCGACAAAACCAACGAACCCATTGAGCCCGACCCAGATCCCGAACCAACTCCTCCTCCTACTCCTCCGCCAATGCCGGTACGTAGCGATATGCATTAAGGCCTGCGCAGACGAAGGTCGAACGACAAACGCACATGATGTGCTAACATTAATTTGTCCCCCGAAAATTTAGAAAAGCGCACGCTATTGTATGTAATTATTCTCAGATTACTTTAAATAAATAAATAAATATTTCCAACACACCCATCAATTAGCCTAGCCCAAAAGTAAGCACTATAAGACTTACTAGGGTAACGGATAGAATACATAAACTGTACATATGTAAGTATAGTTAAATAGAAATACATATTAAACATCCATGACTGGAGTACAAATGCACGTATTCATCACACAAACATCTGCCCACATCGGAATTCGAACCCGGAACCTCTCGAGTCGGCGACACCATGAAACCCGGCGTAAAAACCACTCGGCCACAAAGGTCGTCAAATGTTTCATGTTAATTACAAACTTTGTGTTGTAATTAACATGAAATTAAAAAAAATAGTAGGTAGGCGTTTTATAGGAGAAAAAAGGGTCTATCTTTTGAAAACAGACCGAGCGCGCAAATCGTTGCTGGGCCTTGTCATATGAGTTCTATTTTTATCGGAAACTCCCGCTTACGTTTGTCCTGTCGGGTAATATAAAATGTAACATGTTATTTAATATAACCATATTTTTATTCAGCCGGTCCTAATGCTATTAATACGCTTTATAACAATTTCAAAAGTATTAATTTCCGCGGTGCAATCTTCATTTTATTTGAGACCTATAAGTTTTATATTATTAACGAAATCCTGTATTTTTACAGCCTCCGGAAGGTGGAGAGGAAGAGGTTAGTACCTAGAAATATTTTAGGAAATTATCCATTACACCAGGACACCATATTGGTTCCTAGTACAGGAAGCAGTCATTATAGTCTATAGATTGTTGTGACATCAAGAATGCCTATCGTTGGCATATTGTCTATTCTGAGTTCCTGTCCTGACTCCACATCTGGTGTCTCAGATAATGAAAAGATGATATTAAAATTCTGTTTCCATGGTCAGTACTGCAAACATCCACAGATTTAGAAATTCATCTAATTTACTGTAACATAATTTCAGTCATTTTCTTATAAACCATTGTGATACTGTAGGAGGAAGAGGTCGAAGAAGAAGAGGATGAAGAAACGATGAAAAGAAAGAAGGAAGAGGAAGAAAGACGTAAAGCCGAAGAGGAAGAGGCACGAAGAAAAGCCGAGGAGCTCCCACCGCCACTACCGCCCCCACCGCCTTCACCACAAGGAGAACCTGAAGTTCCGGTAAGAGTTTTCAATTCAGTTTTTATCTCTTTGCTACATTATCTATAATAACAATTATAGCTTCAACCGATGCTGCTCTCCAGTAAGTGATATACTCATCACAGTTATTAAGCGGCTCTCACGTTCTGACAATATTTCAGGGTTACCTACATCACGGGTACTGACACTGATCACTGTTTCACTCATATGAAATGAGTTTTTTTTTACAGCTTGCACTTCCCGCAATACCGATGGAAGATGAAGTTGAGACCATGGAGCCTGTCAATGTAGATAGACGTATATTGCTCGCAGAAGATGCAAAATTTAGATTCAAACTTAGGCAGTTACGGAAGAAGTTCACCACGCCACTTATGGAAGCCCGAGCAGAATTAACTCCGTCGCAGGAACGCCTGCACCCTAGTAATTTCAAGAACTTACCAGACAATACTGAAATTATAAGAGGAACAACTCAGGGCATATCTGATGAGAAAGGATTGGAAGTCCTTCCATTTGCCGCCATTATGGCAATAGTAACATCATACAAATATACCTTAAACACTTGGACTCCAGGCATCGTTAATTTTGTAGTGGACACAGCGAAAAAATTACATAGTAAAAAGAAAGAAAAGTTTCAACTTGCACCTGTTCATATTCTACCGAAAATTGCTATTGGACATCAGGTGAGTGAGTGAGTTCCTCCGTGCTAACTGATTTTTTTTACATGTACTCGTAGTTAGATAGTTCAATATGTTTTTTTATCTAGAGTTTAAGCCCACTTACAGCAAATTTGCCTAACTAACGTCCACTTGCAACAATTTTGCTAAATCTCAATTCAACTAAAAACAGATTTAGCCTATACAATATTGTCAAATTGACATTGACGTTTAGACAGTTTAAGTTAAGCCAAGTTTTAGTTAAATCGAAATTCAAATGCAAATTAGCTGCAAGTGGGCCTAAATCTCTTTAAATAAAACTAGATTTATGTATGTTTCGATATTTATGTATATGTTAAATGTAGTATCTTCTTTTAGTTAAATCTAGATTTAGTAAATCTGCTGCAAGTGGGCCTTAGATGTAAATTTTTCTTGTAAATGGATTTTTAACTTCTAAGGCGCTAAAATTTTATATTGGTATATGAATAATTTATAACTGGACATGTTTTGTTTGGCCAGTTAATGTACCCAAGTTTACTATTCCCTTGTTCATTTAAAATTATAATTTAGTTTTTTTACTATTTACATTTCATTTGTGTAAGTAGCAAATTACTAGATAAGGTATTATTGACAGAACTGATATATTTTCAGGCTTATCACGCTAACATTGATGTAGTGGGTGAAGGTGCCACTTGGCAATTGGAAAACGTGTTGACAAATAAGTTTTTCTTGAGATACGATCGAGGAATGATCACAACATCCAACTACAGCTGTGCATTTTTTAAGAGAAATGGATTATACTACTTATTTGATGGAAGCACATGTAATCCTATGGGTTTAAGAGACGGAAAAGGCAAAGGGAATGCATGTTTATTGAGATTCACCTACTTACATGATCTCGTGATTAGGTAAATAACGATCGCCTTTAAATATTGAGCCTGATTCTGGCATGATGTTAAACATTTAAGATTTAGAAATTTATGCCAGAATTAGGTCCATTGTTATGCAGCAACTATATAAGCAATCATTGTAATAGCTTGCGAGAAGACCTTTAAATATTTATACTTTTTATAGGGTCTTGTTCAACAAAGACGGGAAAAAAGAAGACCAGCAATTTATTTTGAGCAGAATATTAGTGAGAAGACTTCTGACAGAACCTCGTTTGAAGTTACCTGAAGATTATGACTATGAAATAGGAAGACCTAAATCCACGAAATCAAAACCATCAATTATATCTCCAACAAAATCCGATAAAAAAAGCAGTATTGATGAATCTTCAAAGAAAAGCCAAACCGTGGTTGGCTATCAACAAATGGATGGTGGGTATAGACTTGAAGGTACAACTTCAGTCAAAGATTCGAAAACCCCAAGTTCAGATGTCAAAACTTGTCATTTTGTTTGTTTGATAGCAATGTTAATGGCTACAATGCATCCTATCAGAACGTGGGATCATGTCATGGTAGATACCTGCATAGAGAAAGGTCTTGAAATTCACGAAAAAGCCACAAATCTCAACGTTTGCGAAAAGAGAGTAATAAAAAATATTATTTTGGACGGCAAATTTATAAATATTAACATAAAAAAAATTATTGTCGTTAATGAAAATCCTGAAAAAAAGCTTGAACAATACTTGAATGCCGTCCTAAGAAGACTTAGATACGTTTTAGTCAGATTTCCAACTTGTAGTATAGTTATATGTCAAACTGAAGGATATTATCATCTTTTTGATCCTTATGCATCAGCGGTATCTGAAGAACCTGCAAGAAAAGACAGTGATATTACGTCTAAGGATTCCGTACCTAAACAAAAAGCCAATAAAGTAGCATCGTGGACGCTTTATAGATCCATGGACGGGTTGATTCATAGAGTTAAGAAATTAATTCCGTCGGCTTCAGTAAATCACCCAGAATTCTATACTTTCGAATTGACTTCGGTAAAAACTGCACCACGACATTCTGCAATGAACTATAGAGTAAGTCCATTGTTTAAGCCAGATGAAAATCCTAATATGCCTTATTTAAAACGCAGAAAAATTCGGCCAACTGTCGATGAAAAAATGTACTGGCTAAATATTGAATCGATACCATGGTCACGAATGAATCCTGTCAATGATTTAGGATTTGAAAGAAAAACTCCACGCACACTGTGGAAGGAGTGGGATATCGAATTTCCTGGAGACCTTTTCTCTCTGTGGGGAACTTTACATCCAATGGATTCTAAATTTGATCCAAATCATCGTGGAAAACAATATCTGGCTACAAATGTTGTAGCGATAGTAATGGTTGAGGCTTGTGATCTCAGTGCGTGGACAAGTAGTTTCCTTGATGGAATAGTAGAATGCGGTGATAAATATCATCAAACTTGTCAGGATAAATTAGCATCTAAACCAAATCACGAAGTAACGCTCGAAGACTTAGATTCTAAATTTGATGACATGTTCCCTTATTCGTTTTCTGTTAAGTTCGAAAAAGTTATATTTGGATTCGTCTATAACATATTTCCTGATCGTTTTAACATGAGCAAAGCTTTAGTTTATTTCTTTGAAAAAAATAGGTATGGAATTTTGACAAGTCCAACAAAAAATTTAGCATTTGGAAGATATAATTCCTCATTCTTTATGTTCGATTGTCAGAGTCATGGAGCACCAATATTTTGTCCAGGACAAGGGGCATCTTATATATTGAGATGTGAAAGTCTGAACAGACTTATTTACTGCATGACATTGACACTCAATATTAGAAGGCACGGTCAACAGTTCCATTTGTATAGTGTGACAGTATCGCTCACGGAAAAGACAAAATAAATTTTTGCAAACCTTTCCCATGTTTTTTTATTTTAGAAAATCAGTATGAATAGTGCTTCTAAGAATGTGTGTTCTGCACTGGAGCAAGGAGAAGGTAATATCCCACCCATCTGCCGGCTTATTACGTTACTTAGCTAACTTTTTTGACGTTTACAGTGTGTAACAAAAGAAAAAATTGCATATCCATCATTGCTTTTCAGGACAAGTATCTTAGTGAAGTTAATAAAGCAACAGTGGCATGAGCGTCAACAGCCTGTGACCTGTTCATGTTTTTAAAGGGAAACATTAATTTACAAATTTTAAAATGAAACTTTCGGACTGTGTTCATGTTTTTAAAGGGAAACATTAATTTACAAATTTTAAAATGAAACTTTTTCGGACTGGGTGTAAATGGAAAAATCCTACGTAGTCACGAGCGTCACACGACATATATATATATATATGTGTGTCTCTGTGTGTGTGGTATGCGTGCGTAGCTCTTCCCGAAGAGCATGAAAGTTGCGAGGTTAAGTCAGCGAAAGCTGAAACGCTACGAGCGTCACGAGCGTGCGTTAACACGCGCGACAATATATATACAGGGTGTAAGAGGAACGCTCCTGAAGCTGAAATATATGTATTATACTATGAAATTGTAAACTAATGGCAGTGGTATTTTTTTATTGGATCTTTGGTATTGGTATTTTTCAAGCACGCAATGTAAAGGGTACAAATACTCGCCAGTGAACGGCGATCGTATGGCGAAAGTACGCTCGTACGCACACAATGACAGGCATGAAGCACGATCGAATAAATTCAAAATTTCAAATTCAAATCATTTATTATTCGGACAACATAGATCCATGTGTTAGTATACAATACTTAATACTATATTAGTAAATTATATTAAAGACAGATATAACCCTATTTACAAAAATATTTATCAGTGGACAGTCCCCACGAGCCACTAAATCCCTCGCAACTCTACTGCGGCTACCACGAACCCGCCGTAGCAATGAACCTTCTTTTTTGCGCAATAGAGCCGGGAAACTGTCGACCTGCGCATCTGCGAACATTCCCGAAGCACTACAATATCGCGGCAGCCGCAGCAGTGCCTTAAAAAGAGTGATTTTTACAGTGTCAGAACATCGAGCAAACCTACGGGCCAACATATTTGCCCTCTTAGCCAATGCCCTTCGCTCCTTTTCTAGGTCAGCGTCATCCTTTAAAGTATCTGTAACAATATGACCTAGATACTTAAATTGCGTAACTCTACGGAGATCAGATCCATATAGTTTTGCAGAGGGCACGGTTTCAAGAGTCCTTCCGTGAGCCTTAAAAGTCATATATACACTTTTACTGGTATTATAAGATAAACCATGATTGGTTGAATAGGTTTCACAAATGTTTAAAAGCATCCTCAAAGCACTGATCGAAGGAGCCAGCAACACCATATCATCCGCGTAACTGATATTATTTACGCAAACACTCCCTACGTGACAGCCGACACGTGTACCGCTAAGCTCCTCAATCAGCGCGTTGATGTACAGATTAAATAATTTCGGTGAAGTTCTTCCCCCTTGCCTAACCCCACATTCTAACCTGTACTCCTCCGAATGAACACCAGCCCATTTCACACAATTGGCCTGGTTCCCGTACCAGAACATAAACAAAGATATTAAGTCTGAGGGTAAACCACACCCCTTTAATTTATCCCACAGAATACTGTAGTCAACCAGATCGAACGCCCTGGATAGGTCCAAAAAACAGGCGTATACAGGCGTCTGTCTATCAGTGTAGTACCTGATGGCGTGCTTGAGAGTCCATATTGTACTTTCCGTAGATAGACCAGGCCTAAAGCCAAACTGAAGATCGTGGATGTTTAGATATTTACTGAGTTGAGAATCAAGCACTCCAAACACCTTAGCCACTACTGTTGCCAATGTAATTGGCCTGTAATTTAACCTAGATGACACATCTCCAGTTTTATTTTTTAAAATAGGGAACACTACAGACTTCATCAATTCTTGTGGCAAATACGAATGTACCAAATAGACGTTAAACAACAGCGCCAGCAATCTATACAAGTGCGGTCCCGCGTTTCGTAAATGCTCGACGCTGAGACCGTCATGCCCGGGAGACTTTCCGCAAGTCAAAGATTTAATAACCTTTTATAAAATAAACTTATTTTTAATTAACTAAAACATTACGTATCAAAATCTGCTGTTGATTTAATAGAGAAACCTACCTGGTTTAATGATTTCAATAAAAAAATAAAATAATAAAGTAACCTAGGTAACTTCATAATTGATAAATTCTCATACCTACTCATGACCTTTTTGCGGTTTTAAAAGTTGTCCCTCGAATTGCGCTCCATTTATCTCGAGCTCGTCGTTAGGTCTCTTGGTTAGGACGAGGCAATAAAGTGTCCATAACACAGTTGTCTCTGAGCTCCTCAAAGACACTTTCAATTTGAGCCAGTATCTCATTTGCACTATCACACTCCCGATTAAACACTGGTTGTTTGACGTATCCCAATAAAAAAAGTCCCAAAGGTATTATCCGTAGAGCGCGCCGGTCAGGCCCGTGGTCTACTGATACATCCAACGTTGTTCAGACAACTCGATACGTGCCGCGGTCAATGTGGTGGTGCACTGTCAGGTTGAAACCATACTCCGAGGTATTTCATCAAGCATATCAACTTAATGTTCGTTGATGAAGTTAAGGTACCCAGGTCCATTGAGTCGACGCAGAAACACTGGCCCAAGGATGTAATTATTTGAACCACCAACCCAAACATTGACGGACCATCGGACCTGATGGCCGGTCTCTTGGCTGGCATGTGGGTTTACTTCTGACCATACATAAGCATTTCTTCTATTCCACATGCATTTTTTTGTAATGTGGACTTATCCGCCCAAATAATGTGCTAATCGTCACCAGCAGCCCGTCGTTGTTGATCAAGTAGCCAAAGACAATATTCTCGTCGACGAGGCTGATGAGTGGTTCACATACTGTTCCTAGGCACTGTCCACTGAGAGACAGTCCGGCCACCTTCAATAACTTTGCCGCAGTTCGCGCAACACACATTCTTCCGTTAACACATCCACTGGTCGTCCACCACTAACCGCCACAGGAGCAATCGAGCGATTTTCTAACACTGTAAAGCTGCTGTTAGCGTACGAGAATCAGACGGGAGCTGGACGTTAGGAAATCTTTCCCCGTAAAGCCGGAATGCCAGAAAAGCATTTCCACGTGCTTCTCCCAAACAAATCACCAAGTTCCGTAGTAGGTAGTTCACAGGCACCTTAAATGTACTCATTAGGCAGCATAAACTGCTTAGGTATAAGCTGTATTCATACCGCGTAATGCACGGTCTGTATTGTCTGGTATAAGTTATAGCTAGTATATGTCCCAAGGCGTTGCGTACATCGAAAATAAACAGACTTAATTATAAGTACTTGTAAAATAAATAAATATTTCCAACACACACTAATTAGCCTAGTCCCAAAGTAAGCACTGTAATTAATGCTTGTGCTAAGGGATACTAGGGTAACGGATAGAATACATATACAGTACATATATAAGTATATTTATATAGAAATAGATATTAATCATCCATGACTGAAGTACAAATATGCTCGTATTCATCACACAAACAACTACCACCGGGTTTCGAATCCGGGACCTCTCGAGTCGGAGACACCATGAAACCCGACGTACAAACCACTCGGTGGAGGTCGTCACTTGTAGCGAACCTAAATCACTTGGAAGTTGGAAGTGACAGACGATTTAGTTTGGCTACAAGTATAATTGAACACTCCAGGGTTCAGTAACGTTTCTGAAGACGGAAAAAATATTAATCTGCTTGGTTTGCATGGTGTGTGTGGGGGTGGCCGTACAAAGGGGTCGATTAGAGGTAAAAAAATCGAGCTCGTCAGATATTAAGAAAGGATGTTAAGTGAACCCTCCTGTAGATCCTATTGAAACGACTGACAATTTGGACGTGACTAAAATTCGTTCGTTGAAAAAAAATTTTTTGCTGCCCTAGTCGTTCGACTCCATATCCCTGGGGATATGTATAGAGTTCAGGCTACACAGACCATGGGTCTATGTAGCCTGATTTTCCTCTTACTATTCGAGTTCTACTGTACATGCTTCATTTGTCTTAAATCAATCCTGAATAGTTTCTCTACAAACTTATCTAATTTAGATGTGTAAATTAAACACCATAACTAAATATGATTGAACGCAAAATATAAAAAATTAAAATCTGAAAATAATTTTCTCAACTCGTGGCAGAAATCATCCATTTACACAGACGAGGGGTTATAAAAGGCTCAGGTATGATGGGAGTAGGTAGTTCACAAGGTGCATGTTTGCCTCCCAAAATCCCCGCTTGGGCTCTCCTACTATTCTGAGATAATAAAAAGAAGACGCGTACATTCGACGGCGTGTGCGCTTTTATCTCTGCTGATTATCAGCTCAGGAATATGTGCATTACATTGCGGAGATAAACGAATTTGCTATGTTACTGTTTCTTAAATTAGCTTCAAAGCACTTCGACTCTGCGCTAGTATGAATTAATCATATTGGATCATCAAAGGTCACTGGACTAGGGTAGTCAACTTTTTTTTCTATCAAATATAGTATTTTCGCAGCTGCTACCTCAAAAAATATGTAGGTGGAAAAAAAAATATATAGAATGTTAGAATGTAGTTAAAATACTTACTTTACTTTTGAAATGAATATGTTCTTGCTGTTCAATGCCTTAATACTTAAATTATTATTTTTAGAAAGCTTTTACTGGCAAAAGTCTGCTAGCAAAATATAGTAGTTTGGCCTACTATATATATTTTTTTTAGAAATATATTATTTGAACCCCTAATATAGTAGTATACTATATTTCCTATATAGTAGGGTTGGCAACCCTTACTCGCGAGAATTATGCTGCGGACAAGGTCTGATTTAGAGTTCTGACCGCCCGGCGCCCTAGGCTAACTAAGAAATTTCGCGCCCCTGCCTATCCTGTCTTACTTTTTCATTCGCTTACAGATGCAACTATGAAATTAAATTACAATTAGAGAAGAGTGCTTAAGTAAACTAAAATATATTCGAAACAGGACGAAACGCATACCAAAAGAAAGAAAAAATAAGAGGGAAAATAAAGGAGATTGCTCAGCTTCCATACATGTTTGGCCTAAAGACCAATAATGATGAAAAATTGTTTCCTAGATTCGAAATTATATATAAATTACTGTAGAAACGAATATTATTGACGGACACCCCTGAGAACTTCTTTGAACCATATACACTGAATTGATTTTGAGGTTATGTTTGTAAATAGGTACATAGGTATTAAAATAATAAAAAACAAATAAGTTATATAGTAAACTAGGGAAATCAAGCCAAGTACCGAAATTACGTATTAGATTCAGGTATATAAAGCAGGTAGATTAACAGATAGTTGATGCCTGTTTATAAAGTTAATGCACAAGAGTAACTTTTAAAATCAGGTATCGTCTATGCATTTCCGGTTATAATAAGGTACTCTGTGCCAGAAATTGTGTAATGATTGTGAATGAGCCACAGATTAGAGAGAATTTTTAAACTCTCTTTAATTTAGTTAGCTTCATTATTTTTGTTATGTTTATATTATAACCATGTTTTAGATTTTTAGTGTATAACACCTTATAATGTGTTATGGAGGTGTTTGGCGAAAAATGTATGGCAATAGACTTTATAATGTCGCCTACCATCTATAATAATTGTCTTAGTACATTTGCATGTAGTGGAAATGATAATATAGTTGTGGATAAAAAACAATAATATACAATACATTGATACAACCACAGTGTAATAAAAAAAAAATCTACAAAATAGATTTGTTTTAATGTTATATAAACAACTTGGATCAGTCTTTGGCTGAATGTTACTACACCCATAGCCATTAAAAATGATTCGTATGGGTGCGGCCAGAGTGCACTCAGATTCAGAGTCAGATTCAGATTCTGAAAACAAGCGCGAGAAATAAACAGTGTAGTCAAAGGGTACGGCCAGATTGCACTCCTGATTCAGATTCAGATTCAGACTCAGAAAACAAAGCGCGAGAAAAAGCAAGCAACCTGCTTAGACTACACTGTTTATTTCTCGCGCTTGTTTTCGAAATCTGAATCTGAGTGCACTCTGGCCGCACCCTTCGACTACACTGTTTATTTCTCGCGCTTGTTTTCAGAATCTGAATCTGACTCTGAATCTGAGTGCACTCTGGCCGCACCCTATGTTTTCCAAACCGGTAAAATTAAAAGTCCTTATTAAAATGAATATATTATACAAAGATGCCCGTTAAAATCTAATGATTGTAAAATAAAGTATAAATTACGCCAAGAATTACCGTATATGTCAATATTTATTGTACATTTGGGCCAATTTGAGCAATCTCCTTTGTTACCTACGCGATTTGAGGTCGGGAAGGGTGGGGGGGGGGGATTACGTTTTGAGGGAAATTAGTAAAATCTAAAATCCGTGGCCACACTAATAAACCAACAGCACTTCGCACCTTTATTCCAATACTGTCATTATCATAAAATTAAATTAAATACAGGATTTGAAGTAATGTGTAGATTCATAACGTAGCAAATAGATGGCGTTGTAAACTATTTTTTTGAAGAATTTTGTTTAATGACAGTATTGGAATAAAGGTGCGACTTGTTCACCTATTTGTACACTAAACCCTTACTAAACCTCCGGCACCGCCTACAGGCGAGTAGGCGTACAATAACAGGTGCTATTACTAGATATGATAATTTTAACAGACATCTTTTTACCTTGGGTGTCACTTACAGAAGGAAGATAGGTATCACATACCCTATGCATGTAGGGAGGCAGAAAGCAGCTACACACATTCTGCTTAAATGCAAAGGAGTCCTCTAACACTGGTTGAAATACTTTGGTTCACCAGGAAACCCTTAAGAGGCAATGTCTAATATGCATATGGTAAGGCATTGAGGAAGTTTCAGGCAAGGCTCTGACCCCAGCCGCACTCAAAACAGGCACCACTAGGACTGTAAGTTCCTTGACAAATTCAATCATGTTAATTTTTGATATGGCCGGTGACATTTCTTTTAAATTGGTATCAATTTAATTCACTAAATCATTATTATTAAATTGAATCAGAAGCATGGACCGTTTTGTTTACAATATTTAAATGAAATTTTTATGACCAGAGACAAAACATAGGGTTCCCTAAGGTAGTGTCACCAATGACTGACAAGAACCAATGATTGACATTTCCCTCCATGATCAATGAAAATAAATGTAGGTTAACCGATTGGCCACTGACTCTTTATTTTCATTGATCACGGAAAAAAATGTACCTAATCACCGGCTTCTCTCTGTCATTGGTGCAACTACCTTCTTTAGTCAAGGGGCTAGGCTAGATGTTTTTGACGAAACAAGGGAATGTATACACAGATAATAATTAATGAAGATAGTATCATCCTCTTCTTTAGTAATATTTTGTTTGTCTGCCACAAATTCTGTAAATTTTTTAATTCTCTATAGTTCTTTTATAAATAATTAAATATGGACTACATTCCAAACTAGTGGGATATTGATTTTTTCAAATGAAATCCATGTGGCCTAATATTTATGTATCAATTGACAAGTGCTCAAATGATTTGCAGTAATATTTTTGGAAGAACTATTGTTACGCAAGATTGGTTTCTATAGTAACTATTATTTTCAATGGATTTAACAGTTATTGATTTCAATTACTGCTAATGAATGTTTTGTTTTAATAATCACATTAAGGACATAAAATGATGATTAAATTTCAATTATGAAACAATTGGTTTTATAATGATTTTATTATAACTGTAAAAACCTTAATACATAATGTACTGTCAAAGTTAAATATAAGCATTATCACTACAACAGGCTTATTCAAGATCTGGTAGATTCTCATCATCTGAATCACTTTCTAAATCATCAAAGGAAGGTTTTTCAGCCTTATCACCGGCTCCGGCGCCGGCACCGCCTCCCATAGACCGCAGTAATTCTTCTATGTCATAGTTGTCGTTACCGGCACCATTCTCTTCTTCGTCATCTTCATCTCTCCACTTATTGAAATCCACCTTTAAGTAATGTGGCTTCTTTTTATCTTTCGTTAACGACGGCCAGTACGGTGCGTCTTTTTTCTCTTTTCGTAGCACCATTTCTATACATCTGCCTTTATTGAGGAAACCACTATTTTCAGGAAGAACAGCATCATACAACGGTATTGTTACCTCATGCACTTTATTGTCTTGGGCGTTGACACCTTTAAAATAAACTGAATCCTTTTCTATTTTAATAGTCGGCTCTTTACTCTCCACGCTGAAAGTGAGGAATATGTCCTCCTTGCGTTGAGCCCATAAAACTGGCGGCGGGATTGGAGCTTCACCAGACATGCTAATTGATTACTAAAAAATGGTTAGACAGACTCACCACGCTGATTATTTGGTAAAAAGATATTTTCTAATAAAAATGCACACCGTAATTCGCGTCAAATTGATACTGTTCGTTCATCGACTCCCTGTCTGTCCGATTCATGCATGGAAAATGAGTGTTGCAATATTATAATTCTAGAAAATTCTATTATTTGACATAACCTAGAAAACGTTTTACGGGGTGGCGGTGTCGATTCTGGCACCAAAATTAAGTTTACAGAATCGTAAACTTAAACTTAATATACAGCTGTATCCTTGTCATTCTCTATACAGAATATAAAGGACAGATTGATGTTAAATTTAGTTTTAAGTTTAGAGAATCATGCCAGAACCGCCCCCAAAAATAACTCTTTTTATCTGTGTGAAGGTGTTAAAAAGCCTTTAATATTTCTTATTACTATTTCCGAGTTATTGCAAATTATAACCTAAGTGAGGAGATTTTACGTATCTATTTTATTATTTTTTCACAAGCAGTGTCCCCCTGTCAATGTCATAAAAGTGTCACAAGATCTTGGTTTAACTGACGCTGGTCTGAAATCGTTTGCAATTTTACCTGTATCACTTCACATGACTATTCGTAGTCATTTTGGCAACAAGTTGTCCTTATTCTCTTTAAAAAATAAAAGGGGAGACTGATATTTTTCGAATCTTAAAATGACAAGATTTTTCATTATATGACACATCTAACTTTGTATGAGATTGCGCATTAAAAGTTGACAATAATGTGAAATTGAAGAATAATTTTAGATGTTTTATTCAAACACGGCTATTTTAGACCCTCAGTTTATAATTTAGAAAGGATATAGATCCTTTGAATTTTTTACCTTTATTCTGTTATTAAGCATACGGTTATTTAGTATTGGGAAGCTAAATTTACATTTAAAATAGTAAAGAATATATTTTATGGCAATAATAAACTTCAAATGTTTTTGTTATAAAATCTTCGGTAAGGAAAGCAAAGGATAACAATGCATACAACCCCATCCTAGTTTACTATTGTTTTCGATAAGATAGCGTGTAAACCCAATCAAAGTAGAGGTTGTTACATAATGGTAGCTTTCCAATTACAGCATTATTGCGCATTATGCGGCATCGTGTGATGCGTGCAATCGTACCAACTCAGAGATAGAAAACTAACAAGTGTGTTTTCCTTTAAGTTGGCATTGATCGAAATGTTTTATTTATATGTTATCGTTAGTAATATTATTTATTGTTGAAAAATTATTAAAACTTTCGTTTCATTATAGTTTTTTTAAATATTCAAAGTTTATTCAAACTGTGTTAAAAATTAAATATAAATATGGATGAAAGTACAAACATTGACTTTTTTTTCAACACTGAACTTAGCACACTCTGCTGGTGCATTTGAAAACTAATTCACGATCCAATTAAGCATCAGCATAATTCGGCATTGTGCGCCACTGAGTCGCATTAACATTATGCTCTGTAATTGGAAAACCACCAATATTAATAATTCTGCTGAAATAGTGCCTAATTAATGCAAACATAATCTTAGTTTAAGAAATAATAACCGTTTTCTGTGAATGATGTATTTTATTGAAATCAGGATGTATAGAGAAAATAAGTTCTCACTAGGTTCATAATGGACCTAGCCAATGTATATGCTGAGAATGAACGTGAAACACTTTGATTTGCACTTGCATTTTCGGCAAAATTTACCAGTGATATTAAATACCCTAGAGCACGACTCACGGACTCAAGCACTTCTTGGTTCACAGTCACGCGCTGACCGTTGAAAATGTCAAAATGCCGCAGAGCTCTATGAAAATATGCGAAATAAATACTTATTTTACGTAAAGTGCCCTTTTTTGGACAGGTATCTAATAAATGTATGTTAATTTAACGCATTTGAAGCAAATTTTATTGTAATACTTCGTATAAACTGATTTAATAGGAAATATTTGTGATATTCAAATGTATGGTCGGTAATGTAGCTGTCTCTTTTCCTCGCGGTCTGTACCTGCTAAATATAGCAATAGCTAACAGCGTATTTAGAATGTCGCGTAAAGTCAAAGAAATAAAGTCTGTATTCCTCTGCATATAGCATAAGTCCTAAAATTTTAGCTTGCATTTTTAACTGTCCTAAATCTTTGACACACGCGTTTTAATTAAGACCTTATACGGTGTGCATTAAAGGTGACTTTCAATGTTTCAAATAATGCCTTATATTGTTTCTAACTACGCGATCATCTTACGGAGCTCCCTGGATAGTCCAATGTACCTTTGGGACAAGTTTCGGCCACGATTTTGTTCGTGATGTTGTATCTAGGGCATTTAATATAATAATTTAATTTCCAAAACATATCATTGCTATTTACAAAGAATTCAATAGCATAAGTAAAGTAAAGTAGAGGTTTACTTTGATCTGTTGGACGCTATCATAATGGACAAACCTATTGAGCCCTTTGCTGTATCATCATTCTTCCCGTGGACATACTATACATAGAAAGAAATCCGAGGATTATGCATTTGCTCGCCCGCCTGAGGAAACAAAAAATAAATTAATAAAAAAAAAACGATTTAAATTGACGATTGGCCACTCCATCCCCCTCTAGCTACGCCAATGGGCCTACGCTGAACTATGAGTGTCGTACAGCTGCTTAGATGATGAAATAAAAAACTTTGTTATGTATCAGATGGTTTATACCACACATTATTGACATTATTTATAGTTTAAAGCTTATTAAGTAGTTAACTGGCAATGTTCATAACTTAGCACTTAATATTTTTTATCAATTGAAGAAACTTACTAATACGTTACTACATAATAATATTATTTATGCACTAGAAAATTTAGAATAACTCGTAAAATATGGATGGGTAAACTACACTAACACTCGTACACTTGTTTTAGGGCGTGCGCACCGTTAAGCGAGGCACGGAACGGGCGTCTATCGCGGAGATCCGCTACGCGCTCCGTCGCGGGATCTGCAAGAGGCCTCTCGCAGCACCCCTCAGTACAATTTCAATTGCGAGGGGGAACTTTCGATAGTGGATTATTTTAGTTGATAATACTATGTAGTTAAAAGAGAACGTAGACGTGAGCACAGAAGACAGCCAAGCGAGCGTGTGCACGCTCATGTTGCCCGCGCCGTGTTAAGGTGCGATCCGACGGCGTGTGTTGTCCCGGGTGTGGCCGCGCCGCTCATGTGTTGCCAAACGTATGAGAACTCTTACGTTTGAGATTTAGCAGTCTTTATACATGCTACGAGGTAAATAGAAATCTCGTACACTTTGATTATGAGATTTGAACAAATTTTGACTGTTTGTGTCATGTACACAAACCAAAAATATTATAAGAAAGTAAATAAATGTCCAGTCCACAAAGGATCGACTCAGTAAGTACAGCTTCATTATGCCATCAAAAAGTGAACGAGATTTCTATTTACCTCGTATCATGTATAGACACTGCTAAATCACAAACGTTAGAGTTCTCATACGTTTGGCAACCCTGCGAGGCGCGGCCGCGGCACACGCCGTCGGATCGTACCTTTAGGCGGGGTCTATAAAACAAACACGCTGAGCGGGTGCCCGTTCCGTGGCCCGCTTATCGGTGCCCACGCTCTTAGGCTCAACTCACACCAAAAGAGCGTCTAAACGCAGCGAAGCGGAGCGCAACTGCGCTCCGCTTCGCTGCGCATCAGTGTCATATGAATTTTAACTTTCTTTTCATTACTATAATACTTATTATCGCATGAGAAACTCGAAGGACTCGCGCGGATCCGCGGGAATTCCGACGAATTCCATAAGCGCGCCTTCTTTACCGAGCGGGTCGCTGCGCTTCGCTGCTCTTTCGGTGTGTGTTTGACCCTTAGGATGTACAGACAATAGTACATCAGCTGCCAAAAAAATACAGATTTCCTATAACTTTAAATTTTAAACTCAATTAAGAAGGATAAATATCATAATGAAGATATTTGACAGTTTTATAGTCTGACGAGCTTTTGTGTGCAAGTCAAAATAAATGCTATAAAATAATCAGTTTTATTTTCTTTTAAATATTTCTAAACATCTATGACCATTTAAAAATTGGCTACTAACACCATTACAATCAAGTAAAACAGTACTACCTACTTTTATGTTTAGAAAAACATGACTACACATTTAACAAAGACGAAATCTCAAAGAATGGTTATGTGAAATTAGAATATCAAATACATAGTTCAATAAATTATGACTATTACTTAAACATATAAACAATTTGATTTGGTATTTATAATAAATGGTATACACCTATGGAGATAAGATCACAGTCAATATTTATTCTTACTTACTAGTAACAGTGGACTTTTAGAAATTTCATATTAAAAATTAACAATTGACGAAGTCAAAGATGCACAGTTAAGAAACAGTGTGCCACTTTTGGTGCTACAGTTGTTTGCATTCTATAGTAACACAATTTCTTTCGATCATAAAGATGAAACATTTTTATCTTAAGCATTACAGCCTTTTAGTGGCAGGCTGCCTTCTTCAACCGTATTTAGTAAAATAATGTGCAATAAAATACATAAAAATTAAAGTAAATATTTATTGCATGGAAATATTTTTAGTAACTAAGTAAAATTTATACCACTTCGGGTTGGAAAACGACATGTTCCTTCACTAGTGTATCGGACTGTTGCCAACAGCTCTGTGAGCAAGTGAATATGAGGACAGAGAGGAAATGTAAGTGTGACAGTGTAATGTTTGTTGGCAAGAGTCGCAGTGTTTCAGCAAACTCTGGTACGAGTTGGAGTTCACTGATAAGTGGGGCACCGCACCGAATACAATTCATAGGCATAGTAGGGCATTCTGGTGTGTTCGCTGCACTTGGTAAAGGAGCACCCAGAAGCGACGATTCCTCCCGAGAGTACCTATAGGATTAGTTGTTTGCATACAATAAACATAATTATGTTATAGTTAAAACTGACTTTAATTAGTCTTTATTGTATTGAGAAAATCTAATTTAAGATAAAGATAAGAGCACTTTATTATACAAACACTAACTTAAACAACACAAATAGTGAAAGTCCTATCGCTAGTCAGCGACTAGTCAGTGATTTCTTTCAGATAACCTAATAAAATATTACGATTATTTATTTGTATATTTAATATTATTATTTTTTTAATTAAGAATCTAATTCAAATCATCAAAGTTTGCAGTAATGTGCGGTTTTGCCTGCTCAAAGTTACCTTAAGATTTGGCCAGGGTTGTTTCGTAACCGGGTAAGGAAGGCATGGAAGAGCCTGTCTCCATGTAGGGGCGCTGATTCCTCGTATTGTTCGTCGTCACCACCGCCCCCTGCTGCTCTTTCAGCTCCGACTACCATATCCATTTCTACAACAAATGATTAATTAATATCTGAACAATGATTAATTAATTTCTGGACAATACTTAATTCTATTGGCAGACACATTGGCTGTGTGGTATGACCAGGTATGTCTACCTGTACGGATGATATGTCAAGAAATAACTATTTTTACGTTTGTAAACAATTTTGTTATTATACCTTTGTGCCTGGACTTTACCACCACTTAAATTCAGGTGGGGTAATCATTTGACAACCTAATCACAAAACAAAATATTAAATTCAACATATTTTCTTGTATTTGTTAAACTGAAATGTAAAAGTTGCATTATTTTATTAACACTTACCATTTTGTTCATTGTATTTATTAAGAAGCTCTGTTATTTTGCTTTCATTATTATGCGACTTATCCCATTCTTCTTCCACATACACATATTTGGGCAGAAATTGCAAAGGTCCACACATCAGTCTGCTTCTTATGTCAGGTGGAAGTTCAGCTGTCTGAATAAAGTAATGGTAGGTGTTAAGTGTGAACTGACAACTAGATTAGAATTGTTTATTTTGTGATTCACCTGATGTAATAATGCCTGAAGGTCTTTTGTAGGGGCCGAGGGTGTGTCCACAGTAACCAGACCTGGTTCATCACCTCCTTCAAGCTCTGCAGCAGCAACAGGTGCTGTTATGGCACCAATTGCACCTGTAAAGAGAAATGATGACAACTATTTTAGACAAAAAATCCCTAAATTAATGTCAAATAAGTCATTTCAGGAAGGTATACAGTAGAAAAATACTTACTAATAAAATACAATAGATAAATGATAGTATAGAAGGGAATAGTATCATTTATCTATTGTATTTTATTATATATCAATAAAATACAATAGATTATATTTGAATCTTAGTTTTTTTGAAGTAAACAAACATACCCTGTTTATTTATACTGTAGCCTTTGTTTTACAGTGGTAAAAATATTTAGAACAAAATTTAAAAAGGTGGTTAATTAATAAGTATACAGCACCTTGTACTGGTGACATATTAGCATTGTGAGCATCAAAAACTTGAAGGTTTCCAAGGGCTTGTGCTACAGTTTCCAATTCCAAAGAGTTACTTTCTTCTTCTTCATCAGAATTTCTAAAAAAAGAAACAAAACTAAGTAGATAGTTATTTTTAACCAAAAATAAAAAATACAACTAGCAGCTAATAAAAATATAATAACAATAACAGTTTATATAATGGTTATTTATACCTCTGCAAGCAATTATTGGGGCTTGGGTTATCTAGATTCATAAAATTTCCATTGGCCGTGTCCCCATTGTCATTTTCATCCCATTCATCTGCACCATTACACCAAGTCAAATTACTATCAGCCTTTGGCATAACAACAATAGTGGACGGGGTTGTTACATCTTGAATTTGGCTCCTTACACATAACCAACTGAAAATCATAAAAGTAAACAAGAATGACAATATTTTCACTCTCATTATAAGAATTTGGTCATCTTTTCTTACCTTTCCGATTGTATCCAACAATTTGGGTTAATGCACGCAAAAACATACAAAGTGCGATGGTAAATGGATTTTTCAATAGGTGCATAGCATTGCACGACCAATAACCTGTGTAACCCACACAAAGGACATTTCGATGAAAACTGTATATTTTCCAAAGGTGGCCAATCCTGAATAACAAAAGACAGGTATCACATTTTTTTAAGCAAGGTTTGCATTGAAAAATCATTAAAATTGGCATAGAAACTGTCTCACTGGTGTTCCACCAATTTTATTGGTTGTGTAATTCAGAACTTGTAAACTTTTATCACCAATAATTTCATCTTCATATCCTAAATATACTTTAGTTGGTCGCTTTGCCATTGTTATTCATAAATTAATAAAAATGAGCCTTGATTTTTAGCAAAATCAATGTCTTTGATATTGACTTTTTGGGAAGGCAAGGGGAACTAAAGCCCATACAGCCTCACTCATCTTTAGTATTTCCCCCCCTTTTCTCCAAAAACCCATTTAGTTTATTTTAATAATATTTTTGTTTTTTTTTTATATTGAAGAATACTTTACATATTAAAAGCAAGATTGAGGGTCGGGTTGGGGCAGCACTATTCATTTGGAATGGAGAGTCTGAAACAAAGACCCTTAACCTTGCGTTGCTTTCTTACTACGCGGTGTACCACACTGAGTTCCCGGCCAACATAAAAGCCTCCAGGGAAAGCATTAGGCGTAAGGAGAGTACTTTTGGAATTCACAGCGACTCCATGGCCCTCCAAACAGTAACTAACACTACGACCATCCCCTAGCAGTCGAACCTAGGAAGAACATCAAAAAGGCCTTGAAGCAAAACCAACATGTGGATTTGTATTTGGTCCAGGTACACGTGGGAACTGAGAGTAATAAAAGAGCTCACCACTTAGCCAAGGAAGCCGCTCTAAATTACAAGAAGAAACCAGAGTATGACAAGTGTCCGATTTCGTTTATAAAGAACCTCGTATGTGACACTCAGAACGAGTGGAACAATGGAACACCAGGCGGGCACTACTGTCGAAATTACAAAAATGTTCTTTCCCAATGCCACAAAAGCGTATAAAACCATCCGCAACATTCACTCCAGACTTCCACACTACACAAATTATGACGGGGCACGGTGGGAGGTCCTTATATTTCAATAGGTTCAAGTGTAAGTACAGCCCATCGATATGCGACCCGGAAAAGGATGAAACGATCTTACACATCCACCTAGAATGCTCAATACACAAGAATGACTGGTTCAATGTAGAACAAAAGATAAAATCTGAACTTAAACAAGAAAAAATACATGAAATAATTAGTTGCGAGGACAGGGAAATCTTTTTGGAATATTGTAGAAAATTGTTAAAATTGTAAATATAAGAAACAAATAGTTTGATAAATAAATGCTTATACAATATATTGTTAGTATGGATTTTAAAAATTAGAAAAATGTTAACCTTAATTTAAGGAGGTATTATGTTAAGAAAGTAGAAATAAGATCCAAAAAATAACTTGTCTGGCCATAAATACTGTTACATAAAAACTTTAATTTTTTCTCCTTTTTCATTATTTTGAATTTGGAACACGTATATTATTCTAAAAACTTCTTTCGATTTTGCGCCCTTTTACATATTTTTTCGTGTTCATCATCAAATTACAATATAGAATGGGATGTAAAAGAAAATAGGATTGCAGTGATCGCCTTGCACAAAGTGGGTATGGAGCCGTCGGTCATATTCCAGATACTTCAAAAGCTTGGTATCAGGCGTATATCGTACTATCAACGCAACGATACAACAACACTTCGCCTCTCGAAAATCGGAAAGATCGGAGCGGTCGCGTGCTGTTAGAACAAACAAAGGCTGTTAATGCTGTTACAGCCAGAATTCGTCGAAACCCCATTAACCTCTTTACCGATGAAAACATTTTCACGATTGAAGAACACTACAATATGCAAAATGATAAAGTGTACGCTCACAGTTCTATGTAAAGAAGCTGCTCAAGTGGTCGGAAAGGTACAATGTGGTCATCCTACGTCAGTGATAGTTTGGTGGGGCGTGTGTTATCAAGGAGTCGCAAAACTAAATTTGTGAAAAAGAGTGAAAACTTACAGCCAAAGTGTATCAAGATAGTCTTGGATCATGTTGTGAAACCTCTCAGCAACCCACTTTTTAAAAATATACCGTGTATTTTCCAGCAGGATTCTGCACCTGGTCACAAGGCACGAACTACCCAAGCCTGGCTTGAAACCACTTGAAACCAACGTTCTAGACTTTATAGGAGCTGAAGACTGGCCCTCATCTAGCCCAGACAGCAACACTTTAAGCATACCATTCACACCCGATTCTCGACTCGGGCCCGACCGAGACCAATCCAGCGTTGCCCATACACTGTACGAACCCACTCGAAGTGTAATTTTGGTAAGCCCTACACGCGTTTATAATATGCCGCTAGTACTATCAAAGAAATCAAAAGTAGCTTTAATCATCGGCGGAATAATGATTTTATCAGAGAATAGAAAAAAGGGACGTGTTTGGACAAAGGAGTGGTTATAAAACGAGCAACGTTTATTCGTTTAAATCTACTTAGGTGTATCCAGATATATGAGCATCTCGATTTCATAAATTATATGAGGATGGACTATACAACGTTTTAGGAATTGTTGGAGATGATAACTCCCTATGTTCAAAGAGAAAATACGTTAATGCGAGATACGGTTAGTACTGAAGAGCGTTTAGGGGCAACGCTGAGATTTTTAGCAACACGAAGGAGTTATGAAGACTTATAATATAGTTGTGTGATTTCTCCTCAATTACTCGGTAAAATAATACCTGAAACTTGTCAAAGTTACCACGAAATTATTTCCGGTATTCCGTCAGTGCCCATACCACTTTTCTTTGCATTTTCTATACGGCGGTGTTGCCGCCGAAACGACGATCTTAGTGTAGCTATCTTTTTGATTACAAAGTCTTTATTAGCGTTTGGATACAATGTTTTACATTTTTCCACAAGACACTCCTAAGCACTACTTTTCATCTGTTTGTGGTAGTCCTTACTCTTCACATCCCATAGGCATTGTTGTCGCAGCGCAACCAATGGCGGCCAAATCTGCCGGACCGGTTGGTACGTGAATGGTAGGCTTTAGACTTCAAATTATAGTTACATTACATTACACCCTTTTTTATGGTGTATAAAAAGACTCATGTTTTTATGCAAAAACATAACAACCTGGAACAAAATATCAATATAGTGAAATTTAAGATATTGGAAGTACACATAGTTTCGAAATGGGTCTTTTTACCAATGTGTCTTTATTAATTTCTATACAATGCTAGGTGAGCACTGCCGGATTTAGGGGAGGGCAACCGGGGCGAAAGCCCCGGGGCTTCCACAAACGGGGGCCCCCCACAATAGAGACTTCGGAAAAAAAATATTTCAAATTCCAACTAGTAAACACTAGTAAACATCTTTTCCTTTGATTTTTTTTGCTCTTTTACCTTTACCTACAGCCTACAGTACTTTGTACATCTAACATACATGATTATTTGATTATATTAATCTCAGGGCCGAATTAAAGGCAGGGTAGGTGGGGCTGTGGCCCAGGGGCCTCCATAACAGCTTAAGAAATAACCTTATTTCGATGGGTCAACAAGCATGCAAATCCTAAGTGGCCCGGGGCCTCCACAACAGGATAAAAGATAATAAAATTTCGATGGGTTAACAAGCATACAAATCCTAAGTGGCCCGGGGCCTCCACAATCCTAAATCCGGCCCTGTAAGTGAGACAGCGTGTTTTTTTTCCTCGTCCACGAGAGACTTCGAGCCCGCGACTATAACTATAATAGTTGAACCTTAACGTGCATGTACGAGTATATGGTACGACTCATAGAGAAAAGTAATACTGTACGAAGCTCGCACGGCATCGAGACGAGCTGTTCCGAAATCGTACGAATACATAAGCAGCTATTTTGAGAAACTATAGGGGTATAGGTATCTATCATCTATGTACAACAGTGAATAGCTGTACGCGTAAAATTTGTGTATAAAGTGTTTCAAATATGAATATACAAAGTACCGCATAAATAAAATAAATAATTATAATTGCATAAATTGATAATAAATGCTATGCAATAGCTTTACCGCGGCCAATTTTCTTTATATATATTTATTATTTATATTATAAAGGACGTGGTATCAACATCAATGGTAAGAAGGGACCTAACCTAACACACTTTCACTTTGCCGAAGGTGTAGTACTCACTCATGGCTGAGACCTTGGAAGACCTGAGCAGAATGCTCCAAGATTTCAGCAATGTTTCCCAAAAAGTGGGTCTAAAGATGAAAATGGATAAGACGAAAATTATGTCGAATATCATGTTGTACCTGCTCAATTTCAAATTGGGAATAATTCCCTCAAAGTTGTCGACCATTACGTTCAACTAGGATAGACAGTCTAGTATGGTAAGTCCAAGTCCTTTGAAAAGAGGTCTTTCATCGTATCCAGCTTCGATGGGCAGCGTTCGGGAAGCAACGTAAAATCTTCGTGTTCAAATTACCACAGTGATGACTTACAGATGCAAAACGTGGTCGCTTACTATGGGTCTCATAAGAAGGCTCAAGGAGACAGCGGACAATAGAGAAAGCGGTGCTTGGTATTTCCCTGCGTATTAGAATCTGAAATGAGGAAATCTACAGGAGGATTCATTAAGAAACCGGCATCAGTCAAAGGATTGTTCACGGGACGGGACACATAGCGAGGAGAACCGATGCCCGTTGGGGCGGAAAGGCTCTCGAATGGTGGCCACGCACCGGACGATGCTCTGTGGGCAAGGTCAGGTGAACCGCCGATCTGGTGAAGGTCGCGGGAAGCCGGTGGACGCGTGTGGCACAGGACCGATCGATGTGGAGATCCTATGGCTATGCTCAGCAGTGGGCGTCGTACGGCTGAGATGATGATAATGTATAGATTTATCGACGTTACCAAAAATAAAAAAAAAACTCAAATTAATAATTGCCTAACTTGATTTAATTCAAAAAATCTACATATATAAAACTCAAAGGTGACTGACTGACATAGTGATCTATCAACGCACAGCCCAAACCACTGGACGGATCGGGCTGAAATTTGGCATGCAGGTAGATGTTATGACAAAGGCATCCGCTAAGAAAGGATTTTGATCAATTCTACCCCGAAGCGAAGCGAGGGCGGGCCACTAGTATCAAATAAAATAAGTGCTAATTGTAGGAACAGAAAAAAAACCTTAATTATCTATATATATAAAAATGAAAACCCGTTTTCCGTTGTCACGACATAACATGAAAACGGCTTGACCGATTTGGCTGTTTTTTTTTGTATTTTTCTAATACTCTGTACAAGGTTCTTACGGAAAAAAATATAAAGAAAATCCCAAGGGGATAAAATAAGGAATGAAAGTTTGTATGAAACTTTATCAATTTTAAACCGATCGGGCTGAGACTTTGCATGCAGGTATAAGAAGAATCATAGATGAATGTCATTGTGTATAATACAAGCCTGAGAACAAAAACTGTAGTCTACACTTCAGCTCTACACCGAAGCGAAGCGAGGGCGGGCCGCTAGTAACATATATTTTTTAATATCGGTTTAAAATTGATAAAGTTTCATACAAACTTTCATTCCTTATTTTATCCCCTTGGGATTTTCTTTATATTTTTTTCCGTAAGAACCTTGTACAGAGTATTAGAAAAATACAAAAAAAAAACAGCCAAATCGGTCAAGCCGTTTTCATGTTATGTCGTGACAACGGAAAACGGGTTTCATTTTTATATATATAGATAAAGTAAACAACTACGCCATAAGATACGAAACAAACGAATAGGACACAAAACAATGCAACACAGTGACTTTCTTTTGAGTGACCCGGCATCTATGTTACTATAGATTACATGAACTTTAAGGAGTTCCAATGCTAAAGAAGTATTCAATCGTTTTCAGCATTGCCCAAACCGGGAACTGTATCCAGAATGTCAGAGAGAAATATCATGAAAACTGGTAAAGAAGCTACTTACGGAGGTGGGTAATTTAGTATAATTAACAACAGATTTGGGTGTCAGTTAACACACTAAACATTATTTAACCTTGTGCTTAATTAAAATGTATCATCACTACCTATTGTAGGTATGGGAGTTAATATATATGGGAGTTAATTTGACATTATTGAACTCGATTTCGTTAGTTGTGTTGGCAAAAATACAGAAAGCATAAAAGGAGCGGACATTACCTAAGTTTTGTGGCTCTTACTAACATAACACCGTGCGTGGGAGCTTAAGTTGTAAAACAATGCGCGGTGCAGCCGCTATCAGACACCAACAAACCTTTCGAGCGAGTGATAGTGCAGTTATTTTGTAAATATGGAACACATCATGAGAAACATTTTTCTTTTGGTATGTGGTGTTCTGTGTACCTCGTGATTTTTAATAATACATTTTTAAAAGAAACGAAAAAAGGAGACGTATTTGCGTAGGATACGAACTAACTTCTAATCTGCTTAAAATTATGCATTGCAAGAAAGGAAAAGCGTGCGAAAAACTATTACTGATCTTTTAATTTGCTTTGCAGACTTTTTTGGTAGCTGTACCTATTAAAGCGGTCACAGTGAGTCCAGCACTTTGCCCTACTAATAAGATAGCACCACACAGAAGGATCATTAATTTGAACAGTCCGAGCTCGCGTACATTCGGAGCGTTTTATGATCTTCTTACGCCAAACTCTCCTCAAAGTGATAACCCACAAGATACACTGCAAGAACAGCCTCAAGAGGACCAGCCCGATGATTGTGGGGAAATTGAGGATTATGATGAAAATGATCTTAGTTCGGGTAAGTCATTACATTGAATACGTTTACCTTTTTCTAAATAAATATACGATTTTCTAAAAAGTAGGTTAGGTACTGGTACAACCAACATATTTATTTGTATTCGATATTTTAAGATTTTAGTGGAACTTTTTTATTTTTATATGCGAAAAAAAGGATTTTAACGAGTGAGTGTATATCAAATTAATGACCAATGGTGCAGCGGCGATGCTTAATTAGGTATGCTTTCAGCAAGTAATAGGTTCAAGTCCTCGGTATCAAACATACTTTCATAAAGTACACTTATTTATTTAATCTTACTGAATTTATTTTTACGAGTTTTTTAAACGACCGTGTTTCAAATTGTCATGGGCATAATAGCATCTTGACTTTCGGTCATCTGTTGCAACATTTTTGGAGTCTTCTGTGGACTGCTCCAGCATAGATTTGTACAAAAAATAAACTCTGACGCTCTGCGTTTGAGTCTTGGGTAGGTCAAACAAACATTTCTATATCCCTCTGAGTCTGGGTGGTCATGTCACTTATACATTCGTTTCTTAAATCTGAAAAAATGATTTAGGTACGTCGTTCATTTTGCTTTGAAATAAGGTTTTCCAATTCATATCATTTGTTCTCAGTATCACAACAGACGAGAATAAGACAAGACAGAGCGGAGAATCGATTTGTGTTCGGTGGATTATTCCACAAGCCGCCACACAATCAACCGCCACCCCAGGAAATACATCGGCCACCTACAACGTCGCAGAGACCCCATACACGCCCCCCAAGGCCTGTGACACGACCTCCAAGGCCCCAGAATCCCAGCTACTACTACCCACCGATGAGGCCGCCGTACTGGTCTGGAGGAGTCTTCAGCCAAAATCAGTACCAACCTCCAATAAACGAAAATCCTTCAGGTGATTATTTTTTATTATAAACTTTATTTATAAAATATCATTATTTTGTAAAAAAAAAGACAAAGTGTCGGACACGCCGATCTTGTACCCACTGGACCCTCAAGATTCGACCCGAAACCCGAAACCCCAAAAAGAGCCCACGCAACACAAACGGCCATATATCTTTTCTTAAGTTAACTTAGAAGTTTGATTTTTCTACGATTTTTCACAGCTTCAAATACCGTACACCTGAGTACCACCTGACTGATTTTAAGTAGGTAACTACCTAGGTATCCGGCTGGAATCATCCCTATTCATCACTATATTCAGTCTAATAATAACCCCACAGTTAGGCCACAAGGCTTCCTTAGGGATGGATATCGAGATTGGACCATTATCCATCACTTGGGCCCAGTGCGGATTAGTGGAAGATCACGACTACAGATGCAGCCGGAACTGACAACTTAACGTGCTTTCCAAAATACGGAGGAACTCAATACATTTTTGGTCACATAAATTTATTGGGATCAATAGACTGAACGCAGGTTCATCTTTGAAGAGCTCCCCCGATTTCTTCAGTGTCCTATCGTCAGATCCTGACTTGGCGAATATAATGGTGGTGGTCCCACCACCTCGCGAGAATGACGTATTAAATAAAAAAGAATTTAGTAATAAACTTACAAATATTACCGTTACCATTTATTTTGAAGTGAAAGTGGGTAAGGATGTCAGTTTATTACTCAACAAAAGGATTATAACCTTGACTAAAAACCCAAACACAAATCCAAGCTCTATCTATTGTGTAACATTCTAATCTAATAAAACAGTCACATCCATCCAAGAGTGAATAAGTTAACGTTATTGATTCGCTCAAGTTGTTTTAGCCTTTCCAACGAGTTTTAGTATACTAAGGTACCTTTAAGGAGAAAGTATTATTTGTGAATTACGATTTCAACTTTCTTTCAGATGTGTATAAACCAGTATACGAGTCTGCACATTATGACGATGTGCAGCAAACTTATAGGCCAGGAGTTGTGGGAGGTACTCTGAATCACGTGGTGGGTGTAACGCAAGCTCAACCCACTTTTGCACCATCTGCAGATCAGAATCAGAGATTCCCGTACTTCGACAATTCACACAAATATACAACCCCAGCAACAACGCGTCCCACCAGACGTCCACGGCCCAGAAAATTAAACAACGACCAAAGCGTAGTTGGGTCCTTCATTGACTTGTTTTTCAAATAAAACACATTTACTGTTGTTGAGTTTGATTATTTTATGTCGGGCTCTATCAGTCTCGGTGTCGAACTCTGACCTTTCTCTTCATTTTCGTAACAGAAGGGTAAAGACGTCAAGTACAGCCTTCGCGATGTAAATATCAAACTGTGAACCTAGACCTACCTACAAAGGTAGTAAGTAACCTTTTATTTCGCCTGGTATTCTCATTCAGCTAGAGTCCTTTATCCAATAAGGTGGTGTTAATGAGACCAACAAAGTCCATGTGAGATTATTACCTACTTATGTGGGTGTCGTATTACAAATGACCTAGGATAGAGTAACCTTAGCGTGTTACAGCTCCACTTACGACTACTATTTATCGGGAGCGCGTGACTGCCTCTTATGACTCTCGGGATTAGGCATGTAGTCGCATAGTTTTATTTAAAAGTTAATTTACTTTATTAATTCATTAAAGTCACGATGATGTCACCACATTTAGTGCGTTCGCTTGCAAATTTGGAATGTTGTTAAAATTCAACTTCAAAAGCGTATAAGTGTAGTTTGTGTGTGGGTGTTTGCAGTGTTTCAAAATAATGTTTAATTCAAAAGTGATGATGAAAAAAATATTTTTATTAGTGATGGTGATATGCGTGAGTGCTGCTTTAATGGAAGGTGGGAAAATATAATATTTTGATATGATTTTAAATGCATTTCATTAATGTAATTACAAGTAATATGTTTATTTTCCAAATATGCAAAATTTCGGTATAACTCGATGAATTATCCATGTTTACTAGGTGCAATTTATCTTATATAAGTACGTAAAATGTTTGGCTTTTATAGCTACCTATATCATTACCTACCTACTTTAACACCCAATTTATGTAAACAAAAAATTGTCTTTTTGAGATGCAGGCAAAATATAGGTAATTTTAACATCAGTTACCTAAGTAACGCACTTTTAATGAAATATTGACCTATTGGTACTCAGGTCAAAATTAAAATAACGTACAAGCACAGGCTTGTGCAGAACCATTTTTTGTATACTACTTACATATTGAAAGGTAAAACACAACGAAGATCTAGCGCATCGTAGATTTAAATATTTTTAGAACAAATCTAATAGTTTAAGTTATAGGTACCAAGCTAGCTAGGTAGCCGCGGATTTCCGCTCGAATTGGAATGCCCGTCTGGGGAAGCAACCCCCACCATACAATAGACCACAGTAAAATAACCGTACCTTTGGGTGGTGTTGTGTTTCTGCTGGAGAGTAGGGTTCCAGCGCTCTGTGGGGTAGGGGATTGGGTTCAGGCCGGCAAGGAGGTGAGGATGGCTGGAGCGGCAAAGGAGATTGCTCAGCTTCCATACATGTTTGGCCTAAAGACCAATAATCATGAAAAATTGTTTCCTAGAGTCGAAATTATATATAAATTACTGTAGAAACGAATATACACTGAATGATTTTGAGGTTATGTTTGCAAATAGGTACATTGGTATTAAAATAATAAAAAACAAATAAGTTATATAGTATAGGGAAATGAAACCAAGAACCGAAATTACGTAGGTATTAGATTCAGGTATATAGAGCAGGTAGATTAACAGATACTTGCCTGTTTATAAAGTTAATGCACAAGAGTTACTTTTAAAATAAGGTATCATCTATGCATTTCCGGGTATAATAAGGTACTCTGTGCCAGAAACTGTGTGATGATTGTGAATGAGTCACAGATTAGAGAGAATTTTTAAACTCTCGTTAATTTAGTTAGTTAAGTTTCATTAGTTTTGTTATGTTTATATCATAACCATATTTTAGATTTTTAGTGTATCACACCCTATAATGTGTTAAAGAGGTGTTTGGCGAAAAATGTATGGCAATAGACTTTATGATGTCGCCTACCATCTATAATAATTGTCTTAGCACATTTGTATGTAGTGAAAATGATAATAATAGTTGTGGATATAAATACCACAGTGTAATAAAAAGAATAAAAATATTTATCGATTTTTACAAAATAGATATGTTTTGATGTTATATAAACAACTTCGATCAGTCTTTGGCCGAATGTTACTACACCCATAGCCATTAGAAATGATTCGTATGTTTTCCAAACCAGTAAGATTAAAAGTCCTTTTTAAAATGAATATATTATACAAAGGTGTCCGTTAAAATCTAATGACTGTAAAATAAAGTATAAATTACGCCAAGAGTTACCGTATATGTCAATATTATTTGTACATTTGGACCAATTTGAGCAATCTCCTTCCTGCCGCATCGAATGCGAAGATAGATTCTTCGCAACTGGACGCGACCTCCACCTAACGCTAGCTGGTGGGGTGGGGTAAGGGGCCGTTCATAAAATACGTTCGCATACAAGGGGGGGGGGGGGGAGGGGTCTTGCTAAGTGTGACAAGATGTGACAAGGGGGGGACGGGGGGTCTACGGCAACGTGACGTTCGTCGTTCATTAAAAAAATTTAAATTAGTATTTCTTTCTCAATTTTCATCAAGATAGAAAATCATTTATTTCGTATTTAGTAAACATATAGACATTCAAACGTATATAGTTTTATTATACAATAAATTGTAACTTGATATATTTACTCATGTTTATTTTTCGACATTAGCGCATATTTATATATTTAAATTTTATTATAAAAACTATATAAATATTTAAATTCTTAAAATTTGTGTACTATCAATTGAAATTAATCATACTTGGGGAGGGGAGGGGGGGGGGGGGTGTCCGTTTTTGTGACGGAATATTTCAAGAGGGGTCACAGAAAGTGTGACACAGCGTGACAATAGGGGGGGAGGGGGTCGGAAAAAGCTGATTTTAGCGTGACGTATTTTATGAACGGCCCCTAATTTGCTACTTCTTGTATAAAATAAAATATATTAAGTACCTAATAATATATTTTCTTATTAATTAGATGTTGATGAGACTCATTACGCTAAAGCGTTAAATAAATGGAAGAGCGTTCAAAAGTATGTTGAGGTTCGTCCTGGGGCGTTCATATTTTATTGGCTGTACTATGCCGATGGAACGATTGAGGGGGCTGACAAGAAACCTCTCGTGATATGGATACAAGGCGGACCTGGTTTGGCTGCAAGTGGGATAGCAAATTTCGCTGAAATCGGTCCGCTGAATATGGACATGCAACCTCGGAATCACACGTGGGTAAGAAATCTTAAATATGATATTATTTATTTTGATAATTACCTAGTCAGTATTTTGAATTATTTAAGCATTTAACTGCTCGATGAATAAAATGAATGATAAATCTAAAGAAAATATTACTATAATATTTTCTTTAGATTTAAACATCGAGCAGTTAAATGCTTAAAAATTTTAAAATTATAACTATAATTGATATTTCTTCTTTCAAATGTTTAATATTTCTAAAGTTATTCATTTGACATTGTGGGTTACTTGCAACGCGCAGAGATGGCGCTGCCTTGCAGCTTAAGAAAGGTTAGAAAGAATTCGACACGGCCATCAGCGCCGTGGTAGCATAATTATTGGTCAGTGCATTCGCCCGGATAGCGAAGGGTGCGGGTTCGAGTCTCGTCTGCTGCCTGGTACGCGTGGATTTTTTTCTAGTCGGTATGGTATTTGATATGCATCGTTTCCTTGCCAAACTATCAGCATCATTTAATGCCTCTTGAGATTTGAGTACCTACACATTTTGACGTGACAACGTCTTAAATTAGGTTGCGGCTGGGAGTCACTTATGAAAAAGTGTAACGCTCGGTAACGTTACGATGAGTCTCTCGTGTTAAGTTTAAGTTTACATGTACAATGTTTTAGTAAACAAAATATATTTCTATAGTTAAAATTTGTGCAATTCTTATTTTCATTCAATTCCTTGTTCCTATTGTGCAATTTAATTATATTCATATCAATAAATATTCTACCGAGAAAAAGACGTTGTCACGTAAAATCTTCGCCCGTAAAACCGACTTTACAGGCAACCATTTTTTTTGTTAGATTTCTAGTCAATGATTAATGATCATGGGGAGGGGTCTAAAAGAACAACTATGAAATGTCCATTAAATATGTTTTCCTTAAAGTGTTACCTCTTTCGCACAAAACTGATATATTTGATAATACGGGAATTTGTAAAATATTTATCTTGTAATTTTAATAAGATTTGAAAAAGTACGGTTATTTCTACTATATAAAAATAAGTCGGGTTTTCCTTCCTGACGCTATAACTTCAGAACGCACGAACCGATTTCCACGGTTTTGCATTCGTTGGAAAGGTCTCGGGCTCCGTGGGGTTTATAGCAAAGAAAATTCAGGAAAAATTATAAAAAAAAATCTTCTTTTAATCACCAAACGAAATGTTACATAAAAAGAAGCCATCTGGTGGCGAAACGGAGTTCGCCGGGTTTGCTAGTGAATAATAAATGAAACGTGCAATCTCGTCATTTTACACTCCATTAATTAGTATGTTTACCTTTATCAAACTACGTGCAGTATATTATGTAAGTATTATTAGCGCTTTTTACCTTTTGTTTGCGCATACGAGGGACTTTTGTCCGTCGAGGACTGGTCATGGACTCAACGCACTCGATGTGCGAACATTTTTGCTGCCGGAAAATTGAGAGAACATAGAGACGCTATAGAAAAAAACATTCTCAGAGTGCGCTGCTGTGCCTAGTCACATGGACAAAAAAGTTCGCAGTCAATGGTCGCCGTATACCATAAGTTGAATTTCAATATACAGTATTCCGATCGTCAACTTCGTCCATCTTATCAATGTTCCTAGTTCCTACTGCTAGGCAAGGGCGGATCCAGGGGGGGGGGGTCATGGGGGTCATGACCCCCCCCCCCCCCTGGGCTGGGTACAGATGGACCAAACCCAGGGCGATTTTATTTAAGTACTTTCAATGTTTAATATACCACGACTATATGACCCCCCTGGCGCCAAAGCTGGTTCCGCCCTTGCTGCTAGGGCACAGAGCCATCCGTCTGGTCGGAATAAAGAAATTGAGCCATGAACACCCGGGTGCATTGGTAACTCGCCTTCTGTAGGATGGCGGAATTCGAGTAAATGTTTTTTTCTTTGACCGGTCTTTGCGAAAGTTGCTTAACTTCCTCGAGCGGACCGAACCTTAGAGCATAACCGAACCGATCGAACGCAATAACCACTGCGCCATCGAGCACCTCATCCGTTTTACTTTGACTTAAATAATAATTATTTTAGGTCATTCTAATTAACTCTTAAATTAACTAATTAGTTATTAGCCCTAAAGTAGGACAGGAACAGGACGAAATTAACGATACAACATACTTACTTACATCATTTTAACTCAACGGTATTTCAATCACGGGTTTGACTTTCGTATATTTCGTTTAAACAAAATGTATTGCTCGACTAAGATAACCGTCCCATATTTTTTACAGGTGAATGGGAAAAACTTGCTTTTAATTGATCATCCCGTAGGAACTGGATTTAGTTATGTTACAGACAATTCTTTACTTGTCAAGAGCGATCGAGTTATGGGTAAATAATTTATCAATTCTTCTTAATATTCTACGAAACAGCTTTACAAGGTATGTAATGACCTACAATCTAAATCGATCAAGGTTAATGTGAAAAACGATACCTCAGAAAGATACTTTCTGTGTTGTCTCGGGAAAATTTTAGATAGTCGTGTGTGGTACTCATAGATGTGGTACCTACCGCGTTATTTAAAGTGTCTTTTTACCTTTAAAAGTATGATATTATTACGAAGAAAATCAGTGTCTGATGAAGAAAGAGAGAGTAAGTGATTTTGTTCGTAATAATAACCGTAAATTAACCATACTTAATCATGGACATATTTTAAATTAATTTGAATTAAAAAAAAATACGATTTCAGCAACCGATCTCTCAAAAACAATAAGAGCAATTTTCCGAACGCATAAGCAATTTCGGAAAACACCGTCTTACATCTTCGGCCAAAGTTACGGAGGGAAAATCTGCCCTCGTCTCGCATACTATTTACACACGGTAACTATTTGTCGCTGTTGAACAAACCCACTCTTGCTAGAGTTAACTTTGTATTTTCAGTTTTATTAAAGCTTTCACACTGATCTTTATTGTGTATTTAATTTTTAGGCGATTGAAAAAAAACGTCTGAAGATGAACCTCAAAGGCATAGGAGTTGGAAGTGGCTGGGTAGACCCCAAAGAAAGCATTTTGACATATTCAAATTATTTGTATGCCATGGTAAGGGCACCTTTTGTCTCATTATTTCGTATATCATGCGAAGAAGTCATTATTGCGATAATTATTGCTGTCGAGTAATTCGAGCTAAGTAAAAGTAAGATTACTAAATGCGATGAGACCGGCTGCGGGGGTTCGAAATTCATGTCGGGGGAGATGCTGGATGTAAAGTTAATAGGAATACGATCATGATACAGAACTAAATTAATATTGACACTTTTAAAATTGGTTTAACCAAATCAATCCGCTTTCCAGGGAGCTATCGACCGTAACACGTATTTGAAAATCACAACTATCGCTAAAAGAATAGCGGAGTTTATCGAGAAGAAGGATTATGCGACAGCTAACAAATGGGACATCTTGTTGCATTCAACCATCTCCAAAGAATCTGGAATGGAAATAAATTTTAACAATATCAACCAAGGTAGTCAGTATGTGACTTTGGCTCTGTTAAACAAGAAGGTGAACTCCTACGTAAAACCGACGCTGGTAATAGTGAACCAAAGTTTGGAGTGGTCGTACTTATCCGAGGAAGTATTTGATAGTATGAATGAAAGCTTCTTTTTACCGTCGACCAGATTTTGTGAGTACCTATACTCTATTATACCTATTAATAAATCAATTTACTAATTTGGCTTGTTCTTTTTGTTTTTTTCGTTATTGCGAGGACAGTTTTGGATGCAGTACCTACAGGTCAAAGCACTTGATCAAGCCAATGTGACATCGTTTTTTAGCTCTCTTGAAAACTATTTCTTTATACTCTTGCTACTTTGCGCCAAAAGCGAGGGACCGCTCTACTCGTTCTACGTCGGGCCGGTGCTGTTTGTACAGAAGAGTTTTTTGGAAAACTATAAACCACTAGGAAAGCGTGGTGGTGTTTTTGTCCTGATATTTTAATATTTCTCATAAATTACATCATCTATAACATATTACCATTCATCAAAATTATTTATTGGTCAGATACAGTAATATGAAAATCGAGGGGTTTCGTTGACAGTCCACATTCGGTGAGTCGTAGCGTTCGATTTACATCAGATAAGTACTATTTTATCCTTCTGGTTACAGTTTTTTTTAAAGGTCCTGCTAAATCTTTATGTAGTCGAAACCTACGTTTTCCATTGTGGCCTCACGGAGGAGCCATGTGCGTGCACATTCATGATAAGGCTCGTTAGGATTTGTTTTTAGTTTTTAAATGCTTGTGTTTTCTTTGAGCGCAAAAATAAGCAGTACCACAATCGAATACCTATTGACTTATTCTTGCTCGTCCATACTTAAATTAGTATATTTTCAGTTCGTTATTATTAATCTTTTAAATACCTACTTACGTTTTTCAGTAGAGATCCTGCTGAATAAAACTGATTTGAATATTGCTGTTTACAATGGAAATTTGGACGTTGTCACCCCTCTGGCAGGTAAGATGAATTTTCCGAAAATTGATAGTATGCGAGGGCATTTTTTCAAAACAAAAAAGAAATCTGCCGGATTATTCTGTAAAATAACACTTCACTTTCAAGTTGCTCCACCTTATGGTAAGCAGCAACTACCTATAGTTTATATAATCGCCGCCCACCGGGAGCAGCGCGACCGAGGTATCTATGGACGATATCCCATGCGATGAAATGGTCAAGGCCTTACCCAGTAAAAACCAGACAATGCTGGTACTATAACTGGCCGCGCATCTACAGGGTGATTGTTCGTTACCGGACTACCCTGATGTGCGGTTGCCCGGAGTATCAGGGGCACCGCCCATCACAGGAACCGTGCAATGCAGGTTGACTCCCACACCAGCCCGCGGGCTCCCGGCGAGTGTTGACAGTTTGACACACTCCATCTATAAAATCATGGAGCCCTTACTTCCTATTATTTTGCTGGGTACCCTCTGTTATGTAGATATAGTCTCAGTAGTACGGCGGGCTGTTTCCGCAACTCGACACCCAGTGCCTATTTTGCTTGGGAATTGGCATCAGTCCTGCCATCCCAGCTCCTCAAGAAAGCTCAGCAGTCCCCGGATGTTGCTGCAGGCTTCTAGTAGTGTCCGCGGGGTTCCCATTAGAGAAGTCCTTTGTCTTGCAACGCCTCTGCACTCCAGCAGAACATGGGCGCTCGTCTCCTCCTCCAGGCAGGCTCTGCACAGAGGGTTGTCAGAAATACCTATATTATAAAGGTGTTTGTTGAAGTAGACGTGACCCGTGAGTATGCCCACGATTTGTTTCAGGGCTTAGGGTTGTTATGTAGATATTACTTCCCCAGATAGCCGCTTTAATTCGAGCAGAATTCCGCTAGGCCTTGCATAGCCAACGGTCAAATATTTTAATGATTTATTAAATTTTTCAGGAGCTACAAATTGGGTTCACAAATTGAGATGGCATAGTGCAGAGCAATTTAGAAATGCCAAAAGAATACCAATAAATGGACACAGAAATGGATTCTTTAAAAAGGCAAAGAGGTTCAGTTTTTGGTGGGTCTTCGGAGCGGGTCATTGGGTAAGGTGTTTTTCTCATTAATAGGTACTTACATAAAATTGTGCAGTTCTCAATATCTGGAAGAAACCTAAAAAACTTACGTATAAAAATGCGGTAACAATAAGTATTATCTATGTAGCGTACGATAGGTACTATTAATTAATAGCACCATTGAGTCATTAAAGGCGTCTGTGCTAGATAATTGTGTGAATAACCCAACATTCTGTTCGATATAGTAGCGTGTGAAAATAACTCTTTCAACACAGCAAATGGGCCCCTGATTACCACAAAATGGCAATTTTGCGTACTCAATATTTAATTTAAGTCCATTAAGTTAGGGTTTAAAATTGAGAAGATGAGAAGAACATAAGTCTGATTTTTATCTGTACCCCAGATGAAAGCGGCGATGTCGTTTAATACATTGCGAGAGCTAAACCCTAAACGTAGTATAAGACCATAAAAATTTTAGATCTGTTTATTTATTTCAAGGATAGAATATTAAGGATTTAGGAAAAGTAAACAAGTCTCCCTTTTGAACTGGCCATTGTTTGGACGAAGAATCGAGCTAATAGGCATTGCAATGGCATAAGGTCAAAACTGTTTTCACAAAAAACCAGCCTCAATAAAAAAATAGTTTATTTAGCTTTAGCTATACATAAAGCTAAAACTATGCAAGCTAATAAAAAACGCCTTTTGTTATTGTTCTGAAACTTAACTAAACAAACGTGGACCACGGTAGGATCATGGCATTGCCTTTAAGAAAAATATGCTTCAGATAAGTTATTTTAATAAGAATTATAAGTATGTATACAATATAGAAATGAGCGGTCTACCACTTTTTGCGAAAAAGTAGATTTATTGATTTCTGTTGCAACATTTTGGAAAAAATAAATGCCTTTATTTTTTAAGCATTTAACAGCTAGCTGTTTTTTTCTTTAGATTTAAAAATATTAACGTGTGAGTATTTTTCGAACAAGTAAGGCAGCCTTTATAATGTATATCAAAATAATTTCAGGTGCCAGAAGACAATCCTACAGCCATGGAACAGATTTTGAATCACGTGATGTATAGTTAAATGTAAATATAAACAGTCTACCAATAAAAAAAGTAATAGTATTGTATAACTTTATTTTCTATGTCTATAACTTATTCCAGTACAATATTTACATATTCAACAATTAGGCCTAAGGCACACCAAAAGTACGTGGGCATCACCGAGGTAGGAAGGCACTTAATCGCGCCGTATAAATCATAATAATTTTACTATTAGTAGTTTTTGCTTAATGTATCAAAAAAAACATTCATTTATTGAAGACAAATAATTGACAATTGTTAGCCAGTTTTAATAATTTATTAAGATACATAGATAGATTATATCTTCACGCCGAGTTTTGGGTGGGATAGGCAGTTTTAATAATGATCCTGTTTTATTACAACAGAAGAAGGAAGTATTACAAATATTGCCTCCCTATTTACTGTTTTTAACGTACGTTTGGTGTGTTAAGCATTTAATTACAACTCTATAGACATTTTTAAGCACCACACTAAAACATCGGTACAAATTTGATAGTTATAAATGAAATTAATACATGTTTTTGTCAAAAATTAAAGATATTTTCATAAAAAAAAAACGTATAATTTTAATAACATGTTAAAGTAAATATTTATTTAAATTCGTAATTTTAACTCATTGTAATATCCATCACATTTTTAACGATAACTTTACATTTAATTTATATTTATTCAGTATACCCACTGCCGGATTTAGGGGAGGGCAACCGGGGCGAAAGCCCCGGGGCCTCCACAAACGGGGGGCCCCCACAATAGACTTCGAAAAAAAAAAATTCAAATTCCAACTAGTAAACACCAGTAAACATCTTTTCATTTGATATTTTTTTTTGCTCTTTTACCTTTACCTACAGCCAGGGCCGAATTTAAGGCAGGGCAGGTGGGGCTGTGGCCCAGGGGCCTCCACAACAGCTTAAGAAATAACAACATTTCGATGGGTCAAAAAGCATGCAAATCCTATGTGGGCCGGGACCTTCACAACAGGATAAAAGATAACAAAATTTCGATGGGTTAACAAGCATACAAATCCTAAGTGGCCCGGGGCCTCCACAATCCTAAATCCGGCCCAGAGTATACCTTATAATACAAAGGCTAAAGCACGCACTTTGACAGCTCCGTAATCGTATCACATCGTCAAACTTTCTATGAAAACTAAGCAGCACCCCTATCGGGGCCTACCGTAATAACAAACTGGCTCCTTCCATACAAATTTGACGGATCTGTCAAAGTGCGTGCTTGGGCCTCAGGTAGTGGATTTAGTTCTAAATTATTATGGAATCCTCCAAAATTAATGCCGAATCAATCGAATCAATTCATAAATATTTTGGAGATGATTTTACGTACATACATATTTAAATAAGTTTGTTCATCAATTAACTCCTTTTATTTGTAATTAATCAATATCAGTCTAATACATTCAGTCTGCATAAAACATGTACAGACACATAAAGTTAACACATGTTAATTTTTTTCAATAAATGTAAATCTTATATGTGATATAAACACCGATATTAAATACCCTAGATACACCAACACGAACAAAATCGTACCCGTAACTTGTCCAAAAGGTACATTGGTCGCTTCACGAAGCTCCGTAAGATAATGGCATAGTCAAAAACAATATAAGGCATTATTTAAACATTGGAAGTCACCTTTAATGCATACTATATAACGTAATAATTAAAACGAATGCGCCAAAGAGTTATAACAGTTCGAAATGCAACCTCGTAAAATGAAATGAATATATATGCGGAAGAATATAGAATTTCTTTGATTCTACGCGCAATTATACGGAATGGTTGTGTGCGTCTTTTGTTGCCTGCATGTACAAGCGTAATTTAATTATCTTGCCGCTCAATGTTGACTATTTTCCAACATACCCACTTACCTTTATAAAATATTGTAAATTAATAATATTTACTAGGGTGCAAAACTTCTATTTATTGTAACTAGATGTCGTGATTATTGTAGTACACGAATAAACCTTCCTAGTTTTTGTTTGCACTATATGTATTAAAATAATTGTAATAGTACTTGATTAAATAAAATAAAAAACTGTATGCACTGTTAGTAATATATGAGGTACGGACCGCGAGGAAAAGAGACGGCTATATTACCGACCATACACTTGAATCACAAATATTTTCTATTAAATCAGTTTTGAGTTAATATTAGAATAAAATTTGCTCCAAATGCGTTAAATTAACAAACATTGAGATACTTGTCGAATAAACGACACTTTTCGTACAATAAGTATTTTTTTCTCATTTTTTCACGGAGCTCTGCGGCATGTTGACGATTCAACGATCCGCGCGTCACTGTGAACAAACTAATGCTTGATTGGTGTTCAACCACTTCTTGATTGGGACACATTTTGAACGCACGTGGTGTATGTAGGGTATTTAATATCGTTGGAGATAAAGCTTAAAATTAGTTACTGAAATTGGACTTTTTAGGATAACTTACTTGCGACTGTCTGTACCTTTTTTTATAGAATAAATAAATATTAAGATTGACGTACCGGTACATAGAAATAGTCAAAGGAATGGCTGTCACTTTTAGGCGATTTCTTTTGCCCTCAAATTGAGCATTTTATGTATACTTAGTTTCTTTCGATTATTGTTTTTGAATTCAATAGCTTTGGACAAAACGCATAGAATAAATAAAAGTATAAATATGTACTTGAAGTGGCGGGCCATTGGCTTTATCGAATGTACCTATTAGTGTTAAATGCAAGAATGTTATTATTAATGTAGGAAAGCGAATGTCTCATAGCCGCCTTTGTTCAGACTAGAGTATATTTTTGGTTACCACAGATTAAAATTTACTTCCATTTTCTTCATTTCACATGTTGACAAGTTCAACATGGATACCGAAAAAACTTGTACTAGTTTCGCAGTGTTCTGTCTCTGTTCATCGAAAATCTAATACTATTTCTTGTCTATTTTTAAATAAATAACAGAAACATTTGCTTAATAAGTTAGGTTCATGTTGATATTCATAATTGAAATAAGTCTATCTACGTTGGGTTGCGTTTGAAAACATCAAACTTACAATACCACAGTTAGGCGCCTTCCTCACCGGGTCGGTGCGGGCTCGGTTCGTTTTCATTTCTGTACCGAATCTGTCAGATTCCTCACCGAAAACCATTTTTTGACCGGCTCGGTTTCGTTGCGGTATCGTTTCGTTTTGTTTCTGATGGTAGTGGCAGCCCTCGGTACTGAGACGTATATCCGCTCGGTAAAGAATAGGTACCGGAAAAAGTCAGTGAGAAAGCTCTCATTAAAAACATGGACTCGGTAAATAATCTGCACAGATTCGGTACAGAAACGAAAACGAAACAAGCCCGCACCGACCCGGTGAGGATGGCGCCTTACAGAAATATCTCCATTACTTTTGACTTCTAAGTCTATTGTAGGTTATATAGTGTGGAAATATGTTAAGTTGTCTGTGTAAAGAAACGTGATTTTATACATTTTGTTTGTGAAAATAGTACCCATGGCGTAAATTGTGTTGTTATTACGTTCTATATTAATTTTATCTAACACAAAATATACTATTAATATTTGGCGCACATGTTGTTTTCTTTACAACTGTATTGGGAATTTGGGATTTGTTAAATGAAAATTATTATAAAAGATACTACGTTAATCTCACTTCTGCGTAACAGGCGTCGCATACCCTGACTGGTTTCGTGTTTCCCGCTAAAGCTACGCTTTTTTCACTGCATGCGCCGCAAAATATATGCCCGCAACGCCTACAATGGTGCTGTGAAAATAAAATAGAGATCATAATAACACAAACAAAAAAAAAATAGACGATTGCCGTTAAAGAAATGTTTTACTTTGTGTGTTTTGCTTTCGACATTAAAAGTGTCTGGAAATAAAACTGTTGACAGAAGGTGTCTGGCAGTATGAATTTTAAATGTTTACAATATTCTCTACAACATATGTACTTAGGAATCAGTCCCCAGACTGTAAGTTAGGTGAGTAAAATTTTTACGTCCATGTGCCACCTCATAACCAAAAATTGGCCCACAGCACCAGTTAGCGAGTTTGTATATGTTGATTGTACCCGCTTATACTCAACGATATTAAATACCCTAGATACACCACGTGCGCTCCAAATGTGTCCCAATCAAGAAGTGCTTGAACACGGCTCAAGTTCCTTGGTTCATAGTCACGCGCGGACCGTGAAAAGTCAAGTTGCCGCAGAGCTCCGTGAAAAAATGCGAAATAGATACTTACTTATAATACGTAAAGTGTACTTTTTTCGACAGGTATCTAATAAATGTTTGTTAATTTAACGCGTTTGAAGTAAATTTTGCTCTAATACTTACTATAAACTGATTTAATAGAAAATATTTATGATTTTTAAATGCATAGTTGGTAATATAGCTGTCTCTTATCCTCGCGGTCCGGACCTGCTAATAGCGCATTTAGAATTGCGCGTAGATTCAAAGAAATGAGGTCTATATTCTTACACCTATAGCAATAAGTCGTAAAATTTTACGAGCTTGCATTTTGCACTGTCATACTCTTTGATGCATGCGTTTTAATGAAGACCTTATACAGTCACATTAAAGTTGACTTTCAATGTTTAAATAATGCCTTATATTGTTTTTGACTACGCGATCATCGCGAGCTCCGTAAAGCTCGTGTATCGTCCAAAGTGCCTTTTGGACAGGTTTTGGCCACGATTTTGATGGTGATGTTGTATCTAGGGTATTTAATATCGTTGTTAATACTACTCGAATATCCATATTTTGTCCATGAGAAAGTAAGTAAAGTCTGGCAGTCTTGGGATCTTGTATTTTAAATGACGGTGGAAATCAAATTGCGCATAATTGCGCTCGCTGCTAACTTCACAATCTACAGAAATTTCGATCGCATTATAGCCAAATATCTAATCAAAAAGCATTTGTGAATACTCCTTTAGCTACGTTGGGTACTTTTTGGATGAGGTAACTTAACTAAGGGGTAGCAACTTCGTCCGCGTTAACACAATTTTTTTTAGAATCCCTCCCTTATGAACCAAACATTTTTCCGGGATGAAAAGTATCGTCCTTTGTCATACAAATCCGTTCAGAAAATTTTCCGTGATTGAGTAACAAACATACTTTCACATTTATAATATTAGTAGATTGGTAATCTTGGTAATAAATTATATGTGTTCCAAATTTCATCTAAATCTTTTCAGCCTTTTCGTGAGATGGAGTTATAAATATATAAACACATAAACCTTTACACTTATATTATTAGTAGGATTTATTTATAAGCTACTAGTGATTAAGTAAAACTGAATTGCGGTCGCTAATAGGTACTCATTTTTCGTCTCGATTTTGTAAACTCCCTAGCGCAAGCCGTGCAGACTGACGCGTCTTTATCGTGCATCCAGGTGGAGTTCTGCTCAGCAGCGGCTCCTTTAGCCTGTTTCTCCAATAATTCCGTCAACTAAACCTAAAATAATTTCGGTCCCTAATAGGTACTGACTTTTCGTTTGGCTATTGTAAACTCTTTAGCACAAGCCGTGCAGACTGTCGCGTCTTTATCGTGTATCCAGATGGGGATCTCCTCAGCAGCGGTCGCTTTTGCCTTTCTCCAATAATTCCGTCAACTGAAACTAAAATAATTTCGGTCCCTAATAGGTACTCACTTTTCGTCTGGCTATTGTAAACTCTTTAGCGCAAGCCGTGCAGACTGACGCGTCTTTATCGTGCATCCAGGTGGGGTTCTCCTCAGCAGCAGCCGCTTTAGCCTCTTTCTCCAATAATTCCGCCAACTGAAGCTTGTTCTCGCTTAGTGTGGCGCCAACCTCCTCTAAAGTCTTTTGCGCTTCGCTGTACTGCGTTTTGAGAACGTGCTGTTCCTCTTGCAGAGCTATGTATTTCTGTAATGGCGGGCGTGTTTGTAGGTATCTCTTGAGCAATGTCTTTACGAACTAGGCTATTTATTTTGTTTATTGCCAGTTTAGGCTTATAAAGGTTTTGCGAAGCAGGTAGATTGGATAGCTTTTACATCATATTGTTTACGTTCACGAGTTAAATATGCATAATATGTTTAATAAAACCAAATAGTTTAAAAATATTGATTGAAATATAAGATTAGTTACTAGCGGCCACCCGAATCTCTATCAGTGTTAATTACTATATTATCGGGATAAAAAGTTTCTTTTGCTCCAGGTCTTAAACTATATACATACCAAGTTTCATCCAAATTAGTTCAGCAGTTATTGCGTGATTGAGTAACAGACATACAAACTTTCACATTTATAATATTAGTAGAATTCGTGTTTTAAACACATCGTCATCATCAGCAGTTCATGTTCCCCAGCAGTGCGATGTATGCATGCATTAATGCTTATTACAAAGTTATGAATGTTCCTACTGCTGGGGAACAGGCCTTCTCTATAGATGAGATAGGCAGGGAGTGGGATCATAACCACAGACATAGTTCGAAATAGATAGGTATCGCAAGTGTAATACTTCGCATGCCAAAAACATGCCAAAAGTGTGATCAAAGTTTCTATATTAACTCTATTTCATTTCTTTGCGACACCGTTCTCGGCACAGGACTTCAATGGCAATTTTAAAAAATGTCTAATAAAAGCCGGGGTTCATGTCCATGTTCCACCTTAATGTGTTCTCAAAATATGACACGCTCGGTTTTCATACGAGTTGAATCACATGCATCATCTAGGTACTTAAAATCTAAGTCTGTGGCCATAAGCCACCACGCCACGCTGACTGATTATGGATTGGTGAGTGATAGCGAATGCAAATACAATGCAGCCAAGATTACTGACTTAATGTTGCCTCTAAAACACGGAGGAGCTCAGAAAAATACATTTTTGGTCACCCATCCTTTGACCAGGGTAGGTGGGTACTATTACTAAACACTAAATTTTGATATAAGCACATTCGGTAAATACTCGTAAAACCGGTCATAATTAAGTTTGCCATTCAATGTAATGCCTGTTTGCCACCATATTTTAGTGTCATGTCACCTGTACATTGAAACTCAACACCTATTTATTATCGACGTTAATATCAAATGTCGAATTAAAATATCTGACCTACCTAATAAAGATAACACGTAGGTGACTTACCTGTCCAATAGATTTCAGTGATTCGACCTCTTGTATGAGAGTAGATATTTTATCACGATCTCTTATCATTGTTTCCTGGTGAGTCATAAATACATAATATAGTTATTGATCGAATTACATTAGGTGTATAACATACAAAATTTATGGTACATGAGATTCCACTGAAAAATAGTGAGTTATCAGAGTACCCAACCGTAGCAAAGTACCTAATTACAAACGAGGACGTTTGTTCCTTTTGAAGACTTTTAGGGGAAAAACTCGTTCTTGATGTTATTATTTATTAGGTAACGCAGGCATAAGGTTGTTAATTATATCGTTGTTTTACACCCTGTATGTATGAAAAATTTCATCCTAATCCGTTTAGCCCTTTTTGCGTGATTGTGTAACAAACATATAAACTTTCACATTTATAATATTAGTAGGATTTTTGTGGATATATGGCAGACTCAAGGGGTATTCTATCCCCTAGGTGCCCTAAGACATCCGCCACACCACTTCTGTTGAATATGTTCATTAGATTGACAATCTTAGGTTCACTTACACTAATGTTCTTAAATCAAAAGCTAATCATGTTTAAGCCCCATTCCATCTCTATTTGACTTCAAACAATTGACAGAGATGGAATGATGTGTTAAACCCGATTAAGTTATTTAATTAAAATTAAGAACTTTGGTTCAAGTGGGCTAATATTATCAAATCACTGTTTTAGATTTCACAAAAATATTACTATAATTAGATTAGATTTCGTAAATTACTATAATACATTTTCATAAACACCGGTGTGCAATTGACTAAGGTCTAGAAAGAGATAAAATTTCATGCGGCTACCTTCGTCAACAATAATGGTTAATAATGGTATTCGCCGCACGATATTTTTTTCTCTCCACAACTTTCTGTCCGACCAGACAATTATTTAGGTCTATGGATAAAATGGTCGTTCATAATATCTGTCTGCTGTGCGATATTCGACCTTAGATGACTCCCATGCTAAATCACTTGACTGAACATATCAGTTAAAGGAGTTTAATAAAATGGCATAAAACTGCTATATTAGTAGTTTCAAACACAGTACATAGTCCACTGTAGTTTTCGAAACTACTGTAGGTAGAATATCGCACGGGAAAGATGCAGCAGATAGTGATAAGGACATCTATACTTCGATATAATACCAACCCTATAGCTTATAACAAAGGCGCCACATTCAAACCCAAGATTATAGTCTAGAAATAACAGAAATAGGAAGTTGCCATGTCCGTTGAAGGCTTTTTCTATCTGCATAGAGAAGTTAACATCTCATACTTTGTTTCACCAAGAAGTCGAAGCTCATTATTGCAAAATAAACAAAAAAGAAATCATATCCTTGGGGGCAACATCACCCCTCTGAAATATTCTTAGTCCTGCATACCCATACGTACAGACACATGCCTTAAATTGGGATCAATTTCATTTAAAAATGGTTTGAACATTCGCATTGCTTTAAGGTTGAAATCTCCGTGCAAATCGCGGCGTTGAAACGACGAGTTAAATTCTTTTCGTACTGACATTTCTGAAGATAAACCTCATTGTTCAAGTGGGTAAGTTGAAAAATAAGTTAATTGATTGGGAATTTCCGTACGCTTCTCTGGGTCCGTAAGCTTGGCGCGTAAACGGAGCAGTACTCCTAGCACGAACCATTATCGAATTCGATTGCTTGCGAGTGCGAAATGTCAATGTAAAATTTTGTATGGAAATTTGAACAGCAGCGACACAAAGTACGTAACGAGAACTAAAAATCAGTACACATTTGACAATGACATTTAAGACTCGCAAACGTTACGGATTCGATATTAGTTCGTGCTAGGGGTACAGTTGTCTACACTGACTTATGTCAGTCATATAATATTATAAACATTGCATAAAACGTTGTCATAGTAACGTATTCGGTCAAAAAAATTTACTCTTATGACATCTGTTTGCTGTCCGATATTCAACCTTAGGTAGATTCAGAATTAGTGAACGTGACTGTTCATAAAATAGGTGGATTCCAAGTTTACCTGTAACGATATTCTCCATTCACGCTCAATCCTCAGATCTCCCTCCGCAGCCACCGCTCTAGTTTCAGCTGTAGCTGCCTTTTGTCCTAACGAACGGGCGCTTTCTTCCAGGCTCTTCCTAGCTTTAGCGTCGTTCTGTAACCTATCACGCGGGCCTAGCGTTTAGTCAAACAACATGTTTATGACAACCTTAATCAAACGAAATTAGTTTGCCATTTAAGTGTACATAGGGTCTGAAATGTTAGAACGAAATGATAACTTTATATAAGTGTCCTTTTCGAGCTCCGCAAATGAAATAAGATGTAAGATCTGGGTTCTGCCAAATAACTGTATTTCTGTAATTTATATTTTTGAGAGTATTAATCCATCAGGCAGCTTATGACGTCATCAATAGAAATGAAGTTTGACGGTACATCCCAAAGTTTTGTTTTGTTCTGCTGCATTTCGCCATCGTACATCGCGATAAAAATTTCATCCCCATCATCTTGATGCGTGGCTATCCACAACCGTGCGTTTTTGTTGAAATTTTTTACCACGTACGACAAAACTGTAATGAATATGTTGTCGCCAGCAGTGTTTTCGGACCGATACGACCCAAAAACCTTCAAAAAAAGAGCGTACTTCTTCCTTAAAGGCCGGCATCGCATTTGTGATACTCCTGGTGTTGCAAGTGTCCATGGGCGACGGTGATCACTTACCAACAGGTGAGCCGTCTGCTCGGATGCCCCCTATAACATATAAAAAAAAAGTTTTACATCTTATTTTATTTGCTCGAAAAGAGCTTAATAGTTGTGAATTCGTTCTTACAGATCATAAATCATTGTTAACTGATCGGAAAAGTCTAGGCCCGTGTAGCAATATAATGCTCGAGTAACTAACAAATCTCTGTGTTAGGTATTTTCTTTTATGTATTAAACTGCAAATTAATTTAACCAGAAAAAAAAGCACTCGCCCAAAATGACACGATGGATTCGGACCAGCGCCTTTCACTATCCGGGGAATGCACTCATAAATTTGAAATATTAATCTCTTTAATTTGAAATAAAGAAAGAAATCAAATAAAGATCATATTTGAATCGAGATAATTACAAGAATACACATAAAATTACATTTTGGTATATTAAGCGAGAGTTATTTTTCTGATATTTATTAGATTAATTAATATTTGACGTTGAATAAAATATGTAAGTATAATACCAATCATTTAAAATATTAAGAAGAAAAATATTAAAAATAAAAACTTTTATAATATCTCAATGTGCTAATTAAATAAATAGGTAGTTATATAAAATCAGTGTGCTAGGCTTTAATGACCATATTAAGTTGTTACTGAATAGTGATAAGACAACTGAATTAAAAACAAGAAAGCAAATAACAGTAGAATTTTGTTTTTACTTCTAGAGATTGTTAATAAAAAATGTTAATAAAGTAGCGTTTTCAGTTAAAATGCATGCAAACACAACAATAATGTAGATAATGGCAAACCTACACAACCAACACAAAATCAAAACAAGATGTTTTCTGGTTGAGTTGACAATGAAATACTTTATGCGACTGAATATGCTTTATTATAAATAAGGCTTTACAACTTCTACTACAGAAAAAATTACAAAACTAAGAAAGATAATAATTTGTTTTGTTGTTTTCTAAGTAATTTGTAGTAAGCTACATGTTGGAAAGCTTATACAATAATCGAAGACGATAATTAATTTTTATACATACATTGAAATATAAATCGCTAATTACATAGTGAGATCAAAATAATTTACCAATATACTTTTTTAAACAAATCACAACTGCTTTTGACACGGTTTGAATACTTTAAAATATCACTAGAAAAGTATACAAAATAACTTTTTATTCATTTTAATTGAAGCATCATCGATTGCGCCTACTTCGAAATATATAGCCTTTAATTACATTTATCACTTTCATATTAGAAATACACTTTTTTAAAAACAAATACAATATTCTCAAACAAAATGTAAATGTTATAAAACTAATAATAAAATTGTAAACTTAACATGGTTTAACTATATTTACCATCGCGTTACTCCATTCCGCAGCAACGAGAAAGCGAAAGCAACCGTAGCATGTTGGTAACAATACATTTCCAACGGTACATCGAAATATCACATCATTCGTCACATATTTAATCGAATTGTTCATGTTCATTGTGAGGGTTTGCCAATATCGAGCGAATGGAAAGAGAACCCTTTGATAATTATTGTTTACTAACGCAAGCTGTGCTCTGCTCACACCTAGGTGCGCATTCAATACTGATATGTTAAGCGTTACATATAACAGCGTTCAAAGTCGAGGCACTCTTTCTATCCTCACGGGTGAGAGCAGGCCGGAGGACGACATACAAATAAAAACAGTACAAAACCTACTTCTCATCGAGCTGATGTATCGTGCTGCCCATTGATTCAGTCTTTGCTTCCAATTTGGATATTAGCTCAGTTTTATGTTTCAAGGAACTTTCACATTCCTAAAACAAGGTCAATAAAATTTAACTCAGTTAAGTTGTAAACCAAAAAGTGTACGATATAACCTGTATTGTTAGTAGTGATATATAGCATAAGTTTAAGTTATAAAGCGTTAGCATTATTATCAGATTCATAATTTATGAGGTTAATATTATGGCATATTAAGAGCAGAATATATTTAATAATTTAAAAATAAATGTTACTAAGAACATATTGCAGCTTTAACATTGGCATTATGTTATTAATTAATACCTAAGTACATTACAAAATATAATAAGTATAGAACAGTAGTTAGTAATATACAGTTTGCACTAGACGTGGAGGAAGTACCACCGTTTACTAATAAAATTATGTACAAAAATGACTAGAATGTAAGCTGAGATGCTTGCGATTTATTCTCCTACACGACCGGCGGATTTATCATTACTAATACTTTTTCTAAACGGTGGTATTTCTTGCAAATTCAGTTTTTTGTTCGGCGGCCCCTCATCCTTCGACTTAGTACCCTTTTGAGCGTTACTTTGCGACTTAAGTTTTTCCAACTTTTCTCCTATGTTATTCTCGTTAGTTGTTGGAGATCTGAGAGCTTTGACTAGTTCATGGTCGGGTAAGAAGTGGTTATATTTTTCGAGGTTGTGGAGTATTTTGCCAATTTGCTCGGCTTTCCCTTGAAGCCTGGAGACCATTTCGCCCTTCTGCGTCAGTTCCATCTCGCATTCCTTCCGTACGATAAACGCGGCATTGTGAATTTAAGCATAGTATTAGTATCGAATATATAAATATTATTATAACGAATCATGCTTTTGTTGTTTAAGCAATAGATATTAATAAATTTAATCGCATAAATAGTTCAACAAAATAAATAAGCAGGGTAGATTTTGGGGATTTTACATTTCTTATGTTTAGGCTGTGACTAATAGTTATACTACTAAGGAACTCCTAAGGAAAATCCGTACGCCAATTGATTAGTTGTTAGACAATGAGTTAAAATGTATGGGCGGGAAGCGTTATGCTGTGCACCCACGTTCAATGCTTGACCTTCGTGGGGCAACGGCTTTGTATGTAATATCGTATTGATGATCGCACTTGTTCTTGTAAATCTGTTGTGTGGAGTAGCGATCTTCATTACGAAATCAAGCAATTATTGCATTTAATTTTACATACTGGCTATATTAATAATCTGCTTGAGGCTAAGAAAAAAACATGAGTTTAAGTTTAAGGAAATCAATATAACGCGTTTCATATTTGAGCAAACAAATTTATGCGATAGCTTATACATATACTCTAACTGTAAGTAAATTTTAACGAAATATTGTAAACAACGCATAAAAAAATCAAATGTTTGGGAAGTCATGCACTTGACCCAGATTTCAGAATTGTCAATGGCAACACTAGCGAGACTCAATTATTTGTAATTCAGGGTTACTATCCATCTGTTGGATTTTAGGATGCTCACTATAATTATTTGTAAATTGTTTTTTTGTTGGACGTTAAGTTAGCAGACCATGACAAAAGTTAGGAAAATGATGTCGGCGACGGCGTGCATTGAGGTCAACTTATTACTTCGGCATTAAGGGTACAAATCCAACAACCCAACAGTACAATACCAATTAATAATGTTAACTTATGACTTCGGCCATTAAGAGTACATATTCTAGAACTAAACTAGTATCTTTGAAGATTTGCTAGCTTACCTGTAATTTCTTGTACATTTCTAAGTTGATTAGTTTTATGTCGTCAAGCTGCCTCCTTAGCGATATTATCGTGTCCTGTTTGTCATGTATGTCTTTTTCTAATAGCTTCATTGCTACTTCCATTTCAGCTTTCAGTGATATCTAAAGGAAATCATTCAACGTTTATTCAAAAAGTACGTTAAATATAGTAGAAGAGAACTAACAGGTATTTCTACTAATATTATTAATACGAAAGTACGTATGACGTAAATATAGAAAAGTTAGTTAATGAATAACGTCTAATATTTTTTTGTGGATTTTGAGAATTTATATCCAAGTCAGAAAATTCAGAAGTTCTGGCAGATAACGTTTAGTCTTCGATATGTGTATAATTAATTTAAACACATGTTACCTGTAAATCTAACTCTTTCTGCAATTCCATATTTTTCCTTTTTTCTTCTTCCAGCATTCTCCCGTGATCGAAATCCTTATCTGTTTTAGATCTATCGGAAGTTGTACTCTTCACACTGCGTTTCTCCTGGAAATGATTAAAGTTCGAAATGAATTAATATTTTTTTATTTATGTGTAGGCTGAAATGGTAACAACGGATGTTTTATTGTTTCATGTAGGTATAATGGGTAAGATTAGGGTTGATAATCATGATGTCGCTTTTGCTAAAATAACGCAGTAATAGCGACTCAGTTTTGCTTGTTGACATCTTTCTTTTTCATTAGGTGTATACAGTTGTTATTTTGTGATATATTCTAACATAAAAAGTAGATTATCTGGATGGAAATTTTCCCGTGATAAGAAAAAGCATATTCAAATAGTTAAGGATTTGATAGCCAGAACTAATAATCCTACTTATTATTCAATTAAAATGGTCTGGCAATTGTAATAATGTAAATATATTAAAGTACTTCTACTAAGGCAGGTATTCAAAATAATAAATACAATTTATTGTTAAGTGATCTGGCATAATTATCTGTATTTTTCCTTAAGCTGGACAAGTTTTTTTACTTATGTACGTATACCTATATTAGAAGTGAATTTTTATCTAACATTTTTATTTTAGGAATCTGTTCAAGACTTACCTCTTCGTCCGATTGTAGTTCTGTCACTTTCATCTTTGTATCTTTGGTTATATCCTGACCTGCAGAAAAAAAATCACATGTGAGACGCTCGCTACGTAAATAAACACGACACCGGCAGACAGAACGGCGTTTATAATTACACAACACGTTTCGAAATAACTCACATGATCTTATCCAAAATGATTGTTTGGATTGACTTTTTGACGTTGTATTGCCCATTAAAGCTGGGCGATGGGGCATAACGGTTTAATGTCGCGATTGATGGCAAACGAAGTATGAAATACGCGCGACACTCACGGAATACGAATGCCAACTAAACATTAAAGCCGTTTGTCTGACTCATCGAATCGCAAGGTGTCTTATCTAATGCACTCTCTATTATTCAGCATTGTTACTGATAGACAGAGGCTCATTTTGCATTTTTGTGGGACCTTGAGAAAATACCATGCTTTGGTAGGTATGCTTTTGTTGCGTCTATATAATCATGATGATTCCTACGTATCTCTGACGATACCAAAATCAAATTGTTGTTAGGTAATAATTACAATAGTTTTTTTTTATTCGACACTTTTGACGATAATATTTAGTGGACTTGGACGTCGCTTAGTATTGCAATAACACCATATTGAATTATAATGCTTTTTGGTTAAAGTGATCGATCGACTCTTTTTTACACAATAATAATGTTTGAGATGATAAATTTTATTTCTTATTCAGAACCAACTTATAATGTAACGAGTTATTTAAGTACCTAAGTATGCATAGATTTGATGTTCATATTAAGATATTTTGTTTTAATATATTTTTTTCCAATTAAGATGTTCAGAATTACCTACATTCTGAATACATAAGACAAGTCACTTTTACCAAACTTCTTGATAAGTATTTACCTAGTAAGTAATTTTATTACATACATGTGTTACTAATTTATTTAAAAAAACAAGTAAGAATCCACATCTTAGCTATTATATAAAGAAAGCGTGATTTCACTTTAATGAAATATTTGACATTCATTAGTCAACAATTAGGTATAATATATCGTGGTATTTGCAGAAACAAAGACGTACATTACTTAATAGTATCGTTAATGAATAGCGATAGACCGGTTCCTTTATGCAATAAAAAAAACATTAAAGAACTACTTAATTTAGAAAGAAATTGTGAATAAATTATGACTAATAGTGCGACAAAGTCAATATTAGCAGCAAATGGCGTAAGTACTTTATGCTAATGAAATATTGTCATGCTATTGGTCGATTCAAATACTATGTAGAGTAGAATCAACTTAAGTTTATGGTTTAAACATCTAGCTGTTAAATGCTTTAAATAAAATTAAGTTTATGATATTTTTCTTTAAAGGAAGAAAGCACCTTAAATACATACTAGCTTTTAAAATAAAAGTGTATAAATATGAAAGTTTCTTTTTGAGCGCAATCCAAATTAAATTGAAAAAAAAGGTGACAGCGGCAGTTACACCAGGTTGATTTTTCTGATTGATTTCTGTTGATTTTTCTATATTATTGTCTTCCTTTATCATTTTTTCTGATAAAGGAAGACGATAATATAGAAAAATGATTCACAAAAAAACAAATATTTCGAAGCAAACAAATGAGTAAAGTTTTTATTATGGTGTAGCGGCATACCCAAGGCGTGTTTTAGTTGATTGTTTTCCTCGACTAACTGAATCATCGTGTTTTTCGCAATGGCCAAATCTTCTTTCATGAGAGCATTTGTTGTGGTCAGACTTTCGACTTTAGCTTGCAAATTCGCCACCGTAGCACTGAAACAATACTAATTTTGAAATCACTCATATATTATTAAGGGCTTGCGCTGCGTTAAGCGGGAGCACGGAGCGGAGCGCTACGTGTGCAGCTTCATGTTATTTCATGAGCAGGCAGCGCTGCGCGGGGCTCCCATCTCGCACCGATGTACAGGACGTCCGCAACGTGTTCCCGATTAACGCAGCGAAAACTTGCCTCTTCAAAAACCGATTAGAAATGAATATGAAAGATTTGTGAAGTAAAACAAGTTATTGATGAATGAAGTCTTACTTAAGATGTCTGTTTAGTTCCTCTATATAGTTTTTCTGATCGAGCATTGTGTTAATATGGCGTTGCTTTGGCTCATTGTTGGAGTTGTTGCCGTTACTAGACAAGTCGTTTGAGGAGTTGCTGCCGCGTAGGTACAGTGAGAAGTCTATTACACCCTGTTGACTGTCCAAGTCTTCTTCCTGCAATAAACATGACTCTTGTAAGGCTTTAAGAAATTTAACACATTTAGTCGTACCTATTTTGTTAGTGCTCGATATTGATTGATAGTTTAGTATTGAATATAAGAGCGGTATAGCATAGTGGATTTTCCGCTTGAATTGGAGCACCCGCCTGGGGAAGTAACCTATATCACAGTGAAATACTTATTGGACGATTCAAATGAGTTGTAAGCAGGTACTTTGCATTCAATTTGAATAAGAATATTAACACAAAATTTTGGTGGTGTTTTTTGGCGAGTAAGGTTCCAGGGTTCCATAAGGAATGCTATTTTGTTTAAGCCAGTAAGGTGAAGGAGGCTGAAGCGGCTAATTTTTCTGCTGCGTTACAGTCGTTATATTCACAACTAGGCTTAAAGACTTGAATCGTAAAAACAGATACCTATATTCGTACTAACGCTTTAAAACATTACTACTAAACTAACAATTATATGAAACATTTACGATCAACGACACTTTCACTGTTATCATTTACCTTGACACACAAATTGCAGTCGACCACATTTAGCCCAACAAGCAGCCCGGTGATAATTACGGCTTCCTCGTTTAACATAAGCGCGTGCGGTTCGAAAAACTCCTCAAGAGTCTCCTCTCGGTGCTCAAGAAGAATTCTAAGGTAGTCGGCAAGTCTCTTCTGCATGAGAGCCAGCCGCAGCCAAGCACGAGCGCGGCCCATAGCGGTCCTTGATATAAATAAAAAAAACTTAGTCTACCGCTTATCCTGTATATTCTGAACAAATGTTTTGAACTACGGTATTAACGGCGTAATCCTGCTCCTAAAAACCGACTTTATATATACAAGAAACTTATTAAAATTATGAAATTACTAGTGGCCCGACCTCGCTTCGCTTCGGTTTAGAGCTTTAGTATAGACTATAGTTTTTCTTCTCAGGTTTGTATTATACACAATGACTTTTCTATATATTTTCATCACGCTACGACCAGTAGGAGAAGTACATCTATGAAAAATCTTGTAAAAACGAGTAAAAATATTCCATTTGTGATCTACCATTGCGTGTGCTGCGTAAACGGTTAAAATGACATAAAAATCATGTATGACATTAATGTTCCTCTTTAAAAGTTCTATAAAAAAAGTCCGCGACAGTCATCTTTTAAGTTTGACTCACTACAACCTTTTTCCTAAAATTTACGCGGGTGAAACCGCAGGGGACCTCTAATTGTGACATAATTAGACATATTATAGTTAGTGCAGGCGCTGGAGGTAGTTGAGTATGCAAAATGTGAGTGACGGCAACAATGACCGGATTCTTATACCTGAGACCCTAAATAACGACAAAACACATCTTGCCGCCGGGTGCGGTGGTCCCTTTCCGCACCCTTCACATCCCCTCTTCGCCCATACAGTAAGCATAGCGCGCTTACGCGTTTTGTGTGTTTCTACATGTATTGGTGTAAAGACGTTGCTTAGTTACGCCGTGTTTTTTTTATACACATAAAATAATAGTATTTTCGTGAATTCTTAGTGTCTGTTTTAAGTGTACTACATTAAAAAACGTTAGAAATGTCGTTAGAAGTTGTTAATTTGAAAAGGAAAAAACCTAACGAACAATTTTGCTTGTTTTGCGATAATTCAAGTAATGTGGTGAAAAGACGAAAAGACACCATTAGTGAGAAGTTTTCAAAGCTATATGATCCGGAATCCACAAAACAAGAATTTTCATGGCACCAAGACTGTTTAGTCACGTATATTAGTGAGGAGAAGATAAGGCGTCGAGAAATTGCGTTGCATAAAGAAGAAGAAGTGTCTGCTTCAACTTCAACTATAAGTGGTTGTGATACCACTAGTAGATTTGGTACGAAAATGCAATGGTTGAAAGCTGCGCCTGAAGATTTTGTACAAACAGCTCTCATGCCTTTGGGAAACCTTGACGTAAATAATGAACAATTCAAACAGTTGGAAGCAGTTTGCACATATTTATTTTCAAAGAAGAAATTATCTGCTGATGAGCTCAGATTTTTACTGATATCTCAAAATATAGGATTTAATTTTAATCTGATGAGAGTGATATGCACTTCGGATGCTTTACATTTGCATTTGTTGAGGGCTACAGTACAAACATATATATGGAAAAATGCTCATCAAACACAATTACCACTCATTGATTATTGCTCATTTGGTTACGAAAAGCTCAACGATGACTTATGTCCACGGCAAATGACGAAGCCGTCTTTACCAGAGTCCTTAATTCCACCGTGTAAATGTACTGCAAATTGTCGCACAATGTCGTGTAATTGCAAAAAATCAGAATTGTTTTGTATTTCATTATGTAAATGCATTAATAACAAATGCCAAAATAAAAATTTGTAATTTTTTACCTACTTAAAGCACATTTATGCTTGAATGGTTGCACTGGTTTTTCATATATAACTTTTATTTGTTTATTAATAAAAAAAAAATTACTTTCATTTTCGTTTTTTTTATTATTATTCCAGAATCTATCCTCACTTGTTCCACTAGAATAAACTATAAATTATTACGGAAATAATCATTAAAATGATTTTATATCCTGTACTCAATACATTCCCTTTACGAATAAGAGGAGAGGGGGTAAAAACGAAATGGACCGGCAAGATTCACATTATTATTCTTTGGCCTTTTCTTCACTTAAATCCATTGGCGGAATTCGGTACTCACATTTTGCATACTCACTTACCTCTAGCGCCCGGTCTAAGTATCTTAAACTTTTTTGTAGGTATTGATGTCCTCTATAAAACTTTATTACATCATCATCATCATCATCAGCCTATTAATATCCCCACTGCTGGGGCACAGGCCTTCCCTATGGATGGAATAGGGAGATTGGGCCATGACCCACCTTGCAGCCCAACTAACAACTTGGTGGGTGCTAACGACTGCAGATGCAGCCGGGACCAACGGCTTAACGTGCCTTCCGAAGCACGTAGGAGCTCGAGATAGTAATTTTTGGTCACCCATCTAATGACCACTGCGAAAGTTGCTTAAGTTCAACGTTCGCAGCCGAACGCGCTAACCACTTGCGCCATCGAGCTCCTTGCGCCAGCTATTATTACATCACTTTGCCCTATTGTCAATGGTGACCAAAACTTTTCTACCTCGAGCTCCTCCGTGCTTCGGAAGTCACGTTAAGCCGTTGGCCCCGACTGCATCTGCAGTCGTTAGCACCTACCAATCCGAACTGGGCCCGCGTGGTGAGACAGCGCCCAATCTCCCTATTCCATCCATAAGGAAGGCCTGTGCCCCAGTAGTGGGGACATTAATAGGTTGGTGATGTGATGTGATACATATCGAGGAGTTCCATTGTTATCTAAGAATATAATTATTAAAATATTTACTAAACTTTTAATGGACCACTACGAACGAGAAAAGATTGAAATAAAAAAAAGATCTGAATTGAACAAGAACGCAGTAGCGCGCGATCCCCAACGAAAAAATATATTGATGAATGGAAAACTTCCTCCGTTATAATGCAGGTTAAAAATAGAGAAATGAAAGTGGATACAATAGAAACGATTCGTGTTTAACAGTTTATAATAAATTGAGATCAATAAAAAAACAACGTTTTCTTAAACTAGGTGTAAGTACTTACTTAACTGTCGGTAAATCTCTAATACTCGCTGTAATATCCGCCGCTTCCGGAGAATATTTTTCAACCATCTGTAGAATATCCCATAATTCCTTTTTTGGCCCAAGTAGCCCCTAAAATAGTAAAAGTTTTCAAACGAAAGTTCAATATGCTTCTGAAAAACAGTTTAAGATAATATAATAATGTGCGTCTTACCTTTTTCGGTTTCAATCCGTGACGCATGACGTGTTCGAGAACAATAAAAAAATGGTGCAATGGCAAATGATCACTGTCCAACATCCTTCCATAGCGCAGAGATTGTTCAATCAGCTCTTTAACGATAAGCTTGGAAATATTCACGAGATTACTGCGTTCAATTACCACTGGGTCTCGTGCTACAATAAAATAATACCGGTTGGTAAATATTATCAACATACTTGTTAGAATTTTCCACAATATTTGCTACACTAGTTTAGATATTATAAAATTACCCATCAAAGAATGCATAGGATCATCGGGGGAAGTAATAGCACCGGTATCGGAAGGGCGGATGTAAGAGTCTTGCATTTCCATGTCATGCAGCTCCTTCAAACACAGCCACTCCCCATCCACAGAAACACGGAAGTTGCAAAGATAAATGGTATCCTGTGCACCGGCCATGTCGGCATCCGGGTTAACGTCTTGATGGATACCCGAAGGAACGCCTAGATCAGGCAAGGGATCTACCCCATGTACCGCGGTAAGAGAACGCATAATAAAGTGGCAAATAAACTAGCAAGCGAAAAGGCAGACGCACTTCTGTAAATCTTGATCACTTTTCTAAATACATTGCAAACACGCGACTCTCCGAAACAAACTGTATTGCAGTTAGACTTGCAACTGGGTCGTTTATTTCATCTAACAGGAGCACGTAAACAGAGCCTTTCAAAAGCGTTTTCTCGCTTTGTATGAGTAAATGGGTTTTCTAGTAGGTTCAGAACAAAATATTGATTTCACGTTGGTATATGGAGGGCAGCGTACCTGTTCGCAAGAGGGAAAAATCAATACAGAGGCGATGGTGCTGCCACCTATGGAGAGGTTTGTGAAGCGGCTTAAAGGGGCGCACAACACAATCTTGGTTTTTACTAACCTTATGTTTATCCTTACAGCATGAAGATGTAGCTGAATTAAAAAAAAATACTACGAAATAGTAAGGCACATTTTTTAATAATGCTTTGAGATCAAAAGAAAGCATCTATTGAATAAAAATTAGTTTTTTTTGTTTTTTACTATAAAATATACTGAAATTGTCTGTATTTTTATTTAACAACATACTCCATATACTTTGTGATATTTTACATTAATAATATTATTGGTTATGTATACAGATAAAAAATTGATTATTGTAACAAATAACTGCATATTTGTTATTGATTTGTCCAAACCTATTCCAATGAATTCTTACTCAATCAGTGTAGCCATGTAACCAGACACATTATTTGTTATTCAATACAGCAGCAAAACGTTTTTTTTATCATTGCTTCAAAAGCTGTACTTTTTGGTATCCATTGGTGTTGATTCTGGCATGATTCTCTAAACTTAAAACTAAATTTAACATCAGTCTCTTCTGTTCATTCTATATAGCGATTGATAAGGATGCACTATTATCAAATTTAAGTTTAGGTTTAGAGAATCATGCCAGAATCGACCCCATTGTATTGCCAATTAAAAAAACAAATCAAATAAAGTTTTTTTTTATTTGGCAATATTGTCAGACTCACTAAAGTATGTAATGATTAGGATTGAGGACACAGTAGTCCAGGACAAACACTTTATAATGCAATTTTAATCACTGATAATTTTCATTGACTGACTGATTTTGTAAAAATATAAGAGAAAAAAGCTCTCTATGATAGAATATACCAGTTTTTCTTTTACTAGAAAAAAATCCAATCCCTCCGCTCTCCGGGCAGATGCATTGACCAATTATACTACTGTGACCTTCCTAAAAACCATGTCGATTTCTTCTATTATTTCTTATGCTACAAGGCAGTGCCATCTGTTTGCATTGTAGAGCAGTTAAATGTTTAAAATGAAAATATATTACAACACAAAGTGTTTTCTTTATTTTACATCACTAGTAATGGTTTATAATAATTTTTTTTTTATGATTATTTCTAAGTAGTTGTGCCCTGCACTGTTACTTGCAGTTTATTAGGGATATTTTCCCGCAGTAAAAAGTAGCCTATGTGTTAATCCTAAGGTGTCAGCTAACTCCATACCAAATTTTATTAAAATCGCTCCAGCCGTTTCGACGTGAAGAAGTAACAAACATACACACTCATAAACTTTCGCCTTTATAATATTAGTGTGATTGAACTATTACATGAGTAGGGATTAATTTAACTCAAGTTTAAAGCTTAGCAACAAATTCAAAGATTTTATTAGCTATATCTTATCTAGGAGCCTGATGGTGCACACTTATTATATATTTGGAAGTCAGTTATCTTTCAATATGTATGAAATAAAAATTGGTAACTTAAAAAATTATCTTGAGCTCCTTTGCCTTCAATGAAAAAAAAATAAAAAATAAATAAATATTTTCTGGCTCTTCACCCCCACTGCTGCGGCATGCTCACTTCGCTCACTCCGATCGCGCGTTATGGTCACAACACTAACCTAACCTAGTGTGAAGTATCACCACTTGGGCCCTGGAAGTACAGTTTAGACTTTCCTTATTTGCCTATTCTGGGACTATTAGGCTTAGGGAACTATGTCTGTGTACTCCCACATTAGGGACATTAGGAGGTGGGTGATAATAATTTCAAATGTTTAAAATGATCAAAGTGTACTAAGGTAAACAACAAATTAAAGCTCAATAATAATAACAAAAATGAAGCAATAAATGTTATGACTATGACTTTATTTTGTTTATTAAGTTAATATTATAGTTTATGGTTTGAAATTAAGCAATTACATAAATAACAACATTCTTAATCACATATAAGCAAAATCAAGGTTACTGTACATTAAAATAACAGAAAGTAAAGAGAATCATGTTTATGGTTTTTTTACATTTTAATTATAGGTCTAATCTTGGTTATAATTTACTAAGTTGTCATAAACACAGTTATAATTTGTACATATTACGCACTTACTTTTTGTGCTGTAGAAATACGAATTATCAGGTCTGGAAATTAAAAGTTCCGGCCATTTATCTTCTTTTGAAGATGTAACAGAAGGGGACCGTTCGAAAAAAATAGATTTCACTGATGCAGTTGATGTCGCTGGAGACACATCACAGTCTTTTTCTTTGGAAGATGCCATGGTTATTTATAATTATTTCACAGAATCATTTTCACAACACAATAGAGTACATTACGAAAAGTAAACGCGTCAATGTTATGTCATTTAGTCCAATTGTCAAATTGACGTTATCGAAACGTTTGTAAAGTTAGTACCATTCTTGCACAGATGACGATTTCAATATTATATAACGGGACCATTTTGTGGGATCTTCCTTCCTTAACCTTAACATACTTATGCGCATGGATTTTGAATCCTCTACAAAAAGTTGTAAAAGGTGATTAAAATCGTAAGTAACCTTCACTCCTACGTTGCCCCGGGGCGTCCACACATCTAAAATACGGCCCTGCCGGCCTATTCGCTAACTTGGTACTTAATTCCATTATATGTAATTGAATTTCGGGGTAATTTGTAGGGGGGGGGGAAGGGGGGGCTCCTCCCGACCCCCCGCCATAAATGATTTTTGGCGGAAATGCAGTTTTTTTTTTACCTAACCTAAAAACTCATAAAATCTGTTATATGTAGTGGAATTTCAGGGGGATAGGTATTAGGGAAGACCCCTCAGAGGGAAGGGTAACCCCCCCCCCCCCTCCCGGCGTTTTTTTACAGAAATGATAATTATAAAAAATTAGAGGAGTTTTAAAGGTAAATCTGTACTTCCAGCGAATAGAGGTGATATTTGATTTTTCTGTAGAAAAAGTCTATTAACAAATTTTTCTTTCTGGCGCTTCGCCGGCCGCTGCCGCGGCACGCTCGCTTCGCTCGCTCGGCTCGCGCGTTAAGGTCACAACACTAACCTAACCTAACCTAGTGTGAAGTATCACCACTTGGGCCTTAGATATACAGTTTAGCCGTTTAAATAAAACAAGTTTAAACACAAACACTGACTGACAGATCTCATTAATGGCGGTAAATTGTCACATTTTGACAATAGTACCAACATAATAAACTTATATTTACCATAGACAACGAGAAACATGTTATTTTTGCATAAAAAAATGGCAGCACAGATCATGAAAATTGCGAAAAAAAAAAGTTGTCAAAATTGACTCATAACCTACAAAAATATTAATTTTCAATAAATTTTTTCTCGAGTTCTATTCGTTTCCGCCAAAAAAGATTTCGTGTACGTGTTTTTAATAGTTAATACTTTGCGTGACAAAAATTTCAACTTGCAACTCAATTACATATAATGGAAAGGTGAGCCGCTAACTTTTTTGACATTAACAGTGTGTAACTGAAGAGAAAATTGCATATCCAGCGATGCTTTTCAGAACAAGTATCTTAGTGGCGTTATCATAAAATAGTAGTGTATCACTAAATAGTTCGGTGATTATCACTTCGATCTCTCAAAAGCAGTCAGCGTAGCGAATATGCTGGCTGGATAGAGTTGGTTGTTCTGAGTGTTATCCCTTCAGAATAATAAATAAATGCTATCCGTTATTTCTAAATCACTATCTTTGCTTATCGCATGAAAAAGTGTATGTAGCTACGTTTTCGAGAGTTCAAGGCTTGTCTGTAGGTAAAAGTTTAAGAACAGTTCACTCCACCATGCGGAAGGTCAGGCCGCCGCTCCGGCATCCCAACCACTCCTCCAATATCGGACGAAGGGCCTCTATCATTCGGTGGCCGGCATCAGCATGGGCGAGTGCTTCGTCCCATCGGCGCTGAGCCAATTTCAAACCCAAATTCACCTATTTTGAGTTCCTACCCAAAAATAGGTAATGGTGCCAATTCCGGCGTGATTCTCTAAACTTAAAACTAAATTTAACATCAGTCTCTCCTTTTCATTCTGTATAGAGAATTACAAGGATATACTACTGTCAAATTTAAGTTTAGGTTTAGAGAATCATGTTAGAATCGACACCAATGGCATATTATAATATGTCGAGGAGCTTGATGGTGTAGGTGGTTAGCGCTCGAGGAAGTTAAGCAACTTTCACAATGGCCAGTCATCGGATAGGTGATATTTTTTTATTATATCGTGCTCCTCCGTGCTTTGGAACGCGTATGTTAAATCGTTAGTGCTGACTGCATCTGCAGTCTAGTCGTTAGCATCCACCAATCTTCACTGAGCCCCTGTGGTGGGTTAGATTATGGCCATAGAACACAGAAAGAGGTTAGAAGGGCCATGTGGGCGAGGCAGGCGCGCCACAGTTGTGTGAGCAAATGCAAAAAAATTCAAAAATTCAAAATTCAATATCGTTTATTCAGTCTAGGCTGTTACAAGCACTTGTGAATGTCGAAAAGCTACGCCATCGGTTCGCAAATCTACGGCGGGAGACCTTGTACTGAGAAGAACCGGCAAGAAACTCAGCAAGGGCTGTTTTTTTCTCCCTGTATTGTATACAGAGTCGTCAAATTGAAAAATGACTTCAATATGAGGTAACTCATAAAGTCACTTTCCATTACAAATGCTAATATAATAAAAATTATGACTATATAAAAAACTGGTTTAACAAAGTTTAGGAATGCCGTGTCCTGCTGTTTAGGCAAAAAAAAATGAACGATTAAAGTTTAGTACAACGGTTAATAGTATCCAATGAAGCAAGAGCAGACTCATCTCCCCTGGCAGCACCCGTTCACGAGCATGACACATGAACCAGCCATCGCTTCGCTCAACCATTTTTTAGGGAACGCAACGACCCGCCTCACACGACACCACCGAAGAGATTTTTAACAGAGCATGACTACTCATAACCACACATGGATACTATGTTACAAAGATAGAAAAAAAAATATATAAGTACCAGAGTACATTATTATAACAAATTATAAACATAACGGCAGGACACATGCATGTGATTACCCAAACACTGTTGTCGATTCTGGCACTACTCTACCAACCCAAAACCAAATCCAACATCAGTCCCCCCCTTTCAGTCTGTATAAAGAATGACGAGGATACACCGCTGCAAAACCAAGTTCAGGTCTAGAAAACCATACCAGAATCCACACCGCCATTAAATCTTTATCAGATAAATAATAAATGTTCACTTACATTTTGATTGCTGTGTCATATAGTGATGTCGATTCTGGCATGATTCTCTAAAGCTAAACTTAAATTTGACAACAGTGCATCCTTTTCGCTCTCTTTACAGAATAAAAAGGAGAGACTGATGTCAAATTTAGTTTTAAGTTTAGAGAATCACGCCAGAATCGACACCAGTATAAATACAAGTTGTGTAATGTAAAATACAATCTAAATTTAATAATAATTATCATTACAATAATAAAGTAGTATAGAGCAGACTCATCTCCGCTGGCAGCACCCGTTCACGAGCATGACGCATGAACCAGCCATCGCTTCGCTCAACCATATTTTAGGGAACGCAACGACCCGCCTCACACGACACCGCCGAAGAGATTTTTAAGAGAGCATGACTACCCATAACCACTCAAACCAAACTGCAAAATAGTTACTTAGAGTTAAGGTAATTTATCTGTACGACACTGCAAACAAATACAAAACAATTTTGCAGTTACAGCCATGCAGTTTTGTCATTCAAGTATTCTTTAATAGTATAATAGCCTTTCTTAAGTAAACAACTTTTAATGTGACATTTGAACTCATTTATGGGTAACTCAAGAACAGCATCAGGAATTTTATTGTAAAAATGTATACCTTGACCCATAAAAGATCCATTAACGAGGAGTATGCAATTGTAAATGAATTAAGAAGCAACAGTCAAAATGCCAATTTCTTTAAATTTTTCTCTAAGAGATGTTCGGCTACTCAATTGATAAATAGATCTCACAGCTCTTTTTTGTAAAATGAATATACTTTCAATATCAGCTGCTGTTCCCCAGAGTAAAATACCGTATGATAAGATACTATGAAAGTAACTAAAATATACAGTCCTGGCAGTATCTATATCAGTAAGTTGTCTTATCTTTCTTATGGCATAAGCTGCTGAACTAAGTTTACCAGCCAAAAGCGTAATGTGATGACTCCATTGCAGTTTTGAGTCTATCGTTATACCCAAGAATGTAGTCGAGTCTACTAAATCTAATTTTTCATTATTTAATTTAAGTCCAATATGCTCAACTTTTACATTAGGTAAGGAAAATTGAATACACTTGGTTTTATTAGCATTTAGCTTTAAATTATTGACATTAAACCATTGCAGAACTTGCGAGAGAGCATTATTCACATCGTCATAGTTGTTTTTGCGCCTGTGAACGTTAAATAATAAAGATGTGTCATCAGCAAATAATACTATCTCACACAAATTTTCTACAAAAAATGGCAAATCATTTATATATACTAGAAACAGAACGGGACCCAAAATTGAACCCTGGGGAACGCCCATTTCCACATGAGATCCAGATGATCTAACACCATTTACCTCTACAGTTTGTATTCTGGAACTGAGGTACGACTTTATCAATTTATATGCAGTACCTTTGACTCCATAATGACTCAATTTCAATAACAGCGTGTGATGATCAACGCAATCAAAAGCTTTGGATAAGTCACAGAACACTCCAAGGACATTCTGCGACCTCTCCCAAGCGTCCAATATACTCCTTACAAGTGCAACACCCGCATCAGTAGTAGATCTACTTCTAGTAAAACCAAATTGTTTCCTATGCAAAAGTTTATTAAGGTTGAAATGAGGCATCAATTGTTCCAGAATAATTCTTTCAAATATTTTACTAAGAACTGGTAATATTGATATAGGCCTATAGTTTCCAGGGTCATTTCTATTTCCTGATTTAAAAAGAGGTATAACTTTACTGTATTTCATTAAATCCGGAAATACTCCTTGATCAATACAGTTTTTAAATATATCAACTAGATAAGGAGCAATAACGGGTATTATACTTTTAATCACTTTAGTAGAAATACCCCATAAATCACTTGTATTTTTTTGTTTAAGAGATTTAAAACACTTAATAACATCAATAAAATTAATATGTCTGAACTGAAACACGTTATCACACCTAGGTAGGTACATATTTCTCGAGCAATGTCTTGGCAGCCACCGATGAATAACTCATTTTAGATGTACCACCAAAGGAATATTAACGAAATATTCATCAAAAATATTAGCGATATGTTCTTTAGATTTTATTAGAATGTTATTCGACTTAAGTTCAACAATATCGTCACGTGACCTTTCTTTGCCCGTTTCACGATTTATAACATTCCACGTTGTTTTGATTTTATTATTCGATTTACATATTTTATTTTTAATAAAATTAGATTTGACTGTTGCACATACTTTTTTGAAGGTTTTAGAATAACATTTAACGTAATCAATAAAACCTTGCGAATGATTATATTTTCTTAGATGATACAATTCATAAAGTTTGTTTCTACTTTTATAGATACCAGTCGTAGCCCAGTCACAGAACTGTAACTTCTGAGTAAGTTTCGAAGTTTTTAAGAGAAAAGCCTTATCCAATTCATTTCTTATTAGATTAAAAAGATCCCCAAAAAGAATATCAGGATCATCATGTGTCCATGGGATATGAGAAATCCTATAATCAATGTTTTTTTGAAAAATTTCTAACCGGTTTTCTGTTACTGGTCTCAATTCAATCACTTTAGATTCATTTGTTACATCTTTTTCTATTTTTTTTTACATCTATGCTTATAACTTGACCAAAACTTGGTACTGATTGCGTCGTTGCTCTCGGGTGATAGCGCTGATTGGTTCAATTGTTTGATGTCACGTCGTTTGATTGTCAATTAGGAAGTGTAGAGGGGGCAAGTCGGTGACATCAGTTACCGTACAAACATATTTGTTTCTTAATAGTGTTGAAATCATTATTCTGACGACGCATTCCTGAAAAGACTAATGTTTTATTGCCGTACAAACAGTTTATGAATGAACACCCTTCCAACCTCTTTCTATGTAATTTAATGGTGAATTTAATTAAGAGAATATTTTCTAAGCCATCGATTTATGTAACTAAATGGTTTAGGATTCAACCACAGGACGGCCACAGGTGACAAAACATATAAACTAGCCTTGTGATTTACCATACGACTAGCTGTGCGGCAAAGGAAATCCACCGTGTGAATGCACCCTAAAGATCTATTTATTTAAAGAGATTAAAATTAATGACTTTATCACAGAGTATATATTAGTATTTTGGAAAATCATAATTATCACATTGTTATCTGTCATAATCAAAATATAAATAAAGTTTTGTGAGAAATGAATTTTCAAACAAAACCAATACTTACTCCCTTAAAAGTTCTTGTCATAAACCCTTTATCAGCAGCTGGGCAGTTGACTATCATGAAAATATTATCTGGCATGGTATTTGGTAAAGACCAATTGGTTGACATGATCCTTCTCGTTTACTCCAATGAAAAACGGGCTGCTGAAGTTTTTACACTAGAACTTTTGGGGTGTGCTTTTCCCTGTTACAACAGTTTCAGCATTTCGTCAGACATACCAAGGTAAAAATGTTAGTAAAAAAAAAATACCTAAGTATTATCTAAGTCTATCTAAGTTGACAAAACAAATAGTACTTGACAATGTTCTTGAAGCCTTTTTGGTGGTGACAACGGGACCCTCCCTTTTTTCCGTCCCTCTGTCAGCGAGCTGTATCACATGAACCGTAACAGGCAATTCCACAGTTCAAAATTTCACATAATTTGCATATTTACGTTGCCACTATAAAAACAAATAATAGAAATGTAGGTAATTTAAAAACCGGCCATGTGTGGCTCGAGCCATTCGCAATGTGGGGTTCCGTAGTTGCTCAATTCAAAGCGCAAAACAGCATAGGTACTCCAGTGGCGTAGCATAGGTCACTAGCACCCGGTGCGGATTCCAAATTTGCCGCCCTCTTATTTTTGCAATCCATTATAAAAAAATTGAGGCATGGTAAAAAGAGTACTTTTATTGAATAACACTAACCTATGTATGGGTATTTGGTAACAACAACAAAAAAATGACGAAAAAAAACTGAAAGAAATTAACTTTTTTTTATATTTTAATTTTTTTTCTCTATCTGCCACCTCCGCAGCGCCGCCCCCGGCAAAATGCCGCCCGGTGCGGACCGCACCCCCCGCCCCCCCCCATGCTACGCCACTGAGGTACTCTTTGGTAGCTCAGTAGATACTGTTCCATTCAACTCTACCAGTAGAAATAAGAGGATAAAAATTTCATTCTCCCTTACCAGTTACAGTGGAGCGGGGCCGTTACAGTGGAGCTGAGGCGGGCCGTTCCATCGCGTAGAGGAAAGCTCTGCGTCGATGGGACGAGGCACTCGCCCATGCTGATGCCGGCCACCGGATGATAGAGGCCCTTCGTCCGATGTTGGAGGAGTGGTTGAGACGCCGGCGCGGCGGCCTGACCTTCCGCATAGTACAGATCCTGACCGGACATGGGTGTTTCGGTCACTATCTGCACCGGGTCATATGTCGGGAAGAGACACCGCGGTGCCATCATTGTGACGTTCCTCACCATACACGAGCACACTTTGTTGGAGTGCCCGGCCTGGTGACGACAGCGCCGCGAGCTAATCACAGCGCGAGGATGTAGAACCTTCTCGCTGCGGAGCATAGTTGAGGCCATGCTCAGCAGCGAGACGGCTTGGGAGACAGCCGCCTCCTTCTGCGAGGACGTTATCTCGCAGAAGGAGGCGATCAAGAGGGAACGGGAGGATAATCCTCTGGCCGCTCCTTCCCGCCGCAGAAGGACAGGAAGGAGAAGGCGCGCCCTGGCCGCGCTCGCCCAACGGGGGGTCGTTGGGCGAGCGCATCCCTCGCTGTCCGGCATGGCATTAGCTATGCCGGTTATCGACAGATTCCTTGACGGCAGCCCTCTCTTGTACCTCTGTACTACATGAGAGAGCCGCGGAAGGGCCTGCGAGGGGAACGCCTAGGCAATCCTTCTCGTAGAGCGGGCAGTCCTGCACACGTCAGCGGGATCACCCGAAATACCCCGGGTGATCCCTGCCGTGGAGCCCCGGCTAGGCCGGGAGGTGGTTGCGTACAGACGCGGTGAAGTCCCGTAAGGGGGATCTCGCGGTTCCGCACTTAACAGCGTAGAGGGTATTAGCAGGATTTTTAGCGGATAGTTGGCCGTAAACGCGGGTAAGCCGCGTGGACTGCTTGACGGCTTCTCCCTATCGCACCCTTAAGACTTACGAAAGGCTAGGTGTGAGGTCCGTTCGTTGGTATGCCCCTTAAGGGCGTCAACGACTGTAGTGGTCACAGTGTCAATAGTGGTTTTGCCTGCGTATTTAAAAAAGGGCCAAGTGGAGTAGGCGTTCTTAAATAAATGATTTCGTTGGACATTTAAAAATCCAAATGCTTATAGGTATTATATTATGGATCGTTGAAGAACTCAATGGAGCAAATGGTTAGCGCGTTCGGCTACGATTGTTGAAGTTTAGCAACCTTCGCAGTGGTCTGCCTTTGGATGGGTGATCAATAATTAACGTAAGAAGGCACGTTAAGCCTTTCCGTTTGTATTATATCATTAGCACCCACCAATCCGCACTGGGCCCGCGTGGACCTCAGGAAAATTAGCCCCCCACCTTTTGAATTTTAATATTATCCAGGTTGTTCTGGTTTGTTCTGCACTAGGCAAAAGAAACTTTTTTTTATGGTAGCCTCCCACTTTTGGAAATTAAATATTTTGTGAGTTGTTCCGAGTTGTGCTAGTGGTTCTTATCATTGTTCTAGAGACTTATTAGAAGAAACAAAAATTTGAAGCTACCAGGCAAAAAAAAGACGGTTTTTGGTACCCCCCATTTTTGGAAATTCATTATTTTGTTGGTTGTTTCAAGTCGATTTAGTTGTGACTAACATTGTTCCACAAATATTTGAAGCCACTACGCAAAAAACAGATTTTTTTGGTAGCCCCCCATTTTTGAAAATTCAATGTTATGTTGGTTATTCCAAGTTGTTCTAGTTCCTAACAATGTTCCAAAGTTTTATGTAATAAAGCAAAAATTTGAGGCCACATTAACAACTTTTTTATAAACAAAAATTGCACTAGAAACTATTAATAAATTGACAATGATTTAGCACAGTTAATATATAATCAGAATAACCGTGGGCTATATCGTTCCAATTTCATTTAATCATATTTTTTTTTAAGCATGTAACTGCTTGATGTTTAAATCTAAAGAAAATATAACTAGAAAAATATCCACGCGGACCAGGCAGCAGATGGGACTCGAACCCGCACCCTTCACAATCCGGGCGAATGCACTGACCAATTATGCTACCGCGGCCCTCACGGACCGCGTCGAAATTCGTCTAGCCATTCTTAAGCTGCAAGGCAAGGCAATCATTTTGAATAAAATTAATAGTTTTCAGATATGACAACATTTACAATATAGGGTAAACTACCCAATTGTTGGTACTTTAAGAGCAGGGTCCATGTCAGTCAGATATTAAATCAAACAACACATGTAACAGTATCAAAGTGTAATCTTTGTTTTCATTACCATTTGTATGTGATTGAATAGTAATAAATAGATATTTTATACTTTAAACTAAAAGACTACAGAAAATCTTATATCGGCACAAAAAACCCTGTATTGGCATTTATTTCTCTAATTATTGGCATAAGTTGAAAACAGGGGATAGGAATCTACATAGGTACCTATCATTATAAAAACAAGAAATACCTACTTACCTTCTCATACCCAGGGTATAATTATTTATTTTAATAACTATTAATAGATATTTAAGTTGATTCCTATCAACCAATGCCCCTGCTTTGAAGTAATGCCAATAATTAGACGAATAGATGATAGACATACAATTTTTGAGCCCATATGTCTATTTATTACTACGATTTCTGACGAGAGTAGGGCATCAAAACCCGGTAAAATTTTAAAAACCCGTGTTTTCGGGTCTAAGAGTATTTAAAACCCGGTCTACCCGGGTTTATTGAGCTTTTAGATCTTTTGGTAATAATAAAAAAAAGAAAGTGTATTTTTATATCCACTTTCTACAATGAGTACAAAATATTAAAGGAAGAGAAAGTATTAAAATAAATGAAATAGTACTGTCCAAATTACAAAAACTGTTTTAATATTACTAAAGACATTTTTTTTCATCATCATCAATAGTACGACGCCCACTGATCGGTTATGCACTTGCATCCAGCAGCTTCCCGCAACCTTTGCTGACGATATACTCAGTCTACCTCATGGAGAATCTGCCCACTGAGCGTTGCGTGGTCCGGTGCGTGGTCGCCATTCAAGAATGTTTCCGCCCCAACTGCCATCTGTTCTCCTCGCTACGTGTCATTGTCGCTTCAGCAGAGTAATCTCTCGAGCTAGCGAGATATTGGTTATATTGGTTCTCTTACGGATTTCCTCAGTTCTGATTCTATAGCGTAGTGATACTAGTATTGCTTTCTCCATTGTTTGCTACGTGACCTTGAACCTTCTTACGAGACCCGTGGTAAACGACCACGTTTCGCTTCATAGGTCATCCCTGGCAATACACATTGGTCAAATACTTTTGCCTTGAGACACTGAAGTAGATAAGACGTGGAGATTATATGTATTTTAATTATAGCTAGGTAGGCAAATGTATCTACCCTACTTGATGTTATGTGGTGGCAAAGTCCAGACGCGAAGATATCGGGTGCAGTACTTATAAACTGCCACACCAACCATCCTCATGTTGTCGGCGTGCAGGAATGCTTCTTCACGCCTCTTTTAAAGGACCTCAGATTGTAGGAACACACGCGCGCGAGCAAAGAATACCACTTGCGAATGGTACGACAAAGAAATGAGCCACTTTAATTTGCCGAACGCTGCTCATCAGTGCTGGATTCGACAAGAGATCTGTTTTTCATAGTTGGACTTACCTACCTAGACTTTTTGTCCTAGGTTTAGGTATAATAGTGGTAGTAGTATTCCCAATTTTAACTGGAGTGGACTGGGCGTTTGGCATGATTTTCGACTTATCCATGTTCATCTTAAGACCCATTATTTTTTTTAACGGTTATCCCCAATTTGTGTCAGGTCTTTTTCTTTCTTTTGTTTTTTGTTTGTTACTATTATTTTGTTTTTAGTCATGCCTGCTCTTTTGCATGTTTTGCTGTGCTTTTTCTTTTGCACAGCTTTCTTTTTCTTTTCATCTTTTACAATTATATTCTTAATTCTTATTACATTTCTTGTAATTTCTATTTTCTCTATTTACATTTCACATTTCCTTACATTTACACACACTTGTTTCCTTACTATCTATATTTCTTATTTTCTACAATTTCTCTATTCTACACATTTCTTAATCCGATTTTACATTATTTGCCCATATGGCTCCTTGCCTGAATCTAATATTTACAAGTGTATAATAAATAGGTTAATACCTATACTAATCATCTTTATTTCTTTCTATGACTTTTATTACTATGTCTTTGCTATATTTAAGGAAGATTTCTCTATTTTTTTTTTGCTATAATTTCCTTCAGGTTCTCTTTACTAAGTTGTGTGTCTAGTGCTGTTTGTGCGTCGTGTATTTCTCTGTTGTGAAGGGGGCATTCTAAGAGGACATGAAAAATGTCCTCTTCGGTGTCTGGGCCACATACGCATCTCGGGGTGTCCTTCTTTTTAAACCTATGGAGATAGGCGGAGAAACCTACGTGCCCGGTAAAGATTTGTGCAGCTATTCTATCCATCTCTATCTTTCTCATGACACCGAAATCCGTTGTCCCTGAGTTGAGCCAGGTTTCCCTGAATCGCTTTGGTGATCGGATGCGAGGAGTCTGGATCAGTTAGCGACTGGAGAAAGGACCTCGAGTCGCTGAGCACGGCGACCTCCTTCCATCCCTTCCCTTATACACATTCCGTGGCTTGGAGGATAGCATACAGCTCGGCTTGGAAGACTGTACAGTATGGCTCTAGTTTAAACTTTCGGGAAAGGCCTTCTGCCTGCCCTTTCCAGCAGGTCAGGGCGGCTTCCACCTTTCCCTCCAGTTTGCTGCCATCTGTATAGATCTTCACAAGACCTTCTGCCAGTTTGCTATCCTCCTCCTCGTTTTCCAAACATTCAAACCCTATCACTCTGCTGCTACCGGGATGGTCCGATTCCATGAAGGACACCCTTTTCTCCACCTTTCTCCCCCTTAATATTTCCTGGGGTTTCCCTTTGCCTCATAAAGCTGGGATGCTTCATGGACCCTAAGGTCCAGCGGAAGCAGCCCCGACAATATTAAGGTGGAGTTAAGTGACACCGTTTTGTAACATTTTGCTATTTTTTGTGCGAACCCCCTTTGCACAATTGAGAATTTCTTTTTAGTCATGATTTTATCAGCTTCCTCCTGCCAAACATTCGCCGCGTAGAGGATAATCGGTTCTATGATCGCTATATAAATAAATAGTCCGAATTATTTATGGTTGGAGTATGATTGTTTGTATACCTTTAAAAATATTTATCGCTTAGCCGCAGATGTATTTTATATGTTCATTGAACGTTAGTTTACTATTTATTTTAAGGCCAAGAATTTTTATTTCATTTGCTATCTCTATTTGAACCCCCCCCCCCCCCCCCCATGGTCAGTACCGGCGCGTCAAATTTTAGCTTTTTTGTGATAATCATGGCTTTGGTCTTTTGTGTCGCAAAGTTTAGCTTATTCGACGCGCCCCATCTCCTGACCAGGGAGAGTCCCATGTTGGCCCATTATTAGGGAAACACCACTAAAATCTTCCAAGTACCATGTTCAGATCTTCCAAGATCTCAGCCATAAATATCTACTACTTTATAAGATAAACGAAGATACATATGTAAGGTATTCGCAATTAATGTTGATATCTCGATCTTTCCACTCCACTCTCTTCTTCCTGTGAACAGTTTCGGAGATAATACATCTTCCATTCTCACGCCTCACTGCATTTGCATAGAAGATAAGTGGTCTGGCAAACATAGGGGCGCTTTTGTTTTAGGTAACTTAATAGTCTACTTGGTACCTTTTTGGGGAGACTGTAACACTGCCTAAGTCTCAGTCGAAATGAAGGCTTTCTCACAGTCCATGAACGCCTAGTTGCAGATATTATACTCTTTGTTTTTCTGCATTACTTGCCGCCGCAGCATATGGATATGGTCTATGGTACTTAAGCCTTTTTGCTCAGCGCGCGATGAGATTTGTTACATCTTTGCCCCCAGTGCTCTACATTTTTTGACGATGACGACCAAATTTTATGACGATGGGAAAAGTTATCCAGTATTGTTCCAACCGATGATTGACAACATACATTGCTCGTCACCAAAAAAGGTCTTATAAGTATATAAAATATTAATTCATAATTTAAGTAAATCAAGGATTTGTAATAATAATATCTTAGGTTATTAACCTTGTAGGCAATATTAGCGTTTTTCACGGTAATAATTTTATTCAAAATGATTAAGTGAAATTAGAACGATATAGTCCATGGTTATTCTGATAAAATCGTCATTGTTCTAAATCAATTTCGTTTTATTTATTGTTTCCAGTGTGATTTTTTCAACTCGGAACAACCATCGAAATATTGAATTTCCAAAAGTGGGAGGCTACCATAAAAATTTGATTTTTTCTAGTAGCTTCAAATTATTATTTTTTCAAATAAAATTTTAGAACACTGTAGAACAAACATTGAACAATCCAGATCAACCTGGATAATAATAAAATTAAAAAAGTGGGGGGCTAACTTCCCTGAGGTTCCGCTTGGTGGGTCATGGCCCAATCATCAATCCACAGGAAAGGCCTGTACACCAAGCAGTGGGACTGCTGATGATAGTTTTATGTTATGAACAAAAATTTTTACAGCGTTTCAGATGCAGACGTCTTCTGTTTTATATCCAATTTTTCTGAACTCACTAAGATCGATGTTGAAAAAATTGGTTCAGATGATCAGCAGTTTGATGCTTTGTATCTGTTAATTAAAGTTGCTAACAATTTTTCTGGTCTCATATTCGAAGAAGTAAGTGATGATATAAAATTAACATTGAAGAAAAAACCCAATGTAAATGAAAAAGAAGTTAGGAAGCCAATAATTATGGCGGATGGTTTAGCTGCATTAGATATTGTGATGTCAATGTCCAAGAATATGTCTTCAGATGTGTTATTCTGTCCTACTGGTATTCCAGATGTCACAAAGTCAATTTTAGCTGAATACTTAAAGGTAAGCAAATTGAAAATTTTGTAACGGTGTCCGTAAACACCGTAACAGCTTTGATAAAAATCGATTTAGGTAGTAGGTAAATTTGTTTACTGTGGTTCTAGGTTGACTGTAATGAAATAAATGATGTACTTATATGGGCAGCTAATGACGAAGTTCTTCACGTAGAAGTAGAAAAGCCAATAATTATACATGATAAGAATAATAACACCGCAGATTGTGCATGGACTATGATAAGCGAAGATTTGCTGCGGTCAATTGACTATGATCATACACAGTTTAATTCTAGTTGGATGAAAAAAGAGTTTATTCAAAAGGTACGTAGGCATATTATTTTTTTGCTTTTGGTTTTTGTTCGAGGCTAAACGGATGAGCAGACCGTAAAACTCTTGTGTTGCTTTTACACTAAGCAATTGCTTCATTCATCTGGGATCAATAGAAAGGCACGTCCATGAAGTGAAGTGTCCTTTATCGTTAAAACTAAGTTGCGTAAAAATGAAATTATTATGTGTAGTGTTGTATTTCTGCTATAGTAGTGTTTAATGTTACCAGAGTTCTCTAGTGAATATTTACAATCAAGCGGACTACATGCATAAATCCATAGAAATGTGCTTGTATTTAACTATTTAATCAAAAGAAACTTATTTTTGTCATACATTGTTTCTTTCCTTTTAAACGTTCATGCACCTTTAGTTCCTTTGTTTTTTTTAAAGGTCGCAGCAGTTACATCAAAGAATCCATATGGGTGTATCTATAAGGCGTCTGTTTTTTGTAATGCTCTAAAGTCTATCTGGGATTCTCGTAAAAGTGAAACTGGAAAGTTAACATATTGCAACTTAGGTGTTATTAGTGATGGTTCATTAGGAACATTCAGAGGTATAACTATTTGATGAAAGAGTGTTCATGTACCTAAGTTCTTTTAGCAATGTACTTTGCTCTAATATTTGCTCCAAAAAAGGGAATTATGAATATTGTTTACACTATTAATTATGAAATATATTCAGATGTATTAATTTAAAGAATAATATGTTATCTAACATATTATTAAAGTTAAATCAACGTAATGAAGTATATCGATAAAACTATGATTAAGGACCAAAGTTGGGTAACTTTGCTCCTAGGTATATTCCACAAACAATCTCCATTGTAGAAGCTTTTTGAGCAAAGTTATGCTTTCCTTATTCAAATTATTCTCCAGTACGATTTACCTTTTTTTATAGTATTAATGGTCGAAAAATGGATAAAAATTAAAATAAACCGTGTTTTTAAAAGAAATAATGTTATATTCTTAAATATAGTTACAAAATCACTTTGTTTCAATGGTTTTTTTATATTTTTAAATTATAATAGGCACTGCAATCTTAACAAGAAATTTGGTTACAAAAGCTGGACAAAAATCAGTCGAAAATAAACTTACCAGATAAACTTCTCAAAAATTAAAACTTTAAAAATTATAATTAAAGAATAACCCACCATGCGGTCAGATGGAACGGAATATATTTCACAGCGGGTACTAATTTTTAAGGGACATCAATACATCCCAATATATTGGCCTGCCAATCGAATTGAATTTTATCGACGGGTTTAGGCCACGTCCAGGATTTTAGCGACTTCTTCATTAACGAGACGTATCCCGTTCTTTAGTTATTTTTGTAATTTCCTTGATAAAAAGTGTATTAATAACAATAGTACAATGAATAAAAACTGTTTACTTTTGAACGGCTTATGTTTGGGTTTAATTTGCTCCAGGCGCAAAAGTTACCCCATCTTACCAAAGAAAATATTTTATGAACACGCCAAAAATGTGAGGTCAGATTATGACCAATTCAACAATCCAATTAAATCTTTACGTATTCGTTTACCTGATTATATAATTAATAACATTAATACATAATTACCCTAATGCATTATTCACATTTCAAGATAGAAGTGGCTTTTTCGGATACAAAAAAGTAACTTTTAAGGTCTTACACTACAGCTGCACCTGACTTATGAAAAAAATTGCGGATGAAAAATTTTACAGTTCAGTGTTGCCACATATATGTAAGATGTTTCGGGTGCATTCACAGTTACATGAAATGTGCACCGATTTGGACATATTAAGCGATAAAACATTTTTAGAGAATTGGAGCATAATTACCCCTACAGGAGCAAAGTAGGAACTTTCTACGGTAAATAAAAATATAATGTTATCAACTGAGTTTTAGGTTATCCTTATGTATTACCACTGGTTCTGTCTCGAGATAAATGGAGTGTTAATAAGAAATTTGAAGAGGATGTACATGTTCAAAATGAGATAAAAAGGATTAATAAAATTGTAAAGAAGCAGCATGAACTGGTACTTTATTGATTTATACATCACTAAAACTCTTCAACTTATTACTTTTACATGAGCACATCATAAGTATTTATTTAAGTAGTTTTTGTGTTGTGTATAAGTGAATCGAATATTTCATATCGGTTTTAGTTACTACCTTATTGTAAAAGGTTTTTGCAAGAAAATGTGATTAACCAGGCTTTTATACCACCCTCTGAAAGCAATTCCAATTATTCTGTCGGAAGCAGCAGCAAGTCAAGCGTCTAGTGGAGGATACTATCACTTTAAATTGTGATATTAAAAATGCACAAATATAAAAATCGTTAAATTCAATGATATGTTCGTAAGAATGTTTTTCATAATGGAATTTGATAAATCTTGTTGGTATACGTGCTACACTTTCATTATTCTCAACAAATAGAGTTGTAATGTAACTTATGAATAAATAAAATCTTGAGATTAGACGGCTTCTTGTCATTTTATAAATTTTTGTTATGTATATTGTAAAACTAACATTTTTGTAACCAAAGAATATTTCTTTACTAGAAAATTTTGATACGCCCACCACACCATCATTATAATAATAGTAAAAACATATCTAAAGATTAGCTTTTATATTGCAACGCAAATACAATTACATTTCATTGATGTTAAGGGTGTCTAGCGGGGTGTTGCCACCAGACTAATTGTTTAGCTATGAGTTAGATCATTTTCTATTACAGCACAGATGAAAATGAAAAATAAATATGTTTTATAATTTCATAAGTTATGCCTATACTCTATTCAATTTTCTCTGAGGTAAAAGGTAAACAAATAAACCAACGTTTCTTGAACTTTTTTTATCAAGAGCAAAGATTGGCTGGTGCAACCAGACTGATAACAAAAATGCACATTTCAACGTAAATTATTTACCTACTTTATCGCTACCCTTCAATTTAGTAGTAGGTATTATAATGAATTCAGAGTTTGGGAATAGCTACAGTTTTAGGTTTTATTTGTGTCACTTTTTTATTATGATTTTATATGCATAATTATAAAATTCGACTTATTGAAAAACGTTTTTGTGGTTTGTTTAACTTTTGTCTCTGAGGAAGTTGAATAGAGTGTAGTATGTTGCACACCTTTGTTACCCGTTAAATGTAAAGCCACCAAAATCTAAATTTCATAGTGAGCCACCGTTCTTCCCTGTGCTCAAGGCATGCGTTGACAAACTTTCAGCTTTTATATAATAACGAAGGTCTGGCGGCCACGGGATCTAACTCTAAAAGGTCTACAGGCTGCATCTGACTTGCGTGCGTATCGCGTCTGTTAGCATCAAACGCGCGTTACGGGCGGTTAAAAAAAACCTTGTGCGGTTAAGCTTTAAAAGTAATCGAAATAATAATTTTAAAGTATTTTTAAATTTAATTTTTTTTTTTCATTTTACTGTTAACCTAAATAAGAGTATCATAGCGTGAATTGGCCGAGTGTTAACTTGATCCATCGTTAAGAGTTCGTAGCTAAGCCAACGAGGGAAAGGAAAAACAAATAAAAGCGCATTTACCGAGCGATTAATATTCGACGGACTACGGTCTCGGCTCGTGACCGCATCGTTTGTTTAACCTCTTCTGTCAATTTGATTTCCGACCTCGGGGGTATGTAATTTCCATTACGGAGGCCAAACGCTTTGTTTGTCTACGCGCAGACCAATAAGCCCGCCGAGAATCGGATGTTTGTAAGAAAATGTTGTGCGGCTACGTGTCCTCTATGATGGTAGCGGCGTTTGGCGCAGCAAGCTCCTTGTTAGTATATTTTGCGATTGTAGATGTTTTAAGGCGAAATACGCTTATTGTTCATTTTGGTAAATATTGCATGTGTAAGTTTACACTTAAAATTATTGACTGTGTCGGGTTGCTCCGGAATGAATATGTAAAAAAAGTCCATCACCTTTGTCACCATTCCAACGTTGTGAAAAGTAATTTTATTGTTAAGTTATATTATACTCTAGCTTAAAACAAAAAGGTAAGATACGGTACGCTCATACTAGCATCAAATAAAATATGCTCCGACTCAACTACAAAACAACTCTCACGCACGCACACTTCTGTAAATCAACTTAAATCGAGCGAGCGAGACAGAACTGTACGCTTCAACACAGCGTGAGCGAAAAGGCGAGTCGGCGTCGCCTGGCTTGGCGACTGCATTTTCTGTCCTCTCTCTACAAACGGCAGAGCTGTATTGTTGTCATTTTCTTATAACAAATGGCGAAAAAGTAAATAACATTCATGACAAATAGTCCAGTCAATGAAGGCTTAACTTTACCATTTTGAGTTGATCACCTGCAACCAACGCGAAAATTTCCGCAAGGGTTCGCAAAAAAATGCGAAATGGTGCAAAAACGAGTTTTTCGTCAATATCTCGCGACTGGCTGGAAAAATAGAAAAAGTTTGTAGCACAAAGTTGTAGAAAATTTAATTTCCTACAAAAAAGGTATCAACTTATTTTCGCGTATCTCCCATAGTTTTTACACAAAATGCAATTGAAGGTGCAAAATAAAAAAGAAAAAATATTGTTTATGGTTTTTTTTCCATTTTTAAACGATCCTACGGGGCAAATTCAACAATCACCAATTACTGAAATATTTAAGGATGAGTTTTCGGCAGTCCACTGAAATGAAAATTGTCTACCGAAATGGTAAAAAATTACCACCGAAATGATACAGCCAAGAACATCGCCTTTGTAGTAGAAGGGTTCCCTATTTTGAATTTAAATAAATGTCTTTATTCTTTGTAAATATCTTTGTATTTATGTTCATTATTTTTTATTGAATTATTAATGAAGAATTAATTAATGGTTACTCCTATTAAATATTATTACTAATTATAATTATTAATATGTACATTTTCAAAATAACGAACAAAGCGCGTTTAGAAAGCGAGAAGTTTATTATTAGTAAATCGTCCCCTTAGTGCCAAAACCGATTATCTGCACTTTTCCGCTACTGAACTATTATAATACCAATCGACCCGTCTCATTAAGCTGCATCTACAGGTAAAACCCATTATGCTCTACGACGCATACTTCCTGAAATAGCTAATAAATAAACAAAATAACTGCAAATTATTTCCAAAATTCTTGATTTAAACCCTAATAAACCCATTCAAAACACTTAAATTTGTAAACGTATTAATTGTTGAAACCAAGTTTCGGATTTAAACTCATTTTACATGTAGACACTTAAAGTAAATATCCTGTGAGATTATTCCACTAAAATAAGTTATCCCACGGTAATTAGCTTTGACTGTTTGAATTTTACCAGATATTTTAATTTTACTAGATGAAGTAAAAACTAAAAAACCTGTCGCTTTTTGAAAAAAAATATATATAGAATATTTGCGTTATATTTGAGGCAAGTAAAAGAAGATACCGAATTTTAATTTGTTTTTACTGAATAACTTTTATTTGACGCTTTATAAATTACTTCAGCTAAAATCGATTATCAGTGCTTACTCTTTTCTTCCACTGTAATTTATTAGCGTTAGTCATCGTTACTTTAAAATTTATGCTTCAGCTAAAACCAGTTATCCATGTTTAACCGTCTCTTCCGTACACAGATCGTGCACTAGCGAGTGAGTTGCTCACTTTTATTCATTCATTGTTGAATCGCGCACTGGGCAACACTGTTATTCTTTTGTTTAATTAATAACTACTAAACATTACTGGGTGAACTATTCTGCGTATTTAGTTTAAAATGATGGCTACTAAGAAAGATGACGAAACATATAGTTAAAAAAAAAAATTTTAATTTTATTATATGATAATTTAATTTTACCATTTCTTTTTCTTTCATCGTGTTCAGCGCAAAATTTACGTTTAAAACATATATTTGCAATATGTATTATCATTATCATATAATAAAATGTATTTTTTTTTTTTGTCAAGATTATTATATGAAAAAAGGAAATAATAAATAAATAAATACCCGAAACATATTAATTAAATCCTAATGAAGCATGTAGGGGTAAACTCCCCGAGCAAAAAAAAATACACGGTATTCCTCAGAGCGGCAGTGCAATGTGCTGATTTATGATTTTGTATTTTTTCTTGGTTAAGTAGGTACTTCTCAACCTTGGCAAAAATAATTATTGAGTAATTGGCTCTAAATCCATAAAATAAAAAAATACGAAGTGGCATTTTATCATCGCGGTGAACTGTTCTAAACCCAATTCCTCTCGTAAAATTACTACCCTTGTAGTTACTTTTATTTTTTGGATTAAAATTAACTTTTATATCAATCTAATATATATAAATTCTCGTGTCGCGGTGTTTGTGGTTAAACTCCTCCGAAACGGCTTTTCCGATTCTCATGAAATTTTGTGTGCATATTGGGTAGGTCTGAGAATCGGACAACATCTATTTTTCATCCCCCTAAATATTGAGGGTAATTCACCCCTAAATTTTTATTTTCAATTTTAGATATATTTTTTTAATTTTTTTATGATACATCATTCAAAAATACATACAACCCTAAATTTTCACCCTTCTACCACCAACCCCTATTTTTTTATGGCGGTACGAAGTTTGCTGGGTCAGCTAGTAATATATAATATAGCCTATCAACAAAAACCACTATTGTTTGTTTACCTTCTTTCTTATACATGTAACAAGCACACAACTTTTGTCCTGGAAAAAGTTATCATTTCCATGGACAGTAAGTTTTTGTGAAATAGGTTCGTTAACATTGTTTTGTTGTATCCCGCTTGTCAGTGCTCCCTTCGAGCCAGGCCGCCTTAGGTGGATCACACGCACGCGCAACAACGTCATTGTGGATTCCCGCTAAATAGTAAGCATACCATTTCAGTGATATGGGGACAATTGAGCTAGTTTTATATATGGAAATGTATTTTTATTTTATTTTTATTTATGAATATTATGTTCTATAAATATATCTCTGTGTGTATATGTATGTGTACGTGCTGTGTATGAATATATATGCGTATCTATGGATGTATAAACAGTTAATGTGCAATTGTCTGACGTGTGCCTAAGATGTAATTTTATAATTTTTCAAAATGTAATGTCGAAATGTCCTTCTTTTTTTTTGTTCTTATTTTATTTTTATTATTAAATATTCTTTTATAATGATGTCGATTATGGCGTGATTCTCTAGGGCTAGTCTTGGGTTTGACAGCGGTGCATTCCTGTCATTCTCTATACAGAATGAAGAGGAGGGACTGGTGTTGAATTTGGTTTTGGGTTCGAAGAGTCACGCCAGAATCGATACCAAGTATTTATGTTATTTTGTTTACTATAGCGCCTAACACGTCCTCAAACAGGCCCTGCCAGAATACCAGCGCTGATACAGTGAGAGAATATTTTCTCATTGTATCAGCATAAGCTGAGGCAGGGTCCTGATTGGCCATTTTAAATGTAATGATTAATTTTTGTTCTTAGGTTAAGTTTCTTTTTTATGTTTTTTTTTTCCTGTT